GCTAGTAATATTTGTGCAGCTGCCAGGCCTTTTAACATACCACTAAAGCTGTCTTTAACTGATTGTGCCCAGGGATCCCGCTCACTTTATTATTCTTTTGTTCTGTGTCTCTTGAGTTTCAAAACCGTGTGTGCATTGTATTGTATGAATTTGTGAGCTGCCCTTGGAGTTTTTAACTGAAGGGCAGCATAAATAACATCTTGTACTTGTGGCCATGAACATTACGCTCGTGTCCATGACTATTCCAAACGCTCAGGAAAACATTCAGTCAGGAACAAAATGTTCATATACCAGCTTTTGTGGGAAAGGATTAGCAAACACACAGAAGAATGATCTGTATGGGGAAGGCTAAGGACTCAGAAATTATACACAAGGAGACACTAGTTGTGGTGAATTGTAAACAGTGAAGCCAGAAGGAAAGGAAATGTCAAAAAGTTTGGACATTGATTGTAATAAACGAAAATCTGCCCTTATTCCCTAATGGGGGACACAAGAGCCCTTATAGAGACCTTTGTAGGTTCTCCATCGGTCTGAGAAAAGAACAGAGACCAATCAGAGAATATTGAGAAGCAAAGTAGCTCATAAGCCTGATTTTTATTGAACTGTTGCAACAGGGTGCTCCGCTCACACGCAGGAGAGGAGGACCCAGAACCAAGATGTGCCCACCCTTATACAGACATTTTAAAATGCCCGCCCTGGGGTCCAAGACCACCCCAGAAACATCATACACACATCACAGAAGGGGTGTAGCTCAAGACCACCACCCCAGATACATCATACCTACATCACAGAAAGGGTGGTCTACAGCAGAAATCTGAGTGCTTTGTTTACCTCCTGTCTGGCAAGTTACCTGTTAATGCTTACTTGACTGGATACCCTGGGGAGCCTGGCCAGTCTTTTCTAATGATAAATACTTAGTTCCTGAGCCAGGTCACAGGCTCACCCTATTCATACACAGACATACGCTTAAGACAGGATTTGTGAAAGAGGAGACAATGGAGAGGCTTTTCCTTTGACTTTGCAGAGAAAACATATGGTCAGTTTGGGAGTCAAACTGGTTCCAGGGCTGTTTTCCTGTGCTGCTTCAGACATGTGGTTTATATATTTATGTACGTGTTTGCTTGGTACATTTATGAACATTTATTATATGTATAAGACCTTATTTTTTTTTTATTTCAATGATAATTAAAATAATTACAGGCTCAATTTGCAAGAAAGTCATTGATAACACAGATATCTTTGACACTGGTCAGCCAAATTACATGGAGGAAGAAATATTGAGGGCAGTCAGGTAGCCAGCTGCTTGAGCAAGCTGATATGTATAAATTATTGGGTGCGATGTTTAAAAGCTCTGGTTCTTGGTTTGCACATTTGAAAGCCACATTTGCCACAGCCAGTGTAACTGCTAATGCTATTTTTCAGAAGGATCAGGTGGGAAGTTTGTTGTCCTGTTAAGAGCTTTGTGGGGCACTTGTGTTGGCAGTACAGTGGTACCTCAGGTTACATACACTTCAGGTTACATACTCCGCTAACCCAGAAACAGTACCTCAGGTTAATAATAATAATAATATGTTTTATTTATACCCCGCCCTCCCCAGCCAAGGCCGGGCTCAGGGCGGCTAACAAGCAATAATAAAAACAAGTTGAATGATTACAACTTAAAAACAAAATTAAAATACATTAGAATATTGAAACATTAAAATATTAAAATGTAGCCTCATCGCAGGAGAAAGGAAAAGAAGAAAAGAAAGAGAGGGAGGGAATCAAATTGGCTCCAAGCCAAAGGCCAGGCGGAACAACTCTGTCTTACAGGCCTTGCGGAAAGAAATCAGATCCTGCAGGGCCCTGGTCTCATGAGACAGAGCGTTCCACCAGGCCGGAGCCAGAGTTGAAAAGGCCCTGGCTCTGGTTGAAGCCAAAGGTTAAGAACTTTGCTTCAGGATGAGAACAGAAATCGTGCTCCGGCGGCGTGGCGGCAGCAGGAGGCCCCATTAGCTAAAGTGGTGCTTCAGGTTAAGAACAGTTTCAGGTTAAGTACGGACCTCCGGAACGAATTAAATACTTAACCCGAGGTACCACTGTATTGGAATCGGCATACCATAACTTATCTAGAGCTTTGGAGGCTACCTAGATCTACTCATAAGGCAGTTGGTTAGAGACACCCTACTTTTTAACAGGAATTTTGATTCAAAAGGTGGCCATTATCTTTTGGCTCAAGAAAGTTTTCCATTTGGTTTCACCCCTAATTTCATGGGCATCTGAGGACATGGGGGAGAACTCGTGAGCAGCTTTGAGGGGCCCATTTATTTCTAAGCCGGGTCTTTCATTATCCCACTTGATTACAAGGGGCTGTGATGGCACCTGTGAGAATGACTGAGGTTGTGGCTAGGTGTCGCTCCAAAAGGATATAAAAAATGTTTTGCCATTCTTCCTGGGCAATAGTTCTCTTCTATTCCCTGATACGAGTTGAAATGGCTTTTTCCCAAATGCAGAGTGAACACTTTACAGTTGTTGGAGGTTAAGGGAACATTATGGTGCCAAGTGTGAGGTTGTTAGGGACGCGGGTGGCGCTGTGGGTTAAACCACAGAGCCTAGGACTTGCTGATCAGAAGGTCGGCGGTAGACCAAGAACTCATCTAATCCAGCACTCTGTTCTCACAGTGGTCAATTAGGTGTCTGTGGGAAACCAGCAAGCAGAACCTGAGTGCACCAGTGCCCTCCTCACCTGTGATTTCCAGCATTCAGAGACATACTGTCTGTCACAGTGGAGGGAGAACAGAGCTACTGTGGCTAGGAGCCGTTGATAGCCATATCATCCATGAATTTACCCAATCCTTTTTTAAAGTCACCTAGGTTGCTGGCCATTACTGTGGGAGCAGTTATGCAATGCAATGATGGCTGTGTGAAGAAATCCTTCCTTTTGTCTGTCATGAATCTGCCGACATTCAGCATCATTGGATGACCCCAAGTGAAAGAAAAAGGCTCTCTGTACAGTGTTACCTCTGGACGCGAACGGGATCCGTTCCGGAGCCCTGTTCGCATCCTGAGTAAAACGTAAGATGCATCTGCACGTGCGGCGTTTTGAGTAATGCACTCTGTTACTTCCGGGTTGCCGCGGAGCGTAACTTGAAAACACTCAACCTGAAGCACATTTAACCCGGGATATGACTGTATTCACTTTCTCTACATATTCTCCTCCCTCCTTCTAACAAGATTTGTTAGAACGAGCTTCATAGAAAGAATACAGTGGAATGAGCTGGGTGGTAGAGTACTTCTGCAGTGGCAGAAGTGGGAAATTGCAGTCAAGCATAACTGCATGGCAACTGGTTAGTATATGAAGGGGCTAATGCCACGGAGTTCTTTCCCTTGTCTTAAGTGGGTCACACCCCCTTTTCTTCATAAGGGAGCTTCTTCCTCTTCCTCTCTTTCTCCATGTAACTGACAAAGGAAGACATGTCCAAGCTTAGAGCGCATGTTTGAAATCACCTTTCTGTATTTTCTACCCAAAGGTATTCTGCCTGTGTTCTCTTTGCTGCTGCTTGGATAAATGCATGAATCCAACCTTTGAATCTGTAAGTAAAGCATTTTTAACTTACTTAGCAGTATGTGGTCTGTTCATTGCAACAAGGGCAGCGCTGGATGCAACTAAACAGGATATGAAAAGGGTCTCATGGCCCACATTCCCATGGTACACTGCTGCTTTACTTTTGTAAGTTTAAACTCTGCTACTGGGGCTCTCCCCTGCTGGAGAGTGAGTTTAGGCCCACAATTTGTTATTTACCTTCCTCCGCCCCCACCTGGTCACAGGGATTCATAATGTTTGATGTTTTACTTTGTTTGACGTTTAAATTTGCTGGAAGCCATCCAGGGTGGCCAGTCAGATGGGTGACATATAAATTTTTATTATTATTTTTAAAGGTAAAGGGACCCCTGACCATCAGGTCCAGTCGAGACCGACTCTGGGGTTGCGGCACTCATCTTGCTTTATTGGCCGAGGGAGCCGGCGTGCAGCTTCTGGGTCATGTGGCCAGCATGACTAAGCCGCTTCTGGCGAAACAGAGCAGCACACGGACACGCCGTTTACCTTTCCGCCAGAGCAGTACCTATTTATCTACTTGCACTTTGACGTGCTTTCGAACTGCTAGGTTGGCAGGAGCAGGGACCGAGCAACGGGAGCTCACCCTATTGTGGGGATTTGAACCGCTGACCTTCTGATTGGCAAGCCCTAGGCTCTGTGGTTTAACCCACAGCGCCACCCGTGTCCCTCTTATTATTACTATTATTGTTATTATTATTATTACCCTCCCACAAATTCAGGGTATAGACAGTGGTGGTGAATATGTTTTTTCCCTATCAGCGCTCACCTCCATCAACAAAGCCCCAGAGATTTATTATGTTAGGAAAGTGTGCATTGTCTCTATTTTCTGGTCCAAGGGTCTTTTATACGGATTGGTTACATTCGGTGTGAGACTTTAATAATAATAATAATAATAATAATAATTTTTATTTATACCCCACCCTCCCCAGCCAAGGCCGGGCTCAGGGCGGCTTACAAGCAATAATAAAAACAAGCTGAATGATTACAACTTAAAAACAAAATTAAAATACAACATTAAAATATTGAAACCTTAAAATATTAAAATGTAGCCTCATCGCAGGAGGAGAAGGAAAAGAAAAAAGAGACTTTAAATGTTGACTACAGCATAAGGAAAATTAATAAATGAACACAGAGAGAGAACCAACCCAAACGGGGGCGGCACAAAAAGAAGTTTGTCACCACCCGCTCTCTTCTCCCGCAACCTCACCCAGGGATTTCTGGTTTTGCAAGCGCCACCTCCCCCAGCAGCACGTGCGCGGACGCCGCCAAAGGCTCCCTCGGCCGCCCAGTAGCCGGAGCCTCCTGCCGAGGCGCAGCGCCGTTTCCTGTTCCCTCCGCCTCCCCTTTCGCCGGCCCGCCGTGACGAAGGCGGAGGAGGAACCCAGCCATATAGCGGCCGCTCATGCCCTTCCCCGCCGCGGGAGGAGCTGCAAAAGCCGGAGCTGGAGGCGACGGCGCAGGCTGGAGAAGAGACGCGGAAACGCAGGTAGGCGCGCCGGGGACGCTGGGGATCCCGGTGATGGAGGGACTCGGAGTGGGGTGAAGCGCAAGGGCCGGGAGAGGGGGCGCAGGTACCCCTCGTGAACCCCCCCGGTCTCCGTCGAAAGGAAGCGATGGCGTGCGGGGAGGGGGAGAAGGGCGAAGGGAGCCCGTTGGCCGCCCCTTCCTCCTCTCCTTCTCGTGCGTAAAGGCTGAGCCCACACGCGCCACCGGGAATCCAGAAGGGCATTTGCCGCCTGACCCTGCCCCCCTCTCTTTACTCACGAGTCAGCCACATTGGATCCAGGGGGATTAGTTGGCCAAATCAGTGTGTAAACGAGGATCAGGGGTCTGGCGAGCTCACGAGGTTTCCGCCAGAGTTCTCAAGGTTTTCTGATCCCCGCACCATCGTTTTTCGTGCACGGCCCATAGCGAGCGCATGTGGTCCTTTGGAACAGGAAGCTCAATGGAGGATGCGGATTTACACGGAGTGAGGCATGGAAGGCAGAAACGGCTAGGGAGAAACCGGGGCAAAGGGCTTCCTTTTTTCCACCCGCCTTGGAGAATTATTTACGTAGTTTAAGCTTTATAGAATAAGAGCTTAGTGGGGGCTTTTTTTGTTATTTTTTAAGGTTGATTCCTCCCAAGAGGTTACGGTTCGGAAATGAATGATTGTGTACCCAGAGTGGGGAAGATGTCACAGAGGGGAGGGAGAAAACTTGGGCAACGATGAAAAGAGGGAAAACAGCAGCCAGTTGGTGGCACCTTAAAAAGTAACATATTTATGGTGGGAGAGGCTTGCCGGACCGGACACCAGAGGCCACTTTTTATCAGGTGTGAACTGCTCCTATCATTTCTCAGACTGAAGATAAGCAGTGGCATCAAATGACAAAGCAATGCAGAAAATACAGTCTGTGCTGATTTGATCCAAGCTTTAATTCAGTTGCCAGTAGTCTGTGGTTTTTTGCATTTCGTTGCCAGTTTAGCCCACTGCTTTACCACACTTTCTCTCTGAATGCCAAACTGAGGATAACACTTCATGTGTCTATTCCAAGACAGCTTATGCACTGTTAATCTATTACTCTTTAAGGGTCATGAGTGGGGGCAGGGGATACCTAAGCTGCTCCCTTTCTTTCTCAGGAGGACCCTGGGGTGGGTTAGAGGTCCTGGATTCCAAACCATTAGATATCTCTGACCCTGGGAGGGTCCCAGAAGGATAGGAGATGAGAGACACTGGAGAAGGCAAGAGTAATAAGGAATGCTTTGCTGTTGGGTCACAAATGCAGTTCAAAGCTGATGGGCTGGAGACACATTGATAAAAGAGATGTCTGGAGAAGTTATAATATAGATCTTGGCTGAAGTACAGTAGTACCTTGGTTCTCAAACTTAATCCATTCCGGAAGTCTGTTCCAAAACCAAAGTGTTCCAGAACCAAGGTGTGTTTTCCCATAGAAAGTAATGCAAAATGGATTAATCTGTTCCAGACTTCGAAAAACAACCCCTAAAACAGCAATTTAACATGAATTTTACTATCTAGCAAGACCTTTGATCCATAAAATGAAAGCAGTTAACAATGTACTGCAGTCACACAATCAATCAGTAGCTGTACTGGGTTCCACACAGTCACAAAAACAAAATAAAAAAGCCGCAAAAACAGCAAAATAAATAGCAAAAACAGACAGACCTCAGCATAACGCTCAAAATGGAAGTGTGGCACTCAAAACGGAAGCGTAACACTCAAAATGGAGCACAGTCAGCTTCCGAAAAACGTTTGCAAACCAGAACACTTACTTCCGGGTTTGCAGTGTTTGGGTTCCAAGGTGTTTGAGAACCAAGGTACCACTGTAAAGAGTTTACATACAGTGGATAACTAGAGAAGCTCATGAGTGGGAACTGAACCTCTGAAAGGGGTTCTTCAAAAATCTGACGCGAAATGCTCATTCCCTTTCCGCAGAGGAATTTATAGGGTAGGTGATTCTACAAATTGCAGAGTAACTTGCTCTTGCCCATTTTCTTAAGGACTGCTGTCCTAAGATCTAGATTAATTTTGCTTTCCTGGAGTTCATTTTTTTTAAAAAAATAATATTTATTAATAGTTTCAGAATTATAGAAAAAAACAAGAAGAAAAAATAAAAAGCAACACTGCAATACAATTAAAAAAAAAACCAATACAACAATACAGCAAAAAGATAGAAAAAAAGAAAAAAGAAACACAGATCCCAAATTACATATCTTTAACTTCCATTTGCTTGTTTCATTGACCTCCTCACACCTCCATTTTTGTTTTCTAATTTAGTTAGTTATTTCAGCAAATTCTTTCCATCTTTCTCAATTTTTGTTAAAAATTTTATCTTAACAATTTAACCTAATAATTAGCTCAACACATCCTTTCCATCTTTCCCCATATTTTGTTATTCAAATTACCTTAATTTATTTAACCTTATCTTACCATAAAATACCTTAAAGCTTAAATCTTAATTCTCAAATATACATAACTCCTGATAACATTTCTGCTAGAGTCATATAGTTTCATTCCAACATTTCCCCTAATATTCATTGATTTTAAGCTAATTCCCTAAATAAAAATTTTCTTTATAAATTTTCTTCCCATCTTCATCCAGCGTCTCTTCTTCCTGGTCTCGGGTCGTGTCAGACCATACTGTCCATTCCATCTAGTCCATCAACCTGGAAGTCTTATGTCCGAGGCCCTTAAGTCTCTTCCATGTCCCTTCTGCAAATTTTCTTCTTATTGTTTATACTTGCCCTTTTCCTTGTCCTCTGTTGGTCTCTTTCTTAATTTCTTTCCTTTCTCATTGAGGAGTGGGTCTCTGGGGGGTTCCAACCCAAAATTGTCTCCATCTCCCTTCATCAAACCCGCCCATTCCCCACAGTCCCACTCCCCACAGTCATCAATGTAATCCAAAAAGTATTTAAAAGCATATTTCAAGGTCTCTCCACAGTTAGGAACCTTCTCAGCTCCAGACTCCCCCTGGCCCACTCCAACTTCAATCTTCAATGACAGCGGCTTATGCTCCTGTAGGGCCTCGGGTCTCTCCATTTGTATTATTTGAGGTGCATCCGCATCCTCCTCCATTATCTTCTGCACTTGCCCAGTCAGTACAGGATCATGAGTTGGTCCCTGAATTGTTTCTGTCTCAAAGTTCCCTGTTTGTCCACAGTTATTAACCACAACAGTCATCAAGTCCATTTTCTCGTTCATCAAATCCATCTTCTCATGCATCTGTTCCAGCAAGGCACTTGTCTTGCATAAAGCAAGCACCCAATCTTCCTTCCAGCTCATCTTTAATCAAGGTCAGAAAAAGCTGTTCCCACGATTTTAATCTCACAGCTGTTGAGTCCTCAAGTATTCTGCAGCAACAAATTAACAAGCTCCCTCTAGAGGAGACAATTTCTATTTGTATCCATTTTTTTTTTAAGGCAAGTCCAACAAAGGAAAATTATTTTCATTTTTCAGATATTTTTCAGATATTTTGTTTCTTTAGAATGCAAAAGGCAACATTGGAATCAGTTTATTTCTCTTCTTTAACTATCTGTCAAAGTATTCCATTCACAGTCAATGAACCTCTCCGACTATTTCTGTCTCTGACACCCCGTTCCCAGGTTAGAGACGGTGGAAACTTATCCTTCTTCACTCCCTCTCCTGCAGGGGTTAAACAAAGTCCCCCCCCCCTTTTCTCCTGCTTCCAAGGGGGTTTCAGTAATTCTAAATGAAGGAAATTTAGACTTTTTTAACGGCTTTCCAGGCTTTAGCTTACAAAGTTTTGCTTTAGTCTATATACAAAAAGCGGAAGGCGGACTTCCTGTTTTGAACCTTCCCGCTTCGATGCCAAATTAAGATATTTCTTGATCCAATTTTCCGTTTCTACTCACGGGTACTTGTTTTAAATCCAATTGTCCACAGGAAAAAGTCGGCGCCCCAAAATGGGGTTCCCGGTGAGTAGGGGGGGTGCTCCTGGTGCCCTGCCGAACCCCACGTTCCCAGGCTTCCTCCGCCTGGGATTTCTAGCGGGTCCCCGCCTTCGCCGCGGCGGGAAGACCAAATTTCCACGGAGCCCGTTCCTCCGGTCGGAGGAACTCCGCCATTCACCGATGGCGCTGACCCGGAAGTCTTGCTTTCCTGGAGTTCAAACCCTCTTTGTGATTGTAAATCCCCGGAGGTGGTAGATTTTGATACCCATGTCCCTCCTGCTCCTTTAAAAGTTCCTCTCTGTTTCTGAGGTGATGGCCAGCAGTTTTTATACCTGTTTTAGTCATTTGGAAATTCATCTAGCTTCTTGTTCCTAAATTATACACTGTCACATCTTTTTGTGGTTTGATCACATGGCACCCTATGACTACCAGTGCATTCTGTTGCGCTTACCCCTCCCTTGTTTCACTGATATGCAGGTTTCCCGGAGTTCTTTCAACTTCTCTGGTTCTGATTGACTGAAAAATCCAAATGGTCTAATCTAGCACCTGCATCAATTTGGAGCTATCTCAAATCTTTGAAATGCCTTAAAAATAGACTTTTGTTGCTCTTAAAAATTAAATTATAGTCAAATTTCCTTGTTTTAAAACAAAGCTGCTTTAAATGAAATTTGAATTCAAGGCAGGGGAGTTCAAAGTTTTCTTCCTTCTATGTAGGAAGATCTGAATTACAAATGAGAAACTTTAATTAAATCAACTAATGCTGAGCTGGTGTGGTGTTGTAGTGACCATGGAACTGAACTATATGGGTCAGGAAATCCCTGGTATAGATCTTGGGCCTGTCATGAGCTTACTTTGGAACCTTAGACAATCATCGGTCTCTTGCCCTTCACTTCTCATATGCAAGACATGGGATAATAATACTGACTTACCTTAAAAGGTTGTAGAATAGGAGCAAGAAAATGTATGTGAAGTATTTTGAATATTCTAAAATGTTATTTTGATGGCTACATAATTGTTATAATTATAATAATTAGTCTTGAATTGAATCCATCCTGAACTAGACAGCACAGTGAATTTCCAGAAGTGATGCAAAATTCCACACAACACCAGGAGATCTGTGGTTGGGTCCTCCTGTTTTATTTATGTATGCATCCATCCATTTATATCCTGCATTTTAAAATGGGGCTATGGTTTCAGCTTCTGGTCGAAGCACCACCACCAGAGGATGGAGGGTTCTCACATGCTGTTTTCCAAATATAAATCATCAGTCTCTTGCCCTTCACTTCTCTCATACAAGACATGGGATAATAATACTGACCCACCTTAAAAGGTTGTAGAATAGGAGCAAGAAAATGTATGTGAAGTATTTTGAATATTCTAAAATGTTATTCCCACCCTAGTTGCTGGTAGCCTAGTGTGAAGTAAGAGTGCAGGTAGAAATGGCTAGTGGCACCTTTGTATCTCCAGCATCTTGTTGTTTGAATGGAAAGCTCTGAGGCATGCAAAAACTCCTTTAAGCTCAGTTATTGCCCTTGGATTTTCTGTGTAAAGTGAATGTCTGTAGTTGGCAGTTAATAGAGGTATTGTAGTGAGTCACATGGACCATTGTTTTATCTTCTTAATGTATGGCTACATTAGTAGTAACTGGGGCCACCTGGTTCTATAGCCTGACATGCAAGAGAAGTTGTTTTGATGAAACTGGGCTGAGGAACGTTCCACATTGGCAGCTTTTATTTTTCTTAAAATATTGTTTAAGGGAGTCTTAAAAAAATAAAATGCAGATAAACCTGACTCTGAGAAGACGAATTAAAATCAACAGACTTAAAAGTCAGTCGTAACCCTTGATTTCAGTGGGTCTATGGCCAGTGTGACTTGGTTAGATATAGCCTCTTGTTTTGACCTCAAGTTTCTAAAATGATTAATTGATGCTTGGTAAACTATTTTGAATAATAATACTTGCAGATAAGTGTGGAGAGTCTGCTGAATGGAGTTTGACATCTATCATAAGCATAAAGCACGACTCTTAAATAGGCTTGCAGTAAATCATTTGCCTGATTGCACGTGACAAGTAAAAATTGCCTATAGGGGACCTGCTGTACTTTTCCTATGGTAGGGAAGGTGAGATAGTGACCAAATATGCATGTCAATAACTTGTTTTCACCTTTTGTGGTAAGAGCTAACAAAGCTGGAAACCTTTAGTTAATCACATTTTCTGGTTTTATCTGAACTAGGAAACTCTGGTTGCCAGCTTTGGAACAAACCAGCTTATTAAATTAGTGTCAAACTTTGACTTAATATCCCGGTGTGTTCTGAGGTGGGAACTATAGTTTTCTTATTTGGATGAGATAGAAAACTATCGTTATTTGGATGTTTTATGGTTTAATCGTAGCTTGGGCAAAGGGGTTGTTCATGTTTTGCTTATTAAGCAAGGAACATCAGAACTGGCGGCAAAAAAGTGCTGTGTATGTGTGATTTATCTCTCTAAACTGATATATCACCTTAAACGCAAGGGCTGCAAGTGGTGAAATCTTACCTTTATGGAAGATTTCCTTTGGCGGCATTAAAGGAACAAAGATCGGATCAGAAAACATTTCCTGCAACTTTTACCTTCGTTAATAGTCAACCGGAACAAATCTTTTGAAAGATACAGGTTTAAGGCAGCCTTTTTTTACCATACATCCTGAGATGTTGTTAGATTACAAGTCCCATCCTTCCTAGCTAGGAAAACAAGTGGTCAGAGATTATGGGAGTTGTAGTCTAGCAACATCTGGGGACCCAACCAAGATTGAGAGAGGCTGGTTCAGAGAGTGAAGGGAACAGTTTGTGGTTTTGAACAAACCCTATCCTCTACTTTCACAACTGTCATCAGTCTGAAGTGGTGTATTTAGAAATGTTTTCTGGCAGCCAGGACACCTAGGGACTTGTTTTGTAAAAGAAAGAAGCGCTGTGCTTCTTAGAATGATTATAATTATACATCATATAATAAAGAACGATAAGTGCATGGTCATAAAAAGCTGAAGTACTTCATACAAGTAAATTTTGTCCTCTGCAGTCCGTTAGCCTGACACCATGGTGGGTGAAGAAAATATCTCCGTAAGGAATCGCCGATCAACTTATGAGACTGCAGAAGAGAAAGAAGACTTGTCAAAGAGGCATGAAGCAGACTGGTCTTTCCCACAATCAAGCAATGGTGAGATTTCTTCATCAGTAACTGCAGAGATCTTACCTGATTTAGCAGATGAAATGATAAGCAGTGAAATGATTTTAAATCTGCATGTGAACAAAAGAGCTGAAGTACAGTAAATATGAATCCAATTGTTTCCAGTGTTCACCATGTTCAGTGGGTTTACTCTGAATCAAACTTTGTTGACTACAACCCAGTGCATGTATCTTTGGTGGTGTAGTTCAACGTGGTACTCAGCCAGTTCTGAGCGTGTTTGCCTTGTGCTAATAACTTGACCTTAGCACTGTATTTGTTCCCTGACTAGTTTTCTTTTAGCTGTGTGCCAAATTTGTGAAGCCAGCGGAGGGGATTCTTCTAGAGAACTAGTATGACCTGACTAGGAAACGTATCTATACCTAAATTATCCGTGTTGTAGTTTTTGTTTCAACAGCTACCAGATATTTGCCTCAAGATGTGAATACTGGCATTCATTGCTAAGCTTGTTTACTCAAATTCAAGCTGGGTGTGAAACTGCCTTCTACTGAGTTGGACCAGCAGTTCATCTGACCCAGTACTGCTTACTCAGACAGGCAGTCCCTAACTCTTCAGACCCCCTTATTGTGATCGGATGGGATTCCACCAAGTCTTTGTGTACGCAGAATGATGGCCACTCGCCCAACCAGCCCTGCCCACGGGCCTTAGGTTGCCAATCCCTGGTGTAGATGCAATTATGAGATTTCTTCATCAGTAACTGCAGAAATCTTATGTGAATAAATATAAGAATTTATCAGTGGATTTATTTTGAATCTGCAAATGAGCAAGAGTACAGTAAATACGAATTCTTCCTCAGTTCTTATATAATGGATTGTTTCCAGTGTTCACCATGTTCAATGGGTCTACTATGAGTAAAACTTTGTTTCATGTATTTTGGTTCTGCAATCTTTCTGGACCTGTTGGCACATCTGTAAAGTGGATTAATTGTTGTATTGCTACAAACACCCTACAACAAAGCACATCTTGTAAACTATCTTTGTCTTTCACAACAAAGCACATCTTGTAAACTGTTTTATCATTTGTAATAGGAAAAAATGCTGCTTTCAAGCCAAGTTTCGGTGTGTGGGTTGTGGGTGTGTAATATTGTGGGTGCCTGGGATGGGCTCTGCTGACTCATGCACTTAGGGTTGTCATATCGATGACCACTGGATTCTAACCATAGCTGAGAACTCAAATGATGAATTGAGTTATGATGAATTTGCATAGCTGGCAAATTGTGTTTTCAAGCTGCTCCTGTTTTCTATCCTCACAGCACTCAACATTGTAAGCTCAGTCCTGTTTGAAAGCTCAGACCCTGTCTCCAGGGAACAGGACCTTTGGGAGCCTGAGCCATGGCCCTAATTGCGGTTTGCCAATCTCAAAAATATGCCAAACCATCTTTATATTTCCTTAGCCATGGGTTGGTGTGATGTCTGAAGTGAGCCAAAAGAGGCTTTTTTCCTGGATTGATTGATCGATTATTTATTTATTTATTTGACCACTTATTCCTAAGTGGGCCTAAGTAATTATTAAGCGGCCCTGTTCTTAGTTTAGCACCTTTTTTGTTTCGGATAAAAGGTCTAATGAGTTAAAAAAATCCAAGCCTGATGTGAAGAATCTGCCTTGGTTCGCATCTCGTTTTATGTCATTTCTTGGGTTTTGGGTGGAAAGAAGCCTTCATGGAAACGGAATGTTCTGTCACCGGAGTTTGATTGGGGATTGGGCTGGTGTACCACTAAAGATAATATGCAAGGGTATGTATTCCTGGAAGGGCTTTGAAAATGCCTTTGTCCTTCTCTCAAATAGTGTTGGGTTTCAGCTGTGACTAATCTGTCTTGAGGAAAGCATGTGGGATCTTTGTCTTGTAGTCCGGGACTTGCAAGACCGTGGTAATTTCCCAAGGTGGAGGTTACTCCAGATCATTCCTTAGTGTTGCAGACACAAATGATATGTCAGAAGAATGAATGTGCAGGGGGAAATTGAAGCTGAGGAGGAAGAGGACATAGTTGGTTAATATTAAACACAGGCTCATTTGTTTTTTTCTTTGGAAAGTTACTTCTCTTTCTCGTTTCCCTCCTGCCTTTCCCATCCGTTCAGTGGCTTGTCATTACTATTTAAATACGTCGCAATTTATTTTTATGTTATTTTTAGCCTGCTTTTCAGGCAGTGGGGGCTCCCAAAGTAGCTTTCATACACTCCTCAGTTAAAAATTAGCATCAGTGAAATATTGTTAAAATGACCACAAACAGCTAATCAAATATCAAGAGAAAGTACAGGTAACTCTTTTTATATAACTCATTAAAGCCAGAGTTTCCTTAATGCTTGGGCTATGCTATAAACACTTTGGCAAAGAAGAGAGATATGTGATGTTCCTTCAGATAATGCTGTGTGTTGCAGGTAACTTTTCAACTTGGTACTCAGCCAGCTCTGAGCGTGTCTGCCTTGTGCTAATAATCTGACCTTAGCACTGTATTTTTCCCCTTAACTGAATAGTTTCTCTTTTAGCTGTGCTTCAGCTCTGTGAAACCACTGTAGAGTATTCTCACTAGTGTTCTAGTTTTACCTGACCAAGATACAAATCCATAGCTCACTCATCGGCATTGTACTTTTTATTGAAAGAGGTACCAGACATTTGCCCCTGGGTGTGAATACTGGCATTCATTGCTAAACATGTTTACTCAAATTCAAGCTGGGTGTGAAACTGTCTTCTACAGTGGTACCTCAGGTTAGGTACTTAATTCGTTCCGGAGGTCCGTTCTTAACCTGAAACTGTTCTTAACCTGAAGCACCACTTTAGCTAATGGGGCCTCCCGCGGCTGCCGCGCCACCGGAGCACGATTTCTGTTCTCATCCTGAAGCAAAGTACTTAACCCGAGGTAATATTTCTGGGTTAGTGGAGTCTGTAACCTGAAGCGTATGTAAGCCGAGGTACCACTGTACTGAGTTGGACCAGCAGTTCGTCTGACCCAGTACTGCTTACTCGTGACAGGCGGTTGCTCTTCAGACCACCTTATTGGGATCGGGTGGGATTCCACCAAGTCTTTGTGTGCGCAGAATTAGGTCCACTTGCCCAGCCGGCCTTTCCCTGTCACGGAACGCATTAATCTGCTCTGGAAGGTTGGGGGGGGGGTTCTCCTCAGAACAGGTTTAGGGGCCATGCAGGGGAAGAGAGAGGGAAAAGTGTCATTGCACGAGTGAACCTCATACCCCACAGACATACCCAACTTAGCACTATGTTGAATTCCACCCATCATTTGCAACTGTAGATGCCAGAGCTTGAACCTGGGGTTTTCTGCTTGCAACACATGCATCTTCCAATGACCTGAGCTGTGCCCCACTTTCCAGGTCCCTCTGTCAGGTGTACTCTCTGTCTGGGCTCAGTAGACTGTATATGGGTTGGACCCACCACCCCATTCACAAAAGAGGACACCAATTTGCGTGTGCTTTATGTCATATTCCAGCTTATGTCCCACTCTGGAAATAGGTTAGGGGCTAAACACAAGTAATAAGATGTCAAACAAACAAAATGTAAGCTTCCTCCAGAAATGTATTTTCATACTAGGCAAAGTTTGACTTGTTGAGTTTCTGCAGGGAGAGTATTGTGCCTGAGAAAGCATCAGCTACAACAGCTCCAGTCTCTTGTGGGAAGGGATTTAAGGATGTGGGGGTGGGTGCAGTTAAGCAGATTGCAACAACAACATGGGGTGTGTGATCAATTGCTTTCCCACCCTGGGAGTAGTTGTTGCTGGTGTGAACACTTAAATGGGTATATTCACGTCAAAGGCTAACCACTTTTTTAACTCAGGTAAAGAAAAGAGTTGTCATGTGACCTGGAATAATAACCTTGCTATAATGATTTAAACTTCATAACTAACAAGAAATACTGATGGGATGCCCTGGTTGCTTTTTGTCAGTTTAATTCTGAGTTTATCCAAGTATATTGTTTCCAATTTGAACCATTTTGTCTCATATAGCAAGCTAAATAATTCACATAGCAAGTTCTTCATTTAGCAAACCAGCAGTTTAAGCACAACCACAGCCATTCCCTGCACCTTCTTTCATACTTAAGAGCACCTCAAAACAAAGCTAAAGGGAAATTCATTAATAAAAGGGATCTTTATTTATCCTTTAGTAATATGAATGTTCCCTTCACTAGTTTGGGCTGGAATTTCATTCAACATGTGCCCACTAAACTGATAGAAAGGTCAAGAGTTTCTTCTTAGTGATGATGTAATAATAAAATAGACCACGGGTTCTGCAGTTTGTCACACTGGTTTAGTGACTCATTTCTGACAAATCTGGAAGAACATTAGTAAATTCAACTTTCTGTCCTGTGGTTCCATCCAAGTTTGGCAATAGGTTGACTATGCAGTCTTGCATTACAGAGTTTGAATTATATATACACGACATGTAGCACATATTAATGCTGACCTGGCACACAAGCCCATTCTATATGTACTCTCTGGCTTGCTGGTGTAGATCAGGCATCGACAGCCTTTCCTTGCCTCGGGCCGGTGTCTCCAGCGATGATCATGCGGAGGGTGGGGGAGCACGCGCCCGTCACACACGCTATTTCCAGCGCACTTTTGGGTCAGAGGAGCACCGGAAATAGCTTGTGCGCACGCGCACGGGCCTCCTCCAACCCAGATCTGCACCGGAGATGGCATTTGTGCACACATACAGGCACTCCAGGGACGCGGGTGGTGCTGTGGGTTAAACCACAGAGCCTAGGACTTGCTGATCAGAAAGTCGGCGGTTCGAATCCCCGCGACGGGGTGAGCTCCCGTTGTTCGGTCCCTGCTCCTGCCAACCTAGCAGTTCAAAAGCACGTCAGAGTGCAAGTAGATAAATAGGTACCGCTCTGGCGGGAAGGTAAGCGGCATTTCCGTGTGCTGCTCTGGTTCGCCAGAAGCGGCTTAGTCATACTGGCCACATGACCCGGAAGCTGTACGCCGGCTCCCTCGGCCAATAGAGCGAGATGAGCGTCACAACCCCAGAGTCAGTCATGACTGGACCTAACGGTCAGGGGTCCCTTTACCTTTACAGGCACTCCAAGCCTATTTCCAGTGCACATCCGGTTCGGAGGAGGCCCATGCTCATACGCACAAGCTATTTTTGGTGCTCCTCTGACCCAGATGTGGGTCCCCGCGCCATGCCGGTAAGAGCGGGCAGGGCGGCGGGGGTCACCATGGGCCAGATAAACCCATAAAGCCTTATCCAGCCCGCGGGGCCTTAGGTTGCCGATCCCTGGCGTAGATGCAATGATGAGATTTCTTCATCAGTAACTGCAGAAATCTTATCTTATTAACTATAAGATTTTATTTTTGAATCTGCAAATGAACAAAAGTCCTAAAGTATAATAAATACGAATTCTTCCTCAGTTCTTAAATAATGGATTGTTTCCAGTGTTCACCATGTCCAATGGGACTACTATGAGTAAAACTTTGTTACAACCCAATACATGTATTTTGGCTTTCCGATCTGTTGGCACATCTGTAAAGTGGATTAATTGTTCACACCCTACGACAAAGCACATCTTGTAAACTATATTTGTCTTTCACGACAAAGCACATCTTGTAAACTATTTTATTGTTTGTGATAGCAAAAAATGCTGCTTTCAAGCCAAGTTTCAGTGTGTGGGTTGTGGGTGTGATATTGTGGGTGCCTGGGATGGCCTCAGCGTACTCGTGCACTTAGGGTTGTCATATCGATAACCACTGGATTCTAACCATAGCTTAGAACTCAAATGATGAATTGGGTTATTATGAATTTGCATAGCTGGCAAATTGTGTTTTCAAGCTGCTCCTGTTTTCTATCCTCACAGCACTCAACATTGTAAGCTCAGTCCTGTTTGAAAGCTCAGACCCTGTCTCCAGGGAACAGGATCTTTGGGAGGCTGAGCGATGGCCCTGATTGTGGTCTGTCAATTTGAAAATAAAACCATGTATTTACATAACTCTCCTCCTTCGTTCTGGGTGCATGTAATGTTCTCTTTATTTTTCGGTCTTGAATTTAAAGATTTTCCTACCCCAGGCCATTTTATGAGAAAAGCGTAGGCACACCCTTCTGAATGCTTGTTTGATGAGAGGAATGTCAAGAAGAACCATCTAACTGCAATTCTGCAGAAACAATTTTGTTTCTGTTTTCAGAAAAACTTATTTCTATGCATTGTACACTCGTGTTGTCACAGTTGAATGTCTTGTGTGCACCGTCTCTGCCATCTTGCTCTTACTTGGCTAGTGAACTGGTGCCTGGGCTGTACCACTTGAGGGTGCAGGGGGCAAGCGGTGCATGGACGGTTGAATCCTACAGATGTCCGGCAGGTGGCCAAGCTAGAATCCTTCTCCCTAGCGCCTCCTGGGTTTTTTTAGTATTTGGGTAGATATGTTTAAATGATCTGCTGCAATTAACTACAGTTTTAATGCACTCCAGGAAGGGAATCCTTGGAAATTGGAAAAGGTTGTACATATTTCCTTTTGGTCAGTAGCGGACAACTAATACAGGTACATCTGGGCAGGGGAATAAGTGAAAGTTTTGGGGGCTAGTAACTTTTGTGGACTTATTTGCAGCACTGATTTTAAAACACCGTATATACTAGAGTATAAGCCAACCCGAATAAAAGCCGAGGCACCTAATTTTAGCACAAAAAACTGAGAAAACTTATTGACTTGAGTATAAGCCTGTTCACCACACCACAAACCTGGTGGCGGCAGCGGTGGCGGAGGCAGGACCAACAGCGAGAAAGGGCTCCTTTCGGGCCACTCATCCCTTCGCCGCCGCCCACCTCACTTGAGTATAAGCCGAGGTGGCTTTTTCAGCATAAAAAATGTGCTGAAAAAATCGGCTTATACTTGAGTATATACCGTACTTTAAATTTCCAGTTTGCATACTTTTCCTGTTTTGCCTTTCATACTTGTAGAAAACTTATACCCAGTATTTATTGTCTTTATTATTTACATTACAATAACGATTTGTTTTTTTCTCTTAGGTCGTGTTGACATTGACCATTTGGTCACTCGAAAGATGCAACTTTTGGTGGAGGCTGAGGTAAACTTATCTGAATTGTAGTTAATATGAGTTAACAAGGAGGAATCCCTAGACAGCAAAAGAAACCTCCCATTTGTGACAGATCTATTCATAGAATGGGCCTGTTAGAAATCCTAAATCTTGTAAATTGGGAGTCACTGAAACTGGGGCTACTGAAAGATTTCCTCAAATGCAAAAATTATAAACAATGCTCACTTTCCTGTGAGCTCTTATAAACTGGAGAACTATCTAATCATGCTTCCTGAGAATATCAAAACTAGGGCTTCTGACATTTTATTTTATTTGAACCATTACAGTCCTTTGTACTTTTATTATCCCCAACCCTTCAAATGTTCATGCTTTTCTCTGATGCCGTAGATACCTTCAGCTGCTGTTGTAGGGCACAGGAGGCAGCTGGGCTGCTTTCCTCCTCTAGTCTGTTAGCAAGTGGGATGCTTAAGGAATTCATTCTTTGTGAATTCCAGCATGAATAACCTGATTTGGTTTGATCCCCGGAGGCACACTCCATTGTCTCTTGAGACAGATGGATGCCAACAATAACAACCTGATCTGCACCTCCTGGCCAGATTGAAACTTAAACCATTCACCCACTTCCACCTTTCTCAAATATTCCAGCTCTTCGCTAAGAAAGCATATCAAAATGCATTTAGAAATATTGAGAAATGTGTGTTTAATTGCATTAAAAGAAAAAGCAGGACAAAAGAGAATTGTGAGTGCATGAGAAAGCAGATAAGTTCTCAGATATTTGCTGTTGTATGTGAAAAATAAAAGTCTTTTATTTTAAGAAGACTGGTTATCCATCTCACAGACTGGCTATCCATCACTAGCCAAAGCATTGCTGCTCATATTTAGTGCAGCTAGAGCCACAAGAGCTGCATATCCATGTTTTTGTAAACTGGGACTGGAAGGCTGTGGGATTAGGCTGTTCCGGCATGCTACTGCTTTGGACTATTGCTGGTACACTTTTGAGTCTTTGAACTTATCAGGAATTAAATAGTGGGAAGATGGTGGAGAAGCTTCCCTGGTAATCGGCTTATCCACCTACCAGCTTTTTCCTGGTAGTGAGCAGATAGAGATCAGGATACATCTTCCTAGTTTCAGGTGGGGCAGCAGTGAAGCCCAACAGGTCTTGCCAGCATGTCAGCTGCAGGGAAAAGGAGCCGCAAAGTACACACAGTCCTTTCCTCTTGGGGCTGTGTCTGCAATATTTGAATGGATAACAGCAGGTGACCTCAATCCCCAGGCAAATTCCCAGGGCTACATGGAAAGCAAGAACTCTGTTGTTGCTCAGGTGCTGTTTGCCCTGTGCAGCAGAAACCCTGTAGCTTGCTTTCCCTTCTCTTGGTTCTTTCTCTTTGTTTATTTTTCACTCTCTCTTGGCATCATTCTTCGTTGACTGTGTGGAGCGGCAATGGCAGTTCAATCAGCCCTTTAATTTGTAAACAAACAAACAAAACACCCTGTGCTTTGTGAACACCCTGCGCTAAGCAAAGCAGCCCGAAAACTTGCTACCACACTACCACACTTGTTTGCTCTTCTTGCTTAATGTTAGTCATCACAGCTTCTGTTTTTTAATAACTCTGGAAGTACAAATGTATTCCTCTCTACTGTTGCTGCCCTTGCCCCTTGCCCCTTTTTGTTGGGTTCTGCCGGCCAGGGCGCCACCTCTGAAGCAACTTCATTAAGCGGTTAGCTGTTCATTTTTAAAGAATCTTTGTGTGTATGGTGGGGAGTTAACCAGAACGGAGCATTTTGTGGGTGACCATGGTGCCTTCTTATATCCTGTTCTTGGACTTGTCAGCTTTCCTTAAATTTAATAGACTAATAGAATGTGTTTTGCATACGGTTGGTATTTGACTAGTATAACAAAAACAAAACAAAAAGGCCCTGCAGAACAAGTCAGTTTTCTGGTCAGATTTCTGTCAGATATGTTGAGTGAGTTTATTTGTAAGCAAGATGGGAGGCAGCTAGGCTAACTATGATTTTCTTAGAAAGGCTCTGCAGTTGGCTACTTTGCTTCCTCATTCTTGGGGAGCTGCTGATAGGTGGTTTAAACCAGGAATGGGGAACCAGATGTTGCTGGACTAGGAAGTCCTATCAGCGCTGACCATTGTCCTCACTGGCCGTGACTTTGACTGGGGTCCAAGAATATGTCGTCAGTTGTCAGGAAATGAGACACGTTCATGATTTGTTGTTAGCATGGTGTTAGGAAGTCAGCCTTGCATTTGAAGGTAAAGAGTAACATGCCATTTTAGCAGGCAAAACTTAACAATTATACTTAAGGTGTTCTCTTTCCTATTCCTTCCTTCCTCCAAATATTATCAGCAAATGAAGCCAGCTTTCATGCAGCGAATCGACAGCCACTTTACAGAATTCGTAAATGGCTTGATTGCAAAGTCCGTGCAGCTTGAGTCTTCGCCCCCTGCCTTCCCAGCCGCATGCTCAGAGAAAGACGGTGGCTTCAAAAGCAAGTATGTTGGTTCTTGGCTGAATCTGAAGCAGAGTCCATTTGTTGTTTTCTCTTTCTTTTTTAAAAAAACTACAACTACTCTGCTGAATATTTGTTCTTTTCACAGAGGATCAAGAGCACCTCCAGAACATGGAAAAGTTTTTGTTGCTAGAAAGTCTGTCTTGGAGTGAGTATGTTAATCAGATTGTAAATTTCACTAGTGCCCTTGCTAAAGTTAAAGTTACCTTCATCCAGTGGGTGGCTTATCTCCATATCTTGCTTCTTCCTCCCATTCATTTTTATACTGTGTAGACTGAAAGCAGGTATTCCTAATCTTTTTAAGTGCTCCAGTCAATTGGCTATTGCACATCCCAGATTCTAACATGGATATGGCTGTTCTGTAGAAACTGATCTACAGACCAGAAGTGTCTATTGCTAAGCAATCCAGCCTCCTCATGGGTGGTCTGGTTCTCCAGTAAAGTTTGCGCCTATCTAGTAGCAAGGGCTTCACAATGAGCAAACAGGTGCCCTAATAGAACCAGGCTGGTCTGTCCATCTAGCCCATAATTATCTACTCTGACTGGCAGTGGCTTTCCAATGCTTATTGCAGTGGCCTTTCCCATGGCAATTTACCCGATCCTTTTAAACTGGAGGCTGGACCCAGGACCTCCTGGAGGCCATCTGTCCCTGAGTTCCTCTTCCAAGGTGTAGCAAGAGCTTTATATGCAAATGCAAATATCTAACATTAAACTTTGGTACTGCTGCTTGAGGAGTCTGGGAGGAAGAGCAGATACTAGTTAGAATTATCCATACTTGGAACTCCAGCTCTAAGTAAACCAGTCTGCTAGAATTGTTGCTGAAACGCACTTCAGTTTTGTCTGTTTTCCTTGGGAGCAGAATGCCAGTTGCCCCTCCATTCTTGAAATCCATCACATTTCAGGGACACTGTCCTGCAGCACACACGCTCAAGGTCTAGGCGAGCATTAAGATGTGCCTTGTTCCAACTCTGGTAGATAAGAATGTTATTGGTTGTTTTACTTGGCTCAGTTGAAGGTCCTATCAGGTTGTTGTTTTGTTCCAGAAGATGCCTACCAAGATATTTTGTTGATTTGGGAACAAAATTTCCAATACAGTCGTACGGTGGATCTCAAATGCCTTGGCTCCTGAACCAATTTGCTCCCAAACAATCGAAACCCGGAAGTGAGCATTCCGGTTTTCAGACTTTTTTGGAAGCTGAGCGTCTGGCACGGCTTCCGATTGGATGCAGGACACTCCTGCAGTCAATCAGAAGCTGTGCCTTGGTTTTCAACTGGTTCCGGAAGTCGAACGAACTCCCAGAACGCATTCTGTTCGAGAACCAAGGTATGACTGTACTGGCAATTGTTTGGGCTTTCCTGATCCAAAACTGTTGTTTCTGCCGGCCGTTCATTTGGGCTTCTTTCTTTCTTTCTTTCTTTCTTTCTCTCTCTTTTTAGGGTATTTTTATTTAGATCTTGTTAATAAAATATGGAAAACACAAACAAATTCTCGCTGCAAAACCAGACTTCGCCATGTTAATCCAGAATGTATTTTGCAGTTTAAATTTTATTTCCTTCACCCCCAATATGTCAGTAAAACTCCAAGCCACCATTCTTTAAGTCAGGGGCAGCCAATATGGTGCCCTCTAGATCAGGCTTCCTCAACCTCGGCCCTCCAGATGTTTTTTGGCCTACAACTCCCATGATCCCTAGCTAGCAGGACCAGTGGTCAGGGATGATGGGAATTGTAGTCTCAAAACATCTGGAGGGCCGAGGTTGAGGAAGCCTGCTCTAGATGATGCTGGACTGCATCTCCCATCAGCCCCAGACAACATAGCCAGTGGTCAGAGATGATGGGAATTGTAGTGTGGAGGGCACCATGTTTGCTACTCTTACTTTAGGTGAAGGTTGTTAATCTTTGTATAAAATGCAGTGGGTTTAGTGTTAACTTGTGCCATTTCCCCACAGGCATAGTGTTCCACATAAAATCCAAAAACAGTATTGGGGAGTTCAAAAAAATGCTTTGCAAGCTGTAAACATGCAGCTCCCATTTGGGAAATTGTTAAGTTCCTCTTGACTTCCTGTTGAATTACTTCATTTTCCAAATTCCCTTTTGCTAAATATAGAGAATAATTGTATGAGCAACTGCTGAACCAAAACTTCCTATCCTCTGGGATGTGAGACAAGGGCACCACAGTGGGAGACAGTTTCTTGTAACCCATGGAGCATAATCCACTAGGAAGTTCTCCTGTGCAAGCCCCACATTAGAGGCTGAGGAAGAACTGCTCTTGTGCAGCTTCCATTCATCTGAGCAGGAGAATTTTCCAGTGGGTTGTACTCCACAAATAAGGGGAGTCTGTCTGTGTGCCACTTAGATTTTCTGTCTCTCCTGCAAAGTGTTCCTCAAAACAATGCTTGTCAAAGTAACAATGCTAGTTACTTTGGTGGATGTAATGTTGAACCATCAACCAACAGTATAGGTTTCTCACTTCTTTTATATACTGCCTAGGAGAAGCCATGACGTAATGGTACATTGGCCCATGTAGGTTCAGACTTGGATACAATACAGTCCTGTGTTCTCCAGGGCTCCTTTGGAGGCCGGGTGGGATTATCAATTTAATAATAAATGAATAAAAAGCACTGTGAACCTCTGAGATCCTAGTATTTACATAGCATGGAGTGGAGATTACAAAAGGCTTCAGTCGGTGCAAAATTGCAGAATGGCTGTGTGAAATGAGGTCTAGAGCAGCTCTGTGGAGCTTCTGGCCTGTTCTGGCATCCTAATTTGACCCGCAAGGCCACCTTCCTCAAACTGGGTGCACCTGTGGGACAGGTAAAGATGTAGTTCCCTACTGAAAGCAGGTTTGCTGGCACCACCAATCAGCTGATTGGCAGTGTCAACGAAGTCCTGTGCCTTTGCTTATGTGGTTTGATTTCAAACCACGCAGGCACAGGAAACTGGGTTTGTTGGCACAGTTGACCATTGGTGCCTGCAATGCCTTGTCCCAGTTTTGATTTCAAACTGTACGGGCAAAGGAAAAGACTTGCCCTGATGTCCTGGTTATGGCAGATGATTCAGATTTGAATGCTCCCCCCCCCATCTGTCAGAATGGCCCATGCGGGTTGGGGGAACCAAAGCATTCAGCCTGCTGGTTCGAAACAATTCTAGAATCTCCTTGTCCTATACAGCTGCACTTCTTCCCACGGTTAAACCCCCCCCCCCAATGGTGATGGTCCTATGTATGCTGACAGATGGATTTTGTAGAAAATATTCAGAGAAATTGTACACTGAGAGTGCTCCCACATTACATTTGAAGGTGGAAAAACTTTCAACTCCTAAATTTAACCACTGGAAGTCCTGGACTTGCATCTAGATTGAGGGGAGTTTGTTGTCAAAGTGAAATGTTCTAATGTATTTCATATACTTTTTTTCCTCAGTGAGCTATTTGAAGTGGAACACATCCGGACCATATATCACATGTTCATCGCTCTCCTCATCTTGTTCATTCTCAGCACCCTCATAGTAGACTTTATTGATGAAGGAAGGTAGGAAAACATTGAAGGGATCAGCTGGAGTTTGTTTTCTGTGTGTTGGACTTGAGACATTTAATAGATAAGATAAACTTTATTCGCATTAGCCAACGGCCATAGCGACATAAAACAAGCAATATATGGAAATAAAAAGACTGCAGTGGGTACAAAGGGCAATCAAATGACCAAGATTATCGTTCAGATAGTGGCCCTTAATCTCCTTGCACATTTAATATTTGAACCAATGAAAATGTTTTGCTTTGTTTGGGTACAGGCAGGTGGAGGGGGTGTAGAGAGTCCTGTTGCACAAGAGGGAATCCTTGCGGTGATGGGCTGCTTATTTAGAGTTGCGTTGAACCCATCAGGCATTCAGATGATGATAGTACCTCACCCATCTGCCTGAGTTTCCCCAGCCACTCTGAGTGGATTACAGCACATAGGAAAACACCAAACATTAAAACCTTCCTGATACGGGCTGGCCTTCAGGTGTCTTCTAAAAGTTGTATAGTTCTTTATCTCCTTGACCACGGATGGGAGGGTGTTCCCCAGGGAGGGTGCCACTACCGAGAAGGCCCTCTGCCTGGTTCCCTGTGACTTCACTTCCTGCAGTGAGGCAACCACCAGAAGACCCTCGGAGGTGGACCTCAATGTCCAGGCTGAACAATGGGGGTAGAGATGCTCCTTCTGATATTCTGGGCTGAGACCATTTAGGGCTTTAAAGGTCAGCACCAACACTTTGAATTGTTCTCGGAAACGTACTGGGAGCCAGTGAAGCCCCTTTAGGACCGGTGTTACATGGTCCTGGCGTCCGCTCCCATTCACCAGTCTAGCTGCCGCATTCTGGATTAGTTGTAGTTTCCGAGTCATTGGTCAAAATCAAGCAGCACTTAAAATCCAAGTTCTGCATGCAAAGTCTTGGAAGATGTGGAGCCCTCCCAGTACTAACTGAAGGGCTGCAGGCTATGCCACAATAACTACAGGTTTCCCCACATGCGTGGGCTTATCCAAGGGGTCCTGAATCTCTGTAGGGGTTGTATCTGTATCTCTGTGTTTGCTTTCTTGCTTTAGAGTGTTCTGTGCAGTATAAAACCTTAAGGGTGTATACTTTAGTTCAGTATTTGTTTCATAAGATTTATACAGTACACTGCCTGATTCTAAAAGGAACCTCAAAGCGGTTTACGAAAGATAAAACAAGAAAATCATTAAAAAATCACAACCATACTCTAAAACATGCAAAACTTAGAATACGAAAGCAGATTAAAATTACCTCAACTTTCATTATAGAATTCCTTAGCTGTTTCTGATTTTACCTGATGGAATATATATTTTAACCCAAGTATATGATTTTAACTTTCTGTGTTGTTTGAATCTCTTTTGAAGGTTGGTGCTGGAGTTTGATCTCCTGGTCTACGCTTTTGGCAAATCTTCTGTCGTTTTTTCCACTTGGCTTTACATGTTCCTGTCCACCCTGACTGTGCCCTATGGGCTCTTCCTGCTGTGGGCCCAGGGCTACCATAGTTCCTCCCACAAGACAATCCGCTCCGCTTTCTTTGGGGGTCTCTTCACGATCTTCCAGATATTTGGGCTTGGAGTGGGACCAGCTTACATAGCCGTCGCCTACAATTTACCACCAGCCTCTGCTTTCATAGTGATACTTGAGCAGGTGAGTTTCATGTGGAGAGCTAGTTTCTTCTGGATGTAGCTAAAGGTCATTTCACAAAGCTTGAATTAGCAAAATGCTGCTTTATGCCAGGATCTGAGTCCTTAGCTAACCTGTAATTTTGTGTACACATTCTACTTTTGCTTCTGCCTGACTTGGGGAAATATTAACGGCGACAAGTTTTCATTTTTTCCAAGAGATTGAGCCTGAGGGTGTTAGAAATGGTCAGATGCAAAAAGAAACTCACCATAATTCTTAAGGTCTAGTAGGTACTTCTGTTTTCAGATACACTGATGGTTTAAACCACTAATAACTTGCTGCAAACACCCTCTTTTTGAGCACGATGAAGGAGAGAGTAATGCCAGTACAACTGGAAGCATTCTTGAAGGATACTGATTCTCTCGACCTCTTGCATTCTGGGTGCTGACCTTGTTTGAGACTGAATCTGCTTTGGTCTCCCTGCTCAGAGAATTGTAGAGTTGGACGGGACCCCAAGGGTCATCCAGTCCAACCCCCTCCAATGCAGGAATCTTAGCTAAAGCATCCATGACAGATGGCCATCCAGTGTCTGCTTTAAAGCCTTCATGGAAAGAGAAAAAACAAGTTTAGCTCCATATTTGAAGATGGCTATCATACCTCATCTTACTCTCCTTTTTTCCAGGCTAAACATACCCAGCTCCCTCAACCGTTCCTCATAAGGCTTGGTTTCAGCACCCCGGTCATCTTGGTTGCCCTCCTCTGCACACATTCCAGCTTGTCAATATTCATCCTAAATTGTGGTGCCCAGAATTGGAAACAGTATTCCTGGTGTGGTCTGACCAAGGCAGAATAGAGTGCTACTATTACTTCCCTTGATCAGGACGTTATACTTTTGTTGATGCAGCCTAGAATAGCTTTTTTTGCTGCTGCCGCACACTGTTGACTCATGTTAAGCTTGTAGTCCACCAAGACTCCTAGATCCTTTTCACATGTGACTCTTGGTTATCATACTCGGTCTCTCAGCAGCTTTTTATACTATTGACCATGGTATCCTTCTGGACCATCTCTCCCTTAATTGCAAGATGTCAAGTACATTTTATTTGTTACTCCACTCCTTTAGGTGCGCCTCCTGATGAAAGGCTACTCTTTAATTAGGGAGAATGCTCCTCGAATACTTTCCTTTACACCACAGAAGACAAGTGAGTGACTGTTTTCTACAATAATTGTACAGCTGTGGGGATGAAGGCACCCTCCCTTCTTCCTGTTCTGAGAGTTGGGTTCTGTGACATGGAGACAATTCAAAGACCTGTTCTAGTTTAGAAGAATGTGTGTATGGGCCTCCCCATGTTTTGCAAGATTGCCAGTACCATGCAACTTGTCAGTCTTCTAATGCTTATTGGAATAGGAGTACACATCTTGCAAAGGAAATAAGAGAATCCTGGGTTTAGTGGAACAGGGGAAAGTGCTCTGACAATAGGGGGCTTATTTGGGGTGGGAGGGCATTAAACCTGGGGTGGACTAGAGATGAGGGGCTTGTCACAGACTTGCCTTATTCATTGTAAAAAAAAAAAGTAGAATAAGAATGGCATACAAACCATCTCATTGGACTGAGAAATTCTATAAATGTATTACTGCTAAACTCAAGCATTAATGAACAGTTTGAGACCCATAGAAAATAGGATGGAACCCTGTGGGTTTGTATTTTAGTGTGTGGCATTATCTGGTACTAAACGACTCTCTCCCTTCTGCTTTTTCAGACACCATCCAAGTTCCTAAAGTTTCCCAGTACCTGTATTTCCTCTTTGCTCCCACCCTTATTTACAGAGATGCCTATCCCCGGTAATGTCAATGTAGTTGCTCCATTGTGACTTGGCAATTCTTATAGCCATTGTGATGGTGAGGTTGGGCTGGATGCATGCTTCATAACGGAGGGCATAACACACAGGTTGGGAACCTCAGGCCCAGGGGGCAGGTGCAGTCCTCTGCAGTGGCGTAGCATGGTGGGGTCACAGTCACAGTTGCCCTGAGCGCAAAATTGTTATGGATGCAAAAGTTTAACACTCGGGGCAGCCTCAATATAACTGCACATTCTGTCGCTGGGATCCATTGAAAACAGCTTCTCCATGCGAACCAGGAGGGACCTCTCTAGACCATAGAACGACTCTTCTTATGTCTCTTGGGCGATGCGGATAGTATTAGGCAGTTGAATGTGTTTCCCTCCCTCCCACCCAACCCCTCTGCACGGCCCCAGGCAACCCACGCTACACCACTGGCCTCTGAGCCTCTCTATCTATTGCATTACCCACTTTTGCCTCCGGCCCCATCCACCACTGGGTCTCTAACTTAACTCATGGTCCCGAATTTCTATGGGTCTTCTCTGAGTAAAGGTTAGTTGAAGACAACCATTTGTTTCTCTGAATTTTCCCAGAGCAGGCCTAGTAGGATCCAAAATGCATTGGTTCAATGCATATCTCTTTTGAGCACACCAGAGCTTTTTGCTTCTGGTTCCAATGAGTCTGACCATTTTGGCTTTAAGATATTCCACTGTTCATGGGTTTTGATGGGATTTTTATATATAAGGTTCTAGAGTTCCTTTGTAGAAGTTGCTGTGTTATACAGGGTTGTCTTTCTATTTTCCATGGTATTCCACATTCTCCAATCTGTATATCCTATTGCCCTCAACTACTCCTTTCCTTCTTTATGCAAAATAACAAACTGATTTAAAAAATAGTAATGCAGCTGCACATTTAGTAAAACATGCCATTTGAGCAAAATCATAACTAGCAAACAGACTTTCTTACATTACATATTTGCTGTTCTGGAATAGAAATTGGATTGTGTTTACTGCAGACTACATCAGCTTTGCTGTTATTTTTTATTGCACTTATTAATTGCTTTCATCATGGAAAGTAATTCAAAGTAATTCAAAATTCTCGCAAATTAGGTTTCAGTTGATGCCAAGCAAGCTCTTGTCTTGAATTAGAGGTAATGACTGTGATTTCTTTTTCTTTTCAGAAATCCTACAATAAGATGGAGCTATGTAGCTACCAAGTTTGCACAGGTTAGATATTGCTCTTCCTTTTGGGATTCCTGTGTTTCTGCAGATAATTATACAGCCTTGAAAGCTGATAAAAATATGTACTAGCCTACTGGAGTGCACAAGCCTGTATTACTTATTTTTATTTTGGCATTAAGAAATAGAGACAATGCTTTCTGAAAATTTCTGAATTGCATCCTATTCCCTTAGATTTGGATCACTGAATGAATAATTACCCCTAAACTAATGACAAACACACCTACCCATTATAAGATAAATAAAACAGTTTTGTTTCTCTGAAGACAGGATGTAATAGTTCTAAACAACAAGTCTTCCTAAACCAATTTTTAACCAATGTCTGTGTGCTAGTCTTCTTATCAACCGTGAACGTCTTCCTAAGTTTATAAAATTATGAACAGTGTATAGTGTATTTTTATATTGCCGAGTGGAGCAGATCAGCTAATTTCAAGCAAGGTCGTATTTCTCAAATGGAGATGTAGTCCTTCTCTGGGCTGGGCTAGCCGTGCAGTGTCACATATCCTAAAAGTTCAAAGGACGAATCTTGGATAAAAAGATAGTCTGTTAATCAGTCTCTACTTGTGGAATGAAACCGCTCCCACGGCAGCTGCTGTCAGTAAATCAGGTGTTCCACCTGGGCCCCTCCACATATACACATGCCAGCAGCGCACCTACCCAGGCCTCCCAACTGCTGGCATGGTAATTCTGCACATGGTGGAGCCCACGTGGAATGCCGTTTATCTGAAAGAAGCACGGACTATCGTCGTGGCACTGAAATCTTTGGTCAGCTGTTGCCTACGGCTGCATACACACCAGACATTTAAAGCACTTGGCTCCTCCCACAAAGAATCTTGGGAACTGCAGTTTATTAAGGGTGCTGGGAATTAGAGCTCAGGGGGGGTTTAAAGTGCATTTCTGAAGATTCTTTGGGGAATGTCATGTGCGTTAAATGTATGATGTTTACTTAGCTTAGATCTGTGCATATTGGTAACTGGGATCAGCTTTCTCTCTTACGGATTCCTCCTGTGCTACTTTTATAATCAGGGGCTTTTGTTTTTACTCCTGTCTAGGTCCTTGGGTCACTCTTCTATACTTACTATATATTTGTGAGACTCTGTATACCTACATTTCGGAACTATAAGGAGAATTTAAATGTACGAGGGCTGGTCCTTTGCATTTTCAACTCTATTCTTCCAGGTGAGTGCTTCTGTGCCCCTTTTAATTCTGGAATTTTTCTAAGCAACAAATAAATAATCAGATACAGTGGTTATATTGGCAACAACTGGCAAAGTATGGCCTGTTGGATATATGATCTTAGCTTTGTGGTTCCCTGACTTGTAGGGTTCCTGAAAACCTGTTACTGGGGCAATAGCTGAAGCTGAGCGTGAATCTCACTGTTCTGAGAGAGAACATGGGACGTTGCCTTACACTGATCAGACCACTGGCCCATCTAGCTCAGGGTCGTCCACACTGACCAGGAGTGGATCTCCAGGGTTTCCAGACAAGGAACATTTCCTGGCTCTACCTGGAGAGGCTGCAGATTGACCTTTTGCATGCGCTCACTACCACTGAGCTACTGCTCTTCTCTCTGAACACCTTTTGCAGTATGTTCCTTAGTAACATCAGTCCTGGTAGACTGGAGAAGGTGCGATCCTGCTTCATCCAACTCTGCTTTTTAGTCTTGTGTTGGGGATGCAAGCAGTTGCTAGTTTCTGAACTCAGTTCAAAGTGCTGGTTTTGACCTATAAATCCTCATGTGGCTCAGGACCCCAACACCAGAAGGGCTTCCTCTCTGCTGGTGAACCAGCCTGGTCACTGCATAAATATCTTAGGGAGGAGTGGAGGGTGGAACATGGAAACGGACCCTTTTAGCGGTGGCTCCCTGCTTGTAGAACGCGGTCCCCAGGGAAGAGTGCCTGGCTCCATCATTGTCTGTTTTAGATGCCAGTCAAAAAACAGACAATGGTTCCTAATGGGAGGGTAATCAGTTATTTACATGCCCTTTCTTGGGCTCACATTTTTCAGTAGGGTGGGTAGGATTTGTTGCATTTTAATACAGTGGTACCTCTGGTTACGTACTTAATTGGTTCTGGAGGTCTGTTCTTAACCTGAAACTGTTCTTAACCTAAAGCACCACTTTAGCTAATGGGGCCTCCCGCTGCTGCCGCGCCGCGGCGGTGTGATTTCAGTTCTCATCCTGAAGCAAAGTTCTTAACCCAAGGTACTATTTCTGGGTTAGCGGAGTCTGTAACCTGAAGCGTCTGTAACCTTAAGCATCTGTAACCCAAGGTACCACTGTATATAGATTGTTGCATGGGCACTTCAGGTCATGTTTTGTTACTGCTTTTATATTTGATTTTAATGTTTTTGGTCCTATTTTTCTTATGTAAGTTGCTTTTGAGATACTTTGATATAGTGACAACTATGTTAAATAGTAATAATGTCATTATGAATGATATTAACCTAAAATACATATTTTCCTCGCTGCTCTCCAGGTGTATTGATGCTGTTCTTGGTCTTTTTTGCATACCTTCACTGCTGGCTGAATGCTTTTGCTGAGATGCTGCGCTTTGCTGACAGAATGTTCTACAAGGTAATTGATGTACAAGGCTCATGCTATCTCTCTCACTCAACACAACACACACAGAAGTATTTGCTATCAGTTTTAGAGTGTACCTTGGTTCGTGGAACCCTCCATTTGCTAGAAATGTCGAGAGAGAGAGAGAGAGAGAGAGAGAGAGAGAGTCATTTGGCCATTGATGAGGTTTCTCCTGCCTAGAGAGGCCGATCAGATACCATCAGTTTTCTGGACAACCTGTTAATACATTCCTTTACCTCTGGTGAAAAAGGGAGCCTGTGCCTTTTCTTCTGTTGACTTTTCTGATTCACAAGCATTTGTTGCTATGTGTTGTATTTCTGTTGCTGGGCTTTTTGCATAGTATTTTAACCTTGCTGTGACTTTTAAACAAATGTAAATGGTTTTGAGTATGGTGTCATTGAAGAAAAGTATGCCCATAAATTATTTAGCAGAACTCACCTGCAGCCTTCTTTTAGTGTTGGCATATACTGGCGCCTTTAAATGTTCGCAATAAAGCGTTGCTATATTTCTTTTGGCACCTGCTAAAAACATTTTGCCTATCCAGACACGTAGAAATTGAAATGTGTCTTAATATGTTTTAGCTTATCTGCTGATTTTCTCTGATGTTTTAAACTTTTATTGGCAATTTTAATGCCTTATGTATAATGCTCAGAGGTTCTATTTCTAGTCAAGCAGTATATATATACATGTTGTTAAATAAATGAATAATTCCAAGGGATCATACAAATGTGTGTTCTGATCCTGCTGCTGCTTCCACTTGGGGCCATTAATGATTAGTTTGAGCAGTTTAGAGGACAGTGATAGAAAAGGCCTCTGAATTTCAGCTACCTTCTATATTTCTCTTTTCTGAATGTGGTTTGCAGGTTGCCCCCACCTACATTGAATTACTGTTCATGTAGAGAAAATGTCACATTTGAATTAGCTCTGATCATTTTGGATCTGAGCCTTGGAGACCTAGTGTAGCTACAAATACTGGGACACCAGTGACTGATTCTCAGGGTGGCTGTTTGGGAAGGAGGAGGTTAGGATTTAATGCCTGCAAATGAGCTCTTGGGGAATTTCAGTTATACATTGCAACAGTTCACCAGATGTTCACAGAGATTGTATTGCCAATTGCTCTAAAACACTTGAGTAGCAGGAATGCACTTGGCACTTTGATCCTGCAGCTTTAAACACTGTCTCTAAGGTCTCTGCTCTTTTTACTTCCCTGATCCTCTCTTGCAGGACTGGTGGAATTCTACATCTTATGCAAAGTATTACCGAACATGGAATGTGGTGGTGCATGATTGGCTGTATTACTATGCATACAAAGATTTCCTTTGGGTAAGAAACCATCTTTTAATGCACCCCCTTGCTTCAGCTCTAAAAGAAAGCCATTTTTTAAAAGGAATGGCAGAGATCTTTACATTTCCCCCACAAAATGATTTTATTAAAGTTTTAATGTAAAGGAGAATTACACAACATGTAAAATACCTAGTCACTTTACCCATACAGAGATCTGACAGAAGGTGGAAAGAGAGAAGCTTGTACTTATGCAGTCTGGTTTGTATCCAGTATTTGGGAAGTCACTTTTTTTTTTACCAGTCTACCACCAATTTCACCCCTCTATGCCGTATCCCACACTGTTCCAGCTCTCACGTTAAGTGTTTGTGGGGCTGCATTGAGTAGGAGGGATCAGCAAAAATGAGCTGCCCTGCCTTGTGCAAGTAGAAGTCCTTTTGACAGAGCAAGGGCTGGAGACAACCCTCCCTGTGCAATAAATGTGAATGGGCAATTTAAGGGTGGTTATCACAAGCTGTTCACTGTTGTTTTTGAAAATTGGATATCCTCTGATACATTCACCTATCAGAGAGTCACCCTTCCCCTTGTTTGTCTGTGTCTCTCTCTCACCACCAGTTATTTGGGAAGAAATTCAAAGCAGTCGCTATGCTGTCGGTCTTCACTCTTTCTGCTATTGTGCACGAATACATCTTGGCCGTCTGCTTTGGTTACTTCTATCCGGTCCTGTTCTGCCTCTTCATGTGTTTTGGAAGTAAGTACCAAATATATCTTTCAGCAGCAGCAGTTTCTGAAAATACTGAGAGTTGGCTTTTAGCTGCCATCTGTACTTAACGTTCTAAGGTGCAGGAGATTTGTGTTGCAGCCTGCCCTAGCATTTGCACCCTAAAACCCGGAAGCCTCTCATGACCCCAGTTAAATAGCCATTTTCTGAGACTGATCATGGTCAGAGTAGGAGAGAGGTCTTTCTTCGCTTGGCCGAGGAGTAAGGACTTCTAATGCTCCAAACTGTAATTTGTGACTTTCTCAACGTCTCATGAGATGATCATTAACATGCATTTTGAGTACATTTTAATTTTCTTCCGTCAGTGGTTTTCAACTTCATTCTCAATGACCGTCGGAAAGGCCCCATTTGGAATGTGTTCATGTGGAGTACGCTCTTCCTTGGTCAGGGTGTCATACTTACCCTCTACAGCCTGGAATGGTATGCTTATAAGCACTGCCCTTTGAAAAATGTGAGTATCCTACTTGTCATTGGAAATAAGAGGAACAGAGCTGAGCTGCTATTCTGGACTATTCAGTCAAGGCCTAAGATGTGAATGTGAAATTCGAAAACCTCTTTCAGATTTTTAGAAGGTTGCATTCTGCCCAGAATAGCTACCGTAGAGGTTTCTTTCTAACAGGGTCAGCAAAAAACAACAACTTTGAAACTTCCTCCATGTCTTTTTATATGAATACTGTAAATTTATGAGCTAGTTTCTGCCCTTCTGGAGAGATGAAAGCCAAAGGTTCTTAGAGGGTGGAAGGGGGCAGTAAAGAAGGGAGGGAGAGGAAGGTAATGGAAAAGAGTGAAAGGCCTTAGTGGTTTCTTCATTCTACTTGCTGTGTTCTCTGCATCTTTGGATCTGCAGGGTTCAAACAAAGAGAATTCACGACATCTTTGCCACATTTAATATGCAGTGCTCACTACCTTTCCTTATTTAATATGCAGTGCCAGTTCAGCCCACATGCATATGCATAACCCCCTGGGGCTGGTTCTTGGACTGTTGAGGCCTCATAGTAGCTGGAGCCAAGTAGGACTGTAGTTTCAGGATTGCGGACACCTTAGCAATTCTGCTTGACCTGGAAGACCTGCCATTCAGAGAGTTAAAGCTCTTTGGGTGAAGCTGCCCTGAAGGGAGGTCTTATTGGGAAGGGCAAGCCTTCACACACACACACACACACACACACCTGCACCCCACTTCTAATTGCCTAGATTGGCTGTTGCAAGTTGGGTGGCCGCCCAGGCTTGAGAGACAGCAAAGTAAAACATTTAGGTTTCATCACTGGCATTTGTTCACATGGCTAACGGATAACTCTACAGAAGTGAAAGTGCCCAGCATTTCCTGCCTAACATTACTGTTCCTCTTGTGTTTTATAGCCCACTTTCCTTGACTATGTGAAACCGCGTTCCTGGACTTGCAATCTTAAGTTCTGACACCCTTTGGGATAGACCTCCGCGTCAAGGCCAGAAGATGCTTGTCTTTTAAACAGTGACAACACAGCTAGCGTGTTAAAACGACTGCAGACTTTTTAAAGGGAAACTGTCTTTAGTTATGGCAAATGATGGCATTTTGTCACTCAAGGCAGCTAGGACTGCAGGTGGCTTGGCAGATGGTCCTCTTTCCTTCGGCAGCTCCAACCTGAGCCATTTCCATGCTGGTCATGAAACCTACTGAAAGGTTGGCGAAGGAATTTCCGGTGAAGTTTTTTGCCTATTGCAAACAGTACTTTTATGCGTTACTACTTTTCTCTCTTAACTGTCTGAAATTGGCAGTATTGTGATTGGGGTTAGGCTTGCCTGTCTGACCGTAACCGTCCTTCCGAATCGCCTTTTGAAACGGGACACTTGCGCAGTATTTGTATGCATTCTTTTCCTTGTTGCTACAGCACAATATGTGATGGAGCCAGTGGCCACAAACACTGACCTTGCTTTTTATTTACCAGCCAACCTCATTTCCTCCCCAATCCCAAGTATAGGCAGAGATGCAGGGCTATTTGCAGTGGGGTGTGGAAAAGGTAAGGAGAGTGGGAGAGAGACTTGGGGTTTCTTACCTTTCCCAAACCACGGCCAAAGCGAGGAGGGCTTGAGTCTGGAAATGTGTGTTACTGGACACCATTCTTGTTGGAGGGCCAAGTTCACTTGCCACTTGTATGTGACTTTGTGGATACCTGGTTGGAGAAGCAGTAAGATGTTTTACACCCTTTTCCGTAGAAGTAGCCTTAATGTAAGCATATGAGTTTTGATTCATCCACAACCTTTAATTTGCTACAACAAATAGTTGTTGAAATGTAAATTGGCCTGGGATATATGGAATCTGTTAACTTCTGCTTTGAAGGATAATATTACTGATTCTTATGTGTCACGAAAGGTACGTCATAACTTTTTGCCTTGTTTTCAAGCTTTATTTCCTCCCTCCCCCCTCCCTTTTGAATAAATTTTCACTGGCTGAAGTGTACCATTTAGGGAAGGATCTTCCTTTGGATACTCAGCCTCTTAATAATATGAGCAGTAAAGGTTGGTCTTTTCCTTACCAGGCTCACTTTGCCCTTTGGATTCTGATCCAGTAAAACAGGCAGCATTAAATTGAGTACCACAATTAAGGTGCAACTTAAATTGCAAACATGTTGCACTGTGAGTAACTTGCATTCTCTCTGCCAAGGATGACTATTTGCTGCTTTCTCCTTGGCAGCACCGCAATGCACACAGTGGCCCATGGTCCAGAAGCCTTGGTGCACACGTGGGACTGTTTTCTATACCAAAACTGGGTGCTGTCTGCTACGAAGGGCTGCATCATTCCCATTTTAACCAGAACCAGTGTCTTCAGGGGTTCCTGCTCTCTAGCTAAGGACACAAGCGGACCTGATGCTGTTTATGCAATTAGTTCTTTTGAAAATAAATAGCATCTGTCAAGCCCCAATGTGGATTGGAATTGTGGCATACGGCTGGGGAGCTTTAACAATAGGCTGCCAGTTTTGATCAGGGGGATCCCCACAGTGCTATGTGGATTAAATTTTTATAAGCAGCGAAATGCTGCCCTTTGCTACATGTCCAGTTTAAGTTTCTTGCATTCCTCACTGATGATTACTGCAGCGATTTGGAGGGCAAATGCAGTTTGTGTTGAAGAACCTAGAGAGTGTGTTGGCTTGAAATGATCATGCTGCTCCACTGAAAACGCTGGTTTACTTTGTGAGACAGCCTTGGGTGGGTGGTGTGCTTAGAGCTACAGAAGGAGGGACTGTGTCATTGTGAAAAACAATACCCCTATATTGCTGACTGCTCACTGTGTAGTCTATAATCTGGAGCTTTTCTCTCAGCCGCCCTAAAGTGCATTTCTGACATGTTCTAAGAGTGCAAAGGAGTGGGTGCTATATACTAGCGTAGGCACATTGGGGAAATGCAAGTTTTTTGTGTTCTTGAGCTGATGTCCTTGGTATTGTCCTAAATTTGGTGCCCTAGTAAATTTTAGGTGTTGGCGGCTTTTCTCATGTCATCTAACTGCAGCAAAAAATAAAAAGAAACTTAATTCTGATTTATACTGCAGAAAACAGCTTAAGTGATAAGTGTGCTAATTTTAATCAGTACTTTGATATGACCCAAGTGTATTGCCATTTAGCTAAGCCATGTGTTCCAGGTTTATTTGACTAAGGTGGGTGTGTCATTGATAATTTTTGTGGATTTTGGGGGAAGTGCCACCTGGATTGAATATTATGAACAGTAGTTTCAAGATGCCAAACGTCAAGTACAGTATTTAATCTAGTTCAAAACTTAAAAATGCACTGAAACAGTATCCACTTTTGGAAAAAGATGAGGAAATATGAGCATCTGAATTTGGATCAACACCCTTTGTAAGCTCTGAAGGAGTCTGATAGTACCCTTCACAAACACACTGTTTTTAGAGGCTACTCACTTGCAGGTTCTAGATAGAGGTGTGAGAGAGATTTCTGTTCCTAGAACATTACAAACTATATGTGCAGATTGTAGTATTGCTAAATCAGTGTTAACATGGTCGACTCATCCATTCCAAAAAGCTTTTTGCTTTTGTTTTTAAATTGTCTATGATGGCACTGTAATTGTCATTATAAGATGGCCGGGATCCACCCAAAGAATTTTCATCGCATTGTGTCCTTTTCTGCTGCTTGTTTAAAGAGAACCCCCCCCCCCAAACCTCCATCTTCAGAATATAATTTGAGAATTTTATCAAATTATCTTGTCTTTGGGAAATACGTGTACTTTTTTCTAAGGGGGACGTGTGGGAAGATCAGTATACTAATTGTAATCAACCTCATGCTTTGGGACTGAATCTGTGAATGTAAACTGAATGGGCACAACATGGTTGCAAATCTCTTGCGAATGATCTACACAACTGATTGTAACCTTTGTACCTCTGCGACGAGGCATCCTGTTAACCTGGAAGGTGCTGGATTGCAGGGCTGTAGTTTTCCTCTTTCTCAGAATGAGCAATGGGGAAATTTTCTTGCACAGATGGTGGTGAGAAGAGGACAAACTGTACCTGACACTGAAATGGTCTTCCCAACCCTCACTTGCATCTTTTGTAATATGGAGGACATTGTGGGTCAGGGAAGGTTGTTGATGGTGGGATATAGAATTGTTAACCGATTCCAAAATGTATCGAACCCTCTGTTGTGACCTATTCTGTTACTTGCAAGGGATTATGTGATCTATACTGTACTACAGAAATTGAAATATATTTTGCTATCCATGAAACTCGTCTGCCTGCATTCATTCCAGCCTTGATGTACTGCACCTAGACAACGAACTGGTTGAAAGTGTGGTACAGTGGTACCTCGGGTTACATACGCGTCAGGTTACAGACACTTCAGGTTACAGACTCCGCTGACCCAGAAATAGTACCTCTGGTTAAGAACTTTTGCTTCAGGATGAGAACAGAAATTGCGTGGCGACGGCGCGGCAGCAGTGGGAGGCCCCATTAGCTAAAGTGGTGTCAGGTTAAGAACAGTATCAGCTTAAGAATGGACCTCCGGAACGAATTAAGTACTTAACCTGAGGTACCACTGTATTCTCCATTCTATGTTTTTGTTTTATGGTGTGTTTTGTATTCTCATTTTGTATTTTTCTGCTGTGAACCGCCCTGGGATTTTGGGATGAAGGGTCAGCTACAAATCTAAATCATCATCATCATGATCATCTATGCGCATCTGTGGTGTGCATTGAGACGTGGAGTGTGTCTGTTCAGTGTGCTAGTCTACTGACCGGCAAGGGGACACAAAGCACTTTCTAAATTGGGTTTTACTATTCGTACCATAGCTGTCCACTTCCCCCTTTTTTCAAGGGAAATCCCCTTATTCCCAATAGGATTCCTCGCAAGAAAAGGGACAAGTTGGCAGCTCTGCTTTGACTCAGAGACTATAAAAGGGACCCCTCCCTCTGTGCGCATGTCCTTGGCCTGGAAGGGAGGCGGACACGTCACTGCCCCTCCCTTCCTTCTCTCTCTTTGGGCGCAAGCGCGGCGGACCGGCCTTTCCTGGCGCGCATGCTCGTTGCTTCTTAGGGCAAGGACCCTTCCCGGCTCCCATCGCCGTTGTCAAGGCGTCTAACTCGGTGCCTTAAAAGAAAACAAACAAAACAACCTTTCTAAAATGGGGCGCGTGGGAGAGAAGCGGGCGGATAGCGGGGATGAAAGCAGGGAGCGCCTGGCGGAAGTTCTGGGCGGAAGCGGCCTCTGCCCTGTCAGGCGCTGAGAGGGACGCCTGCCAGAGGCGCGCGGTTCCCATGGCAACAGACGCCGCCGGGAAGCGCGCGGAGAGAGGTAAACGGGGCGCCGCTTCTCCTCCGCTTCTCCCCCCGAGATGCTCCGGGCGGGGCGGGGGGGGCGAGGGAAGGGAGAAGGGGAGCTGCCCGGGAGGCCATTCACACGTGCGCCCTTCCCTCTCAGGACAGCGGGGTCGCCATGCAGCGGGCGGACTGAGCCTCCGGCAGCCCCGAGGCCACGAACCTTCTGCGGAGGTGAGAGCGGAGAAGTGGGATCAGGACCGGATCCAGAGCCCCTCGGAAGGCAGCAGGCCAGGGGGGCCAGACTCCCGACTCCGCTCAGCCCTGGCCAGGGAGGAGGGGAGAGGCAGCCCCCAAAACCTCCCCATCCCGGGCTGGGGAAACGGGGCTCGGGGGGTTCTACTCGGGTGTATTCTCAAAGCAAAACACAGAGCACTAAAAAAGAAACAAAACAGTCCGACCAAATGTCCTCACACTATTCCCTATTCTTCAGTGCTCCCTCGTCTTGCTGTTTCCCTAAATCTACTGACCATTTCAAAACAAATACATGTATCTTAAGACAGTATTCATGCCTCTTTCTACTCAGTTTTACAGGGAAAAGGTGGTCTGAAATGGAGTAAATCTTGATGGCAAGTGACTCTCTACTGCAGGAGTCCAACTTCTTCCTTGTAATGGGTTAACGGCCACAGATGGAGCAGCTTGCAGCGCAAGCAGAAATGTAGGAACACAGTGTGCTATTTATATCCTTTCCCCCAGGCTAGCATACCTTCTTAAACAGAGTCTGAAATTGAATCACGTCCATTGCAGTCATACAGTCTATCTATGTGTGTTATATATCCCTTCCAGATATATGCAGCAGCCAACAATCTGAGTCAGTGAGCAAGCCAGCCAAAATCAACATTTCAGCATGTCTGCAAACAAAGGACTCGCTCCAGTGCTGCCATTTACATTATCTCAGCCAGAAGTTAAGAACTTACTCTGAAAGTAACACCACAGAAACTAGCGCTGATATGCCCAGGAACCTCACCAAAATGCTGGAGAGGCTGCACCTCCACATGTGGTGGGAATGCCCCAAAATCCAACCCTTCTGGACAACAGTCATACAATAAATATGCAAAATAACTAAACAGATATTAGAAGTCACCCCAGAACTGGCCTACTGAACATCTTACAAGATAATAATGCCCAATCACACTATAAAAAGCTCATAACACACTTACGCTCAGCAGCATGAAGCATCATAGCCGGACATTGGAGAGACCTGTCAAGGGTAAACATGGACCACTGGTATCAAATTGTATGGGAAATGGCCTTACTAAAAAAGCTAACCAATAAACTGAAGCTGACACAGGGACAGATAGAAGAGGACTCCATCACCCCAGTATGGCTCCCCTTTAGCACATACACTGCCCAACAAGACAGCAACAAGAATCCACCAACAGCATGTGAATCAATATGGCTAACTTGACCCATACACACAAACAAATCTCTGCAGCCAACCAAAGACAACCAACCACACCCTGGGCCACCCCACCCCCCTCTTCTCAACCTTATACTGCACACAACACTTAATATCACACAATAAATGTAACTGATCTGTAGAAAACACAACCTGAAGACTGAATCTTCCAGAGGGTGATCTGCAGCAAGCCCAGTGGTCAGGGAAATGGTGGGAGGTATGGTACTGTTACAAAGGTGGTGCACCACCCCAAATTTCTCCCAAGCAGTAGGAAGATTCCAAGGGGTCCCAGGCACTCACCCAGGGTTGTGTTTCCTTTGGGAAAAACTTTAGGAAATATGCATTATTTTACACATATTAGCACCTGGAGTATTCAGTGGAGGGGCTGCAGAGTTTACAGCAGGTATAGGCAAACTCAGCCCTCCAGATGTTGTGGGACTACAACTCACATCATCCCTAGCTAACAGGACCAGTTGTCAGGGATGATGGGAGTTGTAGTCCTAAAACATCTGGAGGGCCGAGTTTGCCTATGCCTGGTTTACAGCATTCTCATCTGAATAAGTTCTTGCCCTGATGGTTGTTTTTCATTTATGTGTTAGTGGCAGAACCACTAACTTCTGCCTGACGGAAAAACAAGCTTAGCCTGTTTGCTCACCATGATTATCAAAAGTTCTGCTTAAAACCCCAACACCCAAGAATCTAGAGGGGAAAACCTTGCACCTGGGGTTGCGGGGGGGAAGGGGCCCTGTTCCCTCGCTAACCCATAGCAGTACAAAACACCTTGGCTGCCCCTGTGTTAGCCTGTTGCAGCAGAACCAACAAGGAATCTTCTAGTAGCCTAAAACTGATTTTGGCAGGAGTTGTCATGAACCTCAGTCCTCTTCGCTTTCGCTTTGTCTGTGCTCATTGATTTTTGTTCGGGGTTTTGAATAGAGATGCTAGGCAAAAGAAAGGAGTGTGCATACCTTGGGAATGATGATGGCTTCAATCCATCCTCCCCCGCTGATTCTCCGAAGAAATACAATAAAGCTGTCACATGTCACTATCGTTGCCCTGTGGGAAACGGATAACAGGAGCATTTCCTCTCTGACTTAAGCTTTGCTGTGTGTCTCTCCCAGTGGTCTAGCTAGAAAGCATGTTGCAACTGTGTTTGCATAGGCAGGTCCTTCCTCAGTGTCCGTGTGTCGTCACAAGTAAACAGGCTGTACCCAAGGAAACCCCAATGGGAAGCAGATAGGAAGTGAGGTCACTGTTCCCGGCAAGCAGATTAGGAAGTAGCTGCAGGGCTAGGTTTGGTCACAGCAGCTGCCAGAACAAGGCGAAGGGAACCGGCTTTGTGGCTAATGTGCTCCTGTCACCCTCCTTCCCAGCGCCATGGTGTGCAGGGGTTTGCATCACAGCCCTTTGCTGTGTTTCTGCCTCTGCTTTTTGCTGACAGGAGCACAGGGGCAGGCAAGGCAAAGCAAGCCTTGGGAGCGCAGAGACGCAGCTCAGAGCTCAGCCTTGCAGGGCAGTGAACACTACGAGCGGCTGAGGAATCACCTGGGGACCATGAGGGCCCTGTCCAGGAGATATTGGCAGCTCCTGGCCTGCCGGCTGTGGCAGGAGGACTGCGAAGAAGAAGTGGCAGAGAAGAATGAGAGAATGAGGACAGTGATGATGGAGGAGGAGGAGGAAGAAGAGGAAGAAAAAGGAGGCACGGTCATCGTGGAACACCAAGGTAAAGAGATGTCACAGCCTTTCCTCTTCTTCCCCGACAGTTGCTTCTGCACAGATTAAAGAGGCAGCTACCGCTTCTTAGAATTTAGCTCACTGAACAAGGAAGAATATGTGTGCATGTAGTGGATGGTCTGAGCGGTCTCTCAATTCTTAGTTTTGAGCCACATATTAAGACTGCAATCCTATACTCACTTCTCTGTAGTGATTCCTGTTTTAACCTAGTGGGACTTACTTCTAGCATTGCACTGCGTGCTAGTCTCCCTGTGAGTATTGTGTTTCAGAGCTGTGTATTATGATCGGGGTTAGGGGTTCGTTGCTTTTTAAAAACTGACTTTTAATCATTTTCATATGTTCATCCTGATGTTGTTTTGCATATATTGTACATTGCACTGCACACTTTATAAGGGGAGCAGTGATTACTGTAAGCAAACAACGACCTAATTTGGCTCTGGATAATATCACTCCTGCCTCCAAAAAGTTGCTAGCAGAAATTTAAAAGAGCATATGAAAAGGCAAGTTTTAGTATATAGTCTTCTTTTTCTGTTAATGTATGCCTTTTATTACACAGGTTTATGATTTTTGTAGTGGTTTGTAGGTTCCCTTGAATGCAAGGATTACAGAAATAAATCTGGCTAAGAAAGTTTATATAGAATCCTGAACCATCCAAATCTCACCTTACCTTGGGCTCTGCACTGCAGTCTCCTCAGTTGAGCTGGGCTGCACAAGTTGGAGAGTAAAGTGGCAAAATCCTGTGTAGAGTGGGTCTTACTACTTCAGGCAGCAGGTGCACACTTTTTAAAGTATGTTACCTCATCCGTAGCCTGAAGTGGTAAAGTCCTTGGCAGGGCATTCCCATCTCCTCCTGCTGGATGCCAGAACAGGCCATTCTTAGTTGTCATACTTCTCAAACACCTGTGATGATAAATAATTGGATGGTGGGGGAGGCCACCCACAGATATGGGAAAACTACAGACTGCTTGAGTCTCTTGCTGGACTAGCAGAGGTCTTCACATGTGTTGTTGCTTCACATGTGTTGTTGCTGCGGCATCCAACAGAAGTGCTAGCAAGGACGTCCGAGGGAGTGGAGCTGAAAGCTTTGGGGAAAAAGGCAAGAGCAGACAAGTGTCTCTCGCGCCTGCCCTCAAACCCTTGCCATTTCTGGTACCATCAATGGAAGTTGGTGGGGAGAGTGCACCAGTGGCAGAGGTTGCTTTGGGCAAGCCCATTTCGGACACACTTCTTCCATCAAGAACGGCCAACTACACAAAATAGTTGTGAGGATGAATGCAGGGCGGGGGTGTGGGTGGTGGACAGACATGACCTGCTTGAGTCGTGGGCACTGAGGTAGCTCCCGGCTTTCTTTCCCAAAACTGGCTTGGCTTTCTCCTAGGGTGGAGCTTGCCCATGGTGAGGGAGATCGTCTCCAGCTGGTACTGCAGCTTTGGCAAGTGTTGCGCAACGGGAGACTGCAGAGTGACCAACAACATCACAGGTGAGGACTGTGTTTCACCTGGCACCCTGCGTATTTCACATACGCCCTGCATGAACTGCCTTCGGGACACTGGCACCTGGTGCCCATCAGAGCTGCTGGGGCAGCCCAGCCACTAAGGAGGTCATGTGGGGTTGGGGTGGGCAGGGGCAAGGCCATAGGTGCAAGGCCAAGGAGGTCAGATTTCCTCCCCATCCTGCCTTGCAAGGACAGTCTGGACACTGAAGCATTGCAGTCGTACTAATACTTAACACCTATGTCAACATAAAAATGAGGGTAAGACCCACAGTACAAGTGGAGCTCATCTCAGAATAAGATGCAGACAATCCCATTAGTAAACACAGCTATGTCTTTCCTGTAAAATAGCTGGAAACACCACAAAGCAAGAGCTGGTTTATTTCACTTGTCTGAGAATAAATCATGTTAAAGCCACACTCCTTATTACCGCTACACCAAAAAGGAGGATGACAACAATAGTAATGGTAATCATCATCATTAATGAAGAGTGTAAATAGAAAAACATTTGCTCCCAACAAAAATAATGAACACATTTATTGTGTTCTGGCTAGAGTGGGTTTTTATGCCACAAAAGTCATGTCTACTCAGAAGAAAGTGCCAAGGAAGTGGGGCTTAGGATAGCAGCATAAACTGCAACTCTAATTTTCTCTGTTAATCCTGTGAGCGCTGGTGAGTAAGAAGTTCTAAGTCCCCAAAATAACTCTCAGATAGAAAGAAGCCTAGCAGATAAAAGGCACCCTGGAAATGTTCAGCTGCAGTGTCCCTGTTCAGCCTCTTACAGGTGAAGAAAAACTACATTTTTCAGAAATGCAGATGTACTCCAGATGTTGTTGAACCCGAGCCCCAGCCAGTGGGGTCAGTGATCAGGAATGATGGGAGTTGTAGTTCAGCTACATCTGGATGGCTGTTTCATAGGATACCCACCTCTATTTTGAGTCTCACAATGAAAGAATTAAGCACAACCCAGCCTCTCTCACTAAAACCTGTGGATTATATAAACAAATCTTAAATTATGACTATCATTTTCGGGATAAAATAGGAAAGATTCAAAATTCCATACCCAGTTACATGGAAGTAAGTCCCACTAAATTCAGTGGGGGTCACTTCTGCGCAGACATGTTATAGAGTTGCACAGGAAGACAGAACTCTTATCGTGAGGAAGCACCAGCATATTTTTTTTTGGGGGGGGGGAGATTCCAGACCTGAACCCTTTTGCCATATTTCCTGCCTGCAAGAAGAGACCACTGCTCTCATTGTGCAAAATCAGGGATTCCCTTGCTCCAGTAGAGGTTTATCCTCATTCCACGACAAACTGGAGGGTGGGCGAGTAAGGAGCATTTGCCTAGGACTGACTACATGCAAAGTAACCTGCCCTGCCAATTCCCAGCTAAATAGATTTTGGGAGGTGCTTTCCTCCAGAAGCCCTTGACCTCAGGATCAAACACACTACAAGCCCTGCCATCTCTCTCTCCCTCTGTTGAGCAAATATAAAGGGAATCCTCCTCTCACTGATAAGGAGGGATTGAAGGAGAGGCCTGCCGTTTTTTGAAAACTGTTTCCTCACCCTGCCAACCAAGCCTCCATAACTCAGTTGGTTAGTGTGTGGTGCTGATAACGCCAAGGTTGCAGGTTCGATCCCTGTATGGAACAGCTGCAAATTTATGCACTGCAGGGGTTGGACTAGAGGGTCATCAGTATCCCTTCCATCTCTACAATTCTATGATTCTATTTCTCTCCCTCTGTTGTTGTTGTTTAGTCGTTTAGTTGTGTCCGCCTCTTCATGACCCCATGGACCAGAGCACGCCAGGCACTCCTGTCTTCCACTGCCTCCCGCAGTTCGGTCAAACTCATGCTGGTAGCTTCGAGAACACTGTCCAACCATCTCGTCCTCTGTCGTCCCCTTCTCCTTGTGCCCTCCATCTTTCCCAACATCAGGGTCTTTTCCAGGGAGTCTTCTCTTCTCATGAGGTGGCCAAAGTATTGGAGCCTCAGCTTCAGGATCTGTCCTTCCAGTGAGCACTCGGGGCTGATTTCCTTCAGAATGGATAGGTCTGATCTTCTTGCAGTCCATGGGACTCTCAAGAGCCTCCTCCAGCACCATAATTCAAAAGCATCAATTCTTCGGCGATCAGCCTTCTTTATGGTCCAGCTTCTCTCCCTCTAAGCCCCTTATTTATTTTCCCTCCCCACAAAAGAACCACCATAGATAATGAAATAAGTATCAAGTCTCTGCCTGTATGTAGCTGGCACATTTTATCATGTCACGCAAATAAAACAAAACATGATAATGGCTAGCTAGCCAGCACTCACAAACATTCTCTTCTCCTCATCCATCAAAATGCAAGGTAGGACTTAGAAAAAGCCCCCACCCCATGCCCAAAGACTGCCAAGTCATTGAGGGGTGAATTAAAACCATTTTCATCCCTTCTGCGTCCTCCCCATGAAATCTTTCCCTCCTCCCACCCCCAAAATAATATTTTATTGACTCACAAAACAAGTTGTTTCCACACTCATTTGTCTCCTTGCCTTCTGCGCCACATATTGATGTGGGCTGATGTACTCTTGGTCTCTCACACACTCAGGAACGTCAACCAGTTGATGTTATGAAAGCAGCAAGGCTGCTTTTGGCTTAACTCAACGGGGCTTGCAGCAGTGGAGGGAAAAGATGGTTGTGCAAACTCAGGAAGAACCTATGGTTGTGACTGGGCTTCAAAGACAAAGCCCAGCTGATTTGGTAATGCTAATTGTGTTGCATGTTAACTCCTGTACGCTGATTGGCTGGATTGCCAATCAGGTTGGGAAAGCACACCTGGTTTACCATTTGCCTCCTACATCCTAACAGCCTGGGAATGGCAGTGAACTTGCTGTTGAGGTTTTGGCCAACAAGTGAGTAGTTTCCTCAGAGCTTTCTGTGGCTACAAATAACCCTTGTAAAACACAAAGGCTCCAATTCAGCTGAAATCAGCTGCAATTAAATCCCAAGGAAATAAAGGGACAAGGTTTTCATTATTAACTTTGTCCCACTGGGAGCAATGGGCCCTAATTCAATTGCATTTTAAAAAACCCAAAGTGGAGATTCTCAAATAAAGCCTGTTGTGGTCTTTCATCTTTTTAGGACTGAACAGATACCCCTTTGAATATCTCAAGTTGTCTAGCAATACAAATGATTCTGTGACAAAGAAAGCTGGGGGAATTATACAAATTTGCCAGATCTCCTCTTATTTTGCATGAATTAGTCTGCTGCTGTTCTTTTAACTATTTTACATTTATCCTCCTGCTGCTAATCACTGGTAAACTCAAGAGATTACAAAACTCATAGAAACACCATTACTAACCACTGGAAGCCCATTTTCTGCTCACCTGCCCTTGCCCAGTTTCCCAGCAGTAATGGTGTAACTTGTTTAAAGGAAGATGAAGGTCTTTGAAAGGTGGAGTTTGTGACTTCTCTACAGTTCTATGGAATCATCACACACTTGCACCCAGAGACCTCCTCTTAAGGGATGAATTTCTAGCAATACTGCCCTCCTTCCATTGTGCCTTTTCTCTCAACCAAAAAATGATACGCAAAGGATTTCCTGCCCTTTTATTCACCACCAGGGTTGGAGCTGGAGCTGGGCAGGCGACTCCACGGGCAACACTTAGCAAAAGATGTTGTCCTGAAAGCTGTTCAAGGCTTCCTGGAAACCCCTCAGCCAGAGAAAGCCTTGGCCCTTTCCTTCCACGGCTGGTCTGGCACAGGCAAGAACTTTGTGGCCCGGATAATGGCAGAACACCTTTACCAGGATGGCTTGAAAAGCGACTGTGTCAAAGTCTTCATCTCACCATTTCACTTCCCTCATTCCAAGTATGTGGATATTTACAAGGTGAGGGGAATTTTTCTCAGACGATAATTAACCAGTGTACTGATTGTTTTGATGTCTCAGTGTTGAATGAGTGTCCCTCTTTGCTCCTCAATTCTTAACTTTTGTAAAGTGCCATCATAGAACTGTGGCAGAATTCTAACCTTACAGTGCCGCCTCCCTCCCCTCCCAAATCACTTTTTGTCTGCATTTGCCTACACCCCACCCCCACGGTGATGTGTCTTGTAATTAAAACCATTTTGTGCCACTCAGCTTTTTATTTATGATTTTATGCTGGCTTCATGACATGACTATCTTTCTTTTTAGTTGCTCAGTTTATTGGCTTCAAGTTTTTATTGTTTGATAGCTTGTACTGCAATAACTGGCCATGCAAGGTTTATTCCTTAAAACAGGGGAGGAGGAGACCCTGCAGTCCTTTAGATTTTGCTGGACAACCACCACTTCCTTCCCCGACCATTGACTGGGGCCGATAGGAACTGGAGTGTAGCAAAATCCGGAGAACCAAAGGCCCTCCTCACCCTGCCCTAAAAGGTGGGGAATTAATCTTATTAAATTCATTTCCCGTCTCCTTTGGCCGCTCAGGTTCAGCTCGCAAAACAGATCAGTGGGACGGTCCAAGAGTGTGAGCAGTCACTGTTCATCTTTGATGAGGCAGAGAAGCTTCACAATGACCTCTTAGATGGCTTAAAACCCTACATGGATCACTACGACAGCATTGATACAGTGGATTACCGGAGATCCATCTTCTTATTCCTTAGGTGATTACCTCCCCTCTTTTTTTGTAGTCGATGTACCAAAGAGGGGTCTCTTTTTCCATATGTGAGTTTCCAATATGTGAGTTTGAAGAGAAGTTTATAAGCTTATTCAGGTGAAAACCCTGGGATGCATCCATCTGTCACAAGCAGTTCCTCTCCCTGCCGTAGGTGACATGCTGCAGATCCTGAGGAAAACCTCCAGTGCTGGCCAGCTTAGCAGTTTGATGCAATAAGCAATATCTGCTGTGAAATATCCAGTGGGTTCCATCCCAAAATATGCAAGGGGAAGGACATGCATTTCCCAGTTTGGGGTGGGTGGGGGAAGAGTTGTATCAGTCTCAAAAGAAACTGCTTTTCTGGATCCATATCCAAGGCGAGGCCTTTGAATCTCATTGAGAACTTTACCTACTCTCGCTGAAATCTGAATTGCTCTTGGTACTCATCCTTATCTACGAAAAAGAATGTGGAAATGTCTGTTTTGATAGCTTGTTGTCCCTTGATGTCTGGTACTTTGAAGCTATTGGGATTTGTGCCAGTTTTTTTGCTGACTTTTGGGGGGTAGGGCCAAGAGTTGCATGCTGTGCAGCCTCTCCTGCAAACACAGCTGGGGATTTGCTGACGTGCAGCTGCCCAGGACTAAGTCAACCTCCAGCCGGGGCAGTGGAACCATATCACTGCCATGTCCTCTGTCCTCCTGGCTGCATCCCCAATACAAAGGGGGATGTATTGCAATGGCTGAAGGTGCAAACAAGGTATTGCTGGTTTAAAACTCCCTTCAGCCTTCATTTTCTCACCTGCAGGCCACGTTAAGTGCTCTGAGCACAGGCCAAGCTAGCTGTACCATTGTGTAGGCTGGTTCTCTTTTCCTCTGCGCAGGGGGTGGTCAGGTTGGCCACCACCAAGGGCACAGGCCTGGAAGGGGGAAATTGCGCCTCTGCGCTCTGGCTCGGAGCCTGCCTGCTTGCCCATGCGCTCTCCTTGCCAAGGCTCGCAAGGGAGCCTAGCTCCGCCTCTGCACCCTATGTGCTCCATGCTAGACTTTCCATGACCTTCAGGGTAGGGAAGGGGTCTACTGAAGCCATGGAACAGGGCATGCCTCCTATCCCAAGTGAAGCCAGGAGACCAACCATTTCCAACATAAATTATTACACAGACAGCTCCTGGCAATTTTCTTAAGAGATGTAGCCGCCCCATGCAACCTGCTATAGCACCTTCTATTCTTACATCTGTGCATGGAAGTTAACTAGGACTTTCCCAAAGTTGCTGATCCCTGGTTTGGGACCTTTGTCACGATGGTTGAACGCAGAACAGGTTGTGTGGCAAAGTTATTTTCCCTAGCTGTGGCCTCCTCATTCTGTCGGTCCAACTCAAAAATAATTCTCTCTCTTCCCTCTCAGTAACACCGGCAGCAACATCATTAATGAGGTGGCGCTTGACTTCTGGCGCGCTGGTCGAGCCAGAGAGGAAATAACCATGGATTCCTTAGAACAGTACCTACGGACGGAGCTGCTGGAGTCCACAGGTGAGACGCCCCTGGATCCTGACACAGTAGGCAGGATTTGCGAAGTTCTCTTTCCCCGTAGGGTTCCAAGGGACTGCTTCACGCATCACCAAAGAATCAACATTTTCCTGTAGACACTGCATTGTGAACCTGTATCAAAGCATTTGTTGTAAAAACACATTCTTAACATGTGATAATGACTTACATCAAGGGTGGGGAAGCTCCAAGGTTGCAGAATTCGTCAAGATGGGGCTGATGGGAGCTGCACTCTCCCATCCCTGGTTTAAGTGTGCATCTGAAAATCCAAGGAGATGGCATATCCTGTCAAGGACGCATGCTGTGGTCAGCCAGTGTCTACTGACGCATAATCCCCACAACAAAGTGAGCTCCCGTTGCTCTGCCCCAGCTCCTGCCAACCTAGCAGTTCGAAAGCACGCCAATGCAAGTAGATAAATAGCTACCTCTGTGGTGGGAAGGTAAACGGTGTTTTCGTGTGTTCTGGCTTACGTCACGGTGTTCTGTTTTGCCAGAAGCGGCTTAGTCATGCTGGCCACATGACCCAGAAAGCTGTCTGTGGACAAAGGCCTGCGCCCTTGCAGGGCCGTCTTTACCTGGGGGTGCAAGGGGTGCAGGGCACCCAGGCACCGAATTCTGGGGGGTGCTAGGCGCCCGCTCTTCGGTGCCTCCATCTCCAGCGCCGCCACCACCACCTCTGAGACCGAGCAACAGCCGCCGCTGCCACTGCCCGGAGCCCCGGCCGAGGGAGGAGGACAAGGAAGGAGCACGAGAGAAAGTGGTGGCTCCCGCGGAGAAGGACAGGGGGCGGCAGCAGCAGCGGGGGCCATCACCACCCCTCGCAGCAGCAGTGCCTCAGGCCAAGTCCGAGTAGGGCTTGGCATCGAAGCAGCCGCCACTGGCACAGCAGATACCTTGGGAGAAGCTGCGCCTGGAGGAGCAGGAGGCAGAATAGACAGCGAGGCAAGTCCCATCTCAGCCTCTCCCCTCCCTGCCCTGCAGAGCCGGCCTGCTGGGAAGGGGCAGCTCCTTTGCCCGCCCGTCCCAACAGACGGACCCTTCAGGCCGGCGAAGGGCCGCGCTATAACCCCTCCCCTGGCGCCGGGGGTGGGTCAGCTCCGCTCTTTTCCCGCCTGGGGAACCCGCCGCCCACCATGGTGCAGGCTTCCCTCCCTCCAGGCCGCCCTAAATTTGGGGGCGCTGGGTAGATCTTTGCATCCCGGCACCGCATATGCTAAAGACAGCCCTGCTCCCTTGGCCTGAAAGCGAGATGAATGCCGCAACCCCATAGTCACCTTTGACTGGACTTAACCATCCAGGGGTCCTTTACCTTTTTTTACCTTTACTGACACATAGTGTCAAGAGCTCCTTTAGATAAAGCAGCGCTTGCTGAAGCAGCTATAAATTCACTGGAAATGTTAGCTGCATTGCTAACATCCATGCTTCCTTCCCCGCGGGTGGCGCTGTGGGTTAAATCACAGTAAGAGCTGTTCGACAGTGGAATTTGCTGCCAAGGAGTGTGGTGGAGTCTCCTTCTTTGGAGGTCTTTAAGCAGAGGCTTGACAACCATATGTCAGGAGTGCTCTGATGGTGTTTCCTGCTTGGCAGGGGGTTGGACTCGATGGCCCTTGTGGTCTCTTCCAACTCTATGATTCTATGAGAGCCTAGGACTTGCCAATCAGAAGGTCGGTGGTTCGAATCCCCGTGACAGGGTGAGCTCCCGTTGCTCGGTCTCCGCTTCTGCCAACCTAGCAGTTCGAAAGCACGTCAAAGTGCAAGTAGATAAATAGGTACCGCTCTAGCGGGAAAGCAAACGGCATTTCCGTGCGCTGCTCAGGTTCACCAGAAGCGGCTTAGTCATGCTGGCCACATGACCCGGAAGCTGTACGCCGGCTCCCTCGGCCAATAAAGCGAGATGAGCGCCGCAACCCCAGAGTCGGTCACAACTGGACCTAATGGTCAGGGGTCCCTTTACCTTTACTTTTTATGCTTCCTTCCCACTGTCTCTCCTGCTCTTCCCCTTCCCTTGTCTCCTCCTGCTGCCAAAATTTAGACTGTTAAGATCCCGGGGACAGCATTCTATCTGTTTTGTTACTCCACTAAAGGCCACATACGCTGATGTTCCTGTACAAACAGCCCATGCCCAACTCAGCTAGGAAAGCAGCAGTCTTTCCTAGCCAGCTTCTGTGGCAACCTGGAGACACAATACCTTGGGGGAAAGGGAGGAAAAGTGTCTTATGCACCCCTTCCACTTCTTTTCCTCCAGATGAGGGTTATGCCCACAACCGCCTTCTGGAAGAGAATCTCATAGACTTCCTGGTACCCTTCCTGCCCTTGGAGTTCCGCCACGTGAAGCTGTGTGCTCGAGATGCTTTCCTTGCCCGGGGCCTTCAGTTCACCGAAGAGGCACTGGATGAGGTTGCAAGGATGATGGTGTTCGTCCCCAAGGAGGAGAAACTTTTCTCAGCCCAGGGTTGCAAGTCAGTCTCTCAGCGTATAAACTACTTCCTTCCCTGATGTTGTCGGAGTTTGGCTGCACAAAGGGCTGCAATGCAACCTGCTCTACTTCCTCTTCCACAGGGAGCGAGAGGTGTTTACTTCACTGACACAGGGCATTAAATCCCCTACAATGTGGGGGCTGCTGGAATGGGGAAAAGCAATAATTCTGAAGCCTGTGGAGGAACATGCATCAGCAAGTGAAGACATTGCCAATGAGTAGACACTATGCAGCAGGAATCAACATCAATGGTGCTGTTAAAAAGGACATTTTCATGCGCTGCTTTGGAATAAATGGTGGGCATTTAGGCAGGTCCTGAGGCAGAGAAACTACAGCAGCAAGTAGAGTTGAAGGCTGCTTCCTTTTTGTCTTGAAGACTGAGATTTCTTTTGGCGGTTATCTGAAAGGAGACATGACATCCTCCTCTGCCCCTTTAGGGGTGTGACGAATAAGGAGCTGGAATATTTGCTTACAATGCAAGAAATGCCTCCGAGTTATTGCATGAATGAGGGGACTTGCCCTGAACTTGGAGAGGTAGTACTTACCTTCACAGTACTTAATAATCAGCTTTTAAAGGATGCGGGGATACTGCAGCAAGTAATCTGCTGCAACGTTTTGGCTAATGTGCTTCCCTGTATATATGTACACTATGGAGAATGCACATTTGCAATTTTTGATTTTTAATCTGCTAAGGGACTTAAATCCAGGACACCATCAGGGTGTACTCAACTCAAAGTCTGTGTTTGTGTTGGATGGGTATGGGGTGGGATGCAGCGACAAGTGCCAAAAGCTCAGCGCGGAAGTTGAGCAATAAAGCTTAGTCAATGGGAGATAAAAAGCAAACACTGTTTGCATGAGCCAACGTTCGCTGGTTTTGCAAACCTGCATCTTTATGAATTAAAACTTGGCACCGTTACCCATTTCTGCCACAATACAAAGCACAGGGTGGTCAAGCTTGGCATCCTGAGGCTTGTTCTGGCCCACTTTGGACATACTTTAGAGAGTGCAGCAGCCTCACATTGGGCAGGTGTATCCTACTACTTAGCCCACCAGAAAGAGATGCAGTGCTTGCTTAGCAGGTAGGAACACAGGCCAGAATGATACAGGAATTTAGAAATGAGCTAACATTTCAAGCCTCCACACATAAGCCCTGGGCAAACATTAACCCATGCATGGATATCAACCAGTCCTAGAGGCAGCCTAAGCATGCCTGGTGGGTGAGGCTGGTACAATTTCATTTCCTCACAATAAAAACTTGCAAATTAATCCAAACTATTATTCTGGTTTAGGGTGAGCAGCAGGAGAGGCTAACCCATGGCTTGTGCACTGAATCTAACTTCCTCTTGAGCTATTTTAGTGCCCTCAAGACCCTCAATAATTTGGTGCCAACCTTCTATTAGGTTGTTGTTGTTTTTGCAAACTGTTCTGCTCTGTGCCATAGTCTGCTGTGGTGTGCAGCTTCCTCATTCTTGAAAACTTGCATCTGAAGCACTTGCTAAAAATAAAAGCGCAGGAACCACCCAAATCACCCTTTCTTCTGCACTGGAAAAGTCCCTCTTGCTCTCATGGTGAAGCAGAGCTGTAGAATCACTGCAATGCTCTAAGAAGGCTGTCTTAATGCTGCAAGGTTGAGTGAGACGGAGAGAGGGCTCACCACAATTAAAGTTGAGACATGGCTATGGAAAGCCCAGGCATACAAGCTTGCTCATTGGGTCAGCACTTCACACATACTTGGGAAATGAACAGAAAAACACACTCCTGGCCCAAGCACTGGTTGCTACAAGATGAAAACAATCGTCCAAGTCCTCTCCCATCACTCTGGTTCTTCTCCCTCTCTTGACAGGGAAAATAGCTTGTCATTAGTTGGTCTCTTTGCTTTACCAGCACATTATGGTTCTAGCTTATTAGAACAGAAATGTGCATTTTACTTCTCATAGGGCTGGAAAATCCAACTGCTTTCCTGAGCACAGACGAAGTGCGAGAGCCACAGCAGGAATGGGGGGCAACAATGACTTGACAGAGAAGCTTTAAAAGCCTCAAAGTACAATAGCTGGAAACTGCACTGAGATAGCCCCCAAGATGAAGAGGTGGTCAGGCATTCTGCTACAGGAGGCACTTGTGGAAAACGCGGGGAGGGGGCAGAATTAACATGTTCAGACAACTTATCATTGTAAAAGCAACAAATCCATGTTTATCCCTTCTACAGAAGTAAAAGGTGAAAAAACCCGCACCACTACTAGTTTCTAATTATGAATTATTATAAACAACATTAAATTATTTGAACTGTAAAAATAATTCCAGGGTCGTCATTTCTGTTAACTCAAATTCGTTCTAAAAATAGTTGTCGCAAGAACTGCCGCTTGGCTTTGGACTTACCCATTTCTGGTTCTTCAGCCATGGTGACTTTGGCACATGGCTCCTACAGAGCTTGCAATGGGACAACATAGACTCTGAGACGTGGCAAACAGATCTAGCACTGGCATGTCCTGATGCTCCACAATTTGGCCGAAAACCTGTGGGTTCAATTGCCACTGCACCTCTGGCACCACTGAGTGGCAGAGCCAGTCTGCTACCACATTGTTGACTCTGGCCAAATACTCTGCTCTCAAAGACGCTAGATGCTTTTCTGCCCACATGAATGGTTTTTCTGCCTCTCAATTCTGCTTTTTTGACCAGGTCCTGGCCTCCTTGTTGACATAGGCATGGGCAGCAGTTTTGTAGGTCCACACCAGCAGGTGCTGATCCTATAACATCCAAACAGAGGCCCTGAATCACTGACTCCTCCAGGTGTGCTCCTCAGGTAATGACAGGCATCTGTCATAAGAACCAGCCTCCGTGGCTCCTGAAGACTTACTCCTGAAAAATGATGGGGGTGCAGTTAGCAGTGTAGCACCTCCTTCAACGTAGGAGGCATAGAGAGTAGTATCTGTTCTTTCTGGATGATCTAGTTCTGAAAGGGGAGCACTTGCTGCAGCAACCTGGAGTGAAGTCTTGCGCATGGCACTAGGTTGTAGGCGCTCACCAAAAGGCCTTGTAGATGAGCCAGAAACATCAGATCCTCAGGATACCTGCAGAGCAGGTCTTTTCCACGCTCTCGTCATGATATGAACCTTTCCATCACCACATCCCGGAGGGGAAGGTTCTGTAGTAGACAAACCTTAGGTAATTATTCTGGTGGCAATGTGGAGACAAGCCTCAGAGAGGTCTACATACCATCCAGTCACCCTCTTTTAGTGCCTCTATGGTTGACCATATTGTTTCAATTTCGAACAGGTGTTGTTGTTTTTTACCCATTTGTTTAGTTATTTGAAGTCTAGAATTGTGCAAATGTCTCCATGCTGTTTGGCACCAAGGATGCGATTAAAGATATTCCAGATCTCCCAGAAGAGGAGCAGAACCTAGGGCTCTGATGTCCAACAAGTGTTGAGTGGTCCATCAGTAAGCCTGATGTTTTACTGGATTTCTGGAATGAGAGGTTGGGACAAACCGATCCCGAGGTCAAATTGTATGGCATTTGGATACCGTCTCTATCACTCACCTCTCTGTTGTTATGTGGGACCAGAGATGGGCAAAGGAGAGGAGCCACTGGGCCCTAAGACACCCCCCTGTTGTAGTCATGCTGAGGTGGCCTTATTGGGCCCCTTTCTGGAGCTTGGGGGGACTGGAAAGGGTGGGCAGGTGGATCGTTGTCTCTGCTTGCCTCCCGCTGTCCTGCCTCCCCCAGATGTGGAAAGAATGTCCTCCAGGTAAACTACAGCAGTATTTGCTTATTACAGTTGAGGACTGCTGCACACAGAAAACTGTGTGTTTGCTCTCTAGGTTTGCTTGCCAAAAGATAAAAAAGCACATGCAACAAAGGCAAGAGAAGAATATGACACAACATGCAGAGTAACCACACTTTGGTCTACAGGGTCAAAGATACTTTCCAATGTTGTCATCCTTGTGAAGAGGATTTGCAATACTACACACAGAAGTGTGGCCAGCTGCTCAGCCACTGGACTTATGGACCTTTGGCACAGTTTTATGGTTGAAAACCTCAAATGAAAAATAAGCACACAACTTCCATACTGTTCAGAGAAGGGTGACTTGGCAAATCGGAAATGTTTGAGACTGATGAGGTGTTTGTGTCCCAATGTCCCATGTGCCAATGCTGAGCAGAGGTCTTCCAGTGTGGTGATTTGGCCAGACCTGGGTCATGGAAACTGGGATTTCCAGTCAGGAAACTCACAGGGAGGCCTCAGGTTTACTTACCGCACTTTGCAAGGGTAACACGGGATGCTCTTTATGCTGTCTTGAACTCCCTTAAGGAACAGCATGATAGATAAGATAAATACTAGCATTGCTTTTTGAGAAAAGCTCCCCTCTGGAAAAAAATAAAGCACAGGATTTTGGAGAGGATGAACAAACAAAAAGTCTTTAAGGAAGAGCAGCCCTAATCAACAGCAGGTGACATAATTTGCAGACTCAGGTGGCCCATAAAAGATATTGACATCGCACATTTATTTTGACAGCTTGAGGACTGGCTAGATATGGTGACACTTTTTTAAATCTCGTGCTTCGAACTCCCCACTTGTTTTTTGTTTCGATTTTTAAATCAGTGCAAACAGCAGTGCTGTGGTGGGGGAAGAAAAGTGCTTACTCCTTTGGCGGGCCTGAACTGGATCAGGGCCCCATACTGCTGTTTTAAGAACTTGCTTGTACAGTATTGTTTTTCTAGATAACACTAAAATATAGACAGAGAACAATATTTGTGGTCACCATACAGTGTGAATATAAGCCCAATGGCCAGTCATATGGATATTCAATCCCTACCTCTATTCTGCAACTTGATGTGTCCTTTGCCAGTTGCCCATTTGGTTGCTTAGTTTTTTTGGGGGGGTTACAACATATGAAATAAAGCAATGTCATATTATGAAGGAGCATATTTATGTGTCTCTAATGTTATGTCCTTAGTTACTTTGTCTTTTTTCTAAAAAATGGATATAGATTCCATATCTGAAAATACCAATGGTCAGTTGTGGACTTGCCATATTATTTGTAGAACCTATGATGTGCTGTCACTACTCAAAACATTAGTGCTTCTTTGCGCAGAGGATTTTCTGTGACAAACAAAAGAGAACAACAGTCACACCTGCCATTGTGCTGGTTTCTTTTTGGTTAGTAGTAGTCTTCAAGTTAGGGACGCGGGTGGCACTGTGGGTTAAACCACAGAGTCTAGGACTTGCCGATCAGAAGGTTGGCGGTTCGAATCCCCACGACGGGGTGAGCTCCTGTTGCTTGGTCCCTGCTCCTGCCAACCTAGCAGTTTGAAAGCACCACAAAGTGCAAGTAGATAAATAGGTACTGCTCTGGTGGCAAGGTAAATGGAGTTTCTGTGTGCTGCTCTGGTTTCGCCAGAAGCGGCTTATTCATGTTGGCCACGTGACCCGGAAGCTGTACGCTGGCTCCCTCGGCCAATAAAGCGAGATGAGTGGCACAACCCCAGAGTCAGCCACGACTGGACCTAATGGTCAGGGGTCCCTTTACCTTTTAGTCTTCAAGTTCTGTTTGGCTAGGCACCTCTATCACATGTGGAAGAATATACCTCTCTGCACAGCCACTCAGACTTTGGAGGTTTACTGAACTGCACACCATTCTCAAGACCTATGGAGACAAGTACCATCTCTGTACTATTTTAAAGGAATTTCCCGATTCTTACCACACCAACGTGTCATGGGCTGGCTGCGTCAGGATAATGCAGACAGGAATGTCTGCAGATCACCCAAGGGAGGGTTCCAGCAGAATGTGGGGGGCCTCTGCTGGGATTGGGACAGGCTGCTAGTGAGGATCGGGTTGGGGGGATCCCCTCAACCTGCTTTCTTGTCTCATCCATCTCCATGATGAGAGTTGTGAGCCCTACCACCTCCTCCGCAGCTGTGCCACACTGCCCACCCTGATGCTGTCAAGACACTAGGACAGACACCCCCAACCTGCGGCCCTCCAGATGTTTTGGCCTACAACTCCCATGATCCCTAGCTAACAGGACCAGTGGTCAGGGATGATGGGAATTGTAGGGCCGAAGGTTGGAGATGCCTGCACTAGGAGCAGCTTAGCCAACAACAACACCGTTTCCTCAGTCTTTAATATAGGATAACTTGGTTATACAATGTCAGCCTGTTTTTCAATTTGACATCTACTCTGACCCCTACAAGCAAATTTAAGCAATGTTGTTGCCAAGAAAGCCCCCCTTCCAAACTTACGTGTCTGTGACTGGGGCAGGGGTCTTCATCACATTCTCCATCTTTATTCTCTTAAAAGCCACACACTTTAAAAATAATAATCATGTGTCAACCTTTATTTGCCAATAAAATATTGCAACTTTTATTCAAAACAAAATGCAAATTGGCAAAAATCTTTGTGGAACGACAGGCAGAGGCGCCTCCTCCAAAGGCCCCTATTTATATCAAGTTAACACTGTTTGCAGTTCACAGTCAGGCAATAGTGAAAATTTAAATTAGAAAAAAACCCAAATATATTACAACAATAAAAAAAAACAAAAACAACAATTAACAACACTAGTAGTGTGGGTTTGCGTGTGATCAGCATATTTTCAATTTCATCCATTTCTCTCCTCAGTGACTTCAACTATTAATCCAACTAACAGAGTGCTCGAGTTGAGTAGAATCCTTAAACATCTTTCCCCGCAACCCTTCCCTCCCACCCTGGAAGCCTGACTCTTGCACAACACACACACGGGTCCGTTTTCCTTAGGCAACTGCAGAGAAATTAGGCATTCCTTCTGGAATATGGAAAAGGCCACCGTTTCATCCCACGAGTATTACTTAAAAATAGCTGTGCAGAGTCCGTTGCGTACAGAACTGAATTGTGAATGGGTGGCAGAAAGTGGTCGTTTCTGAGAATGCTCGATGCTTAAGTCGCCGTGGTCATTTCTGAAGCCCAGCTTTCAAAAACCATCGCTGTGCCTTGTAGAAAGAGGCGGCTGCTAGCTGCTCTGGGCCTCTGTGCTCCCAGGTGGAGCCATAAGGGGTCTATTTGGTCAGTCCGACTACTCCTAAGGGCCACTTTATACTACAGTGGTACCTCGAGTTACAAACGCTTCAGGTTACAAGCTCCGCTAACATGGAAGAGTTACCTCGAGTTGAGAACTTTGCCCCAGGATGAAAACGGAAATCGTGTGCCGGCGGCACAGCGGCAGCAAGAGGCCCCATCAGCGAAAGCACCTCTAGTTAAGAACAGCTTCAGGTTAAGAATGGACCTCCGGAATGAATTAAGTCCGTAACTAGCGGTACCACTGTACTCTGCAAAACCAAGTGGAAAAAGCATCTCCAGGACTGTACCACTGGGATCACGGGGAAGGGGAGCTCCGCACACTCTTCCATATAAAAGGAAAAGGAAAATGGCATGCCAGAAAGGACAGCATGAACCCATTTCCCCAAAATACTAGTTTTGTCTGTTTAGAAAGTTATTAATCTGTGACCCCCCCACATGAATCCCGAAGTGGTATAGAATTGGAGCAGAATTACCATTAGAGTCTATTACAGTGGTGCCTCGCAAGACGAAAAGAATCCGTTCCGCGAGTCTCTTCGTCTTGCGGTTTTTTCCGTCTTGCGAAGCACGGCTATTAGCGGCTTAGCGCTATTAGCGGCTTAGCGGATCAGCTGATAAGCGGCTTAAGGGATCAGCTGTTAAGCGGCTTAGCGGCTTAGGATCAGCTGATAAGCGGCTTAGCGGCTTGGGGAAAAGGAAAAAAACCCCGCAGGAACTCGCAAGACATTTTCGTCTTGCGAAGCAAGCCCATAGGAAATTTGTTTTGCGAAGCACCTCCAAAACGGAAAACCCTTTTGTCTAGCGGGTTTTCCGTCTTGCGAGGCATTCGTCTTGCGGGGCACCACTGTATTTTTGTGAAATGGTCCACATTACTGCAGCAGCAACTTGCTTTTTCACACCGGGTGAAGGGGCTAAGGGTATATAATTAAGGCCTTTTTTGTTTTTGGCAAACACGCAGTAAGAATTGTGAGAAGGGGAGCAAGGATTTCACCACCACTGATGCCACTGTTCAGCCAACCTTGGAGACTGCGCAAACCCTGCCTGCTTGCCAGGAAATCACCTGTTTGGAATGCTTTGCAAGCTTCGTGCTTGACAACCTACTACAGACAGGAGGTTTTAGAAATCTCTGAACTCAACACTTATGAAACAGTCCACAGGAAGAGCGCATATGTCATAACATGCCGGTGCACGTGGAAACCTTCTTAGAGAACATGTACAGTATCTACAATCTTGCTATAAAACCAGCAACATCAGGTAAAGTACTCCTGCAAGCTCCAGTCCTTAGTTGGCAAGGAGGAATATGTTCCTCCCTATTCTACAAGTCCACAGGCTCAAGAATCTTCCCTGCTTGGCTGGGGCCCCCTGTGCACTGTGTTTAAGATGCCTGCTGAGACCCCAGCCATGGGTTGGTTTGTTTTCATGTTACAATCTTGCATTGTGTTTTGTGGGTACAGGGAGTTTGATTTATGGACCAAAGCTCAGCGCCACAATTACTTTTTTTTTAAAAAAAGCCAAGTGGGTGCAGCAGCCTCCCTCTTCAATTACTGTCATCAAAAGTGCAGCAAAGTCTATTTTCAACTGGATACAAATTGTGCAAGAAACTACTTGAATTTGGATACCGATTCACTCCTTACAATTCCAAGGGAAACTGGCCACTAGGATCGTTGTAAGAAGTTATAATTAAAAACAAAACAAAACAGTAATCTGTGAATGCTGCGATTAGCATCACTGCCCTACATTTGCAAACTCTGAAGTCAATAAGGAAGCAGTCCATGTATACAAGACACCCACATGTTGTAGTGTTACAGTGACCACGAGCAGTTTTCTCAAAAGAGGGATCCCAGAAATGCTATGCTGTGATTTTCTCTTCCCCCGAGGGCAGAAGGAGCAAAGAACAGGTCACTATTTCCTTTCTCTAACAAGGGCCTCATACTTCTTCATGTGCTTTTAGCAGGGTCATTCATGCTGCAAGCACCATCTTTCCTTCCCAACTGTCCTCACAGTTTTGAGTCATTAAATTATGATGCACCCAACTATCCAAACCACAAATGGAAGATGACCAAGAACCAACCCAAGCAAAGTTCAAAGAGGTGGGGAGAGAAGACGCAACTAGTTTTTGAAAAAGGCTTGAGGGGAAAAAAATGTATGGAGGTTAATGTTTAACCCTAATCTTTTTCTACATCGAATTGCTCTGATGTGGATTATTTAGAGGGATTCAACACCACTGGTCAGCCCCCACCTGCACCCACCAAAAAAGTTTGTGGCTGGGAGGAAAATAACTGTAGCAGCTAACCCCAGGGCCATTTCAGGACAAGTTTAGTTCTGGAAAGCTGAAGTAGCAATCGGACGGGTGTGTGGCATTTTCACTCAAAATGGACAGGAGCCACTCTTGAGTTCTCCAAGAACTCTTGTCCCCCCAAGTCCTGCAGCAGCAACAAAACTGACAGGGGAGGAAAGAAAACAATCAGAATGAAGAATCAGGCATCAAGGATGATTTTAAAACAAGCCAACCCCCAAATAAAGTTAAGACAAGGTTGGCGTCCCTGTGCTATTGTCTGCACATGAACTATGGGCGACATCCAACTGCAGCCATCTACAAGTTCATTTGTGAGATCTGCTGATAAGTGTACTTTCAAATCTCTCCTGTTCTTACTGGTAACCTGATGCCTATTTAACTGGTTTATAACCACCACCACCACCACCACCCTGATTTTATGTAATATCATAGAACGTAATTGTATGTAGTTTGTGTACTGCACACTCTGTGATCTACTTAGATGAACGGCAGGCTAAAAGCATGCCCAATAAATCATAATAAATTCTGGAAGCTTGTACTGTAGTTGAAACATGGTCCATTTCCCTATGTTTCAGCTATGGCTTTCCCAAGAGCACAACTTCTAGGTAGAGTGAGAAGTTCAAAATGGTGCACTGCTAGAAAGGATTCTGGCCTCCTCTTGCTTTGCTGCAGAACAGCCGCCCTCAGCCTCCAGATGTTTTGTGCTGCAACTCGGATCATCCTCAACATGATCAACATGCATCAATCTGGCTGGGGGAAACAGCCAGATAACCTCTCAAGAAAGCTTAAAGATGGCCATTTCTAACCTTATGCTAAAGCCTCAGAGATTCCCTGTTGCTGTATTGCTGCTTGTGGGGTTAGTAGTGCAATCCAAAATGTATTTCTTTCCAAGTTTCCCCACTTCAGAAGGTACCTGAGATAGGGAACATAACAACAGTGTGCCTTTAACATATATTTACACAGGACCAAGATGATGAGATGATGGCTGCATTCTCTACTCAAGAGCTCGGCCTGGGCCTGCAGACAACCCTGCCAACAAGAACCGGGGGGAGTTGCAACAGTGCTCCTACTTTCTGTTATCCAACTTAACACATACTGACTGTGGTTTTGTTTGGAGCAGAACATTTTGGGTCCACCCCCTTCAAAAATTGTCTATGCAAAGGTTAAACAACACCCGGAATAAAATTTTGCTAGGTTGCCCCTGCTTCAACACACAGAGGTATCTGAAAACCAGGCTATGCATTACTCATCAACTAAAAAATTGTCACATTTAAGCCAAGCCCTGGCTGCTAAGAATCCTGAAGCTCCTCAACACAGACAGGCTAGGTAGTGTTTTCTCCAAGAAATTCAATGGAGATTGATTTTGAGAGCTGAGGATGTCTAGGTTGGAGGAGCCCTTGCTAGGGTCCCTTCAGGGCTCTCTTCTACAAAATACTGCACCACTAGGGATGGATACACAGGCTTGCAAAGTCCAGTGGCTTAGAATGAAAAGGTTTCACCACTGCTCAACATTCTGGCTTCCCCATGTCCCTGGTTCTGATGCAGCATAGGGGGGGTCATTATGGCAGGATGGAAGCAGGTGATACGAGTAGTCACCACGGACAGCAGCAATGAATGGAAAGGAGCTTGGAGCAGGTGATGGGTACTGACAGCTGTGCCTATGCCAAAGGAAAAAAAGGACACTGGACCTCTGAGGAATGCTACAAAAAGGCGACCAGAGCAGGCATTAACAGTAGGCCCCCGGGCACTGGATCGCCGGCTAGTTTTGGCAAAATAGAGACAAACTGGAATGGGTTCAGAGGATGGCAGTGAAGACGGCTGGGGTCTGGAAAAGATGTCCTATGAGGAAAGGTTAAGGAAACTGGGTGCGCTTAGCCTGACAAAGAGAAGGCTATGGTGGAATATTGTATCACTCTGCAAATACCTAAAGGCTATGCTATTTTTCTAGAAAAAGAGGTGCCAGAGCTCACCATGAACTTCTCCTTTGTTCTCTTAAGAGTAGCAATGGTGCCCTCTTGAGAGGGGCCGGAGAGCTCCAGCTGGGGGGAAAAAGAGCCCTGCCTAAAGGGCTGTCACACAGAAGAGGGCAAAGACTTGGTGTCTGTTGCCCAAGAGGGCAAGGCTTAGTTACAGAAGGGGAGACTTATGTTGAACGTCAGAAGAAGCTCCTTTAATAGGACAGGCTGACAATAGTTACCTAGGGGGATGGTAGACTCTCAGGCTCTGGAGGTTTCTAAGCAGAGGCTGGACTCTTGGCTCTTGCCCTGGGCTTCCTGCATTGAGTAGGGTTGGACCAGGTGGTATACAAGGCTCCCTCCAAATCTTATGATGCAATGAACCACTGGTCTCCTTTCTCCTTTGGTCACTCATCTCTGCTTAGTGCTAGCTTCTTCTTCCCAACTGTCGGGTGGGGAGGGGAGAGACCAGCAGAGAATCAAGGAGGAGAAGCCTGCCTAGAGTCTTCTGCTTTCCTGTGTGCTTGCCGAAGTCTTTCTCTGCCTGCATCTGCAGAATCCTTCCATATTCTCAGCAAATCGGAACCTGGTTTAGTCACGGCAACTTTACATTTGATGAATGTAATGTCTGGCCAGGCTCTTCACCTCTATTTGCCCACTTTTGATTTATTCAGTCCAGACTATGAAGCAAACTGGTCCCCTTCACCTTTCCATTGCCATGCACTCATCAGAGCAGCAAGGGCCATTTGTCAGAGTTCATTGCCAATCTAGTTCTAGGCTAAACCATGGGAGAAGTTGCTTTTTATGCTGTGGTGGTGGTTGTTGAGTTAGTGCAGCCAATGGAGAAGGAGTCAAAATCAGAGTTTTGGAGAGAATGCCCCAACGAGCGGCAAGTTTGCACCCTTCCACCATCACTGGAGGTTCAATATAAAACAAACAGCATAGCAATACAATTCCATCTCTCAAGCTTGTAAAAGGAAAACTGCCGCATTTTAAAAAGATTAAGGTGCAAAACAAACCAGACCCTGATTTTTATTTTATTTAAGACCAATGCTGCTAACAAATGATGGGAAGATCCTGTGCTGAATTTTCTTGTGGGGCAGAAGGGGCATACAAGTCCCCAGCAAGAACTACACGCCTTCCCTCCTTTGCCAAATACCTTCTGGGGGCACAAGGAAGTGCTGGATTTTTGAGAGCCAGAATTCTTCCCATGCCTAAGAGATATACACCTTGCCAGGGCAATTCAACTTCTCTCAAAGCTTCAGTTCAGCAACGACAGAACTATAGCTGTGTGAGAGAAGCATTTCTATGTGTTATATCAGGTAACAGGTTTCATGTTCTTGTGTTTATAAGAGAGATGTCACAGGAATAGCAGCATACAGCAGACCTTAACCATACTACAACGGCTAAGTCCAGCAGGTGGATAACACCTGCATATCAAGACAATCTGGGAATTTTCTAGAACAGGAAAGAACAGCTGAAGACAGAAACCAAGGCCTGCTTTACATTACGTGGCATCGACTGTCTGCATGATGGCACGGGCATTGCTCCAACCCAACCATACCAGTAGTGTCCAATCCATATGGATGTCCAATGCTTCCTGCTCAAAAAAAGGGATAGCCGGAAAAAGGCAATCGCAAGCTTGTGATGCTATCTACAGGAAGGACAACGGCATGCAAACTCCTCCGCCATCCTCACCCTGATCTCAACTGAACCCCAAATTTGCTAAGATCTTTCACGCTTAAGAGTGTGATGAGGACCATTCTTATTTTAGGGCTCCTTCTTCACCTCCTCCCAGACACCAAACTCAATTTTACCCTCTTGAATACCTTCGCCCCATTACGCTACACATTCAGGGCATTTCTAGGAAAACCAAACAGTATCTCGTAATTCTGAATAGGGCAAAGGTCCTATTATAAAATACGGATGGTAAAGTAATTACTCTGACTAGGTACTGCCAAAGGAGCCCAATTGTAATTCTAACAGGAGACATTATGAGCTCAGGTTTCTGGTTCCCTCAAAAAAGTAGCTGGATTAGGGTAAGCATTTTTATATATATAAAAAAGGAATGTAGAGAGCAACAGCAGCATTCTGCAGTGACTTTAATCCAGGGTGGCCCCTCAAGGTTTATCAAAGGAGAGGGGGCCAATGTTGTATCAACATTTAAAAACAGACATTACAGCTTTTGGACACATGCTGGCAAATTTGTGCTACAGCCCAAACTACTCAAGTGAGTGCCAGGTTAGATACCCATGCTACACTACCAGGGTGATGACAGCCAGTCTGAGTGTGCGTGCAAGTGAGAGTGAGTGAGTGAGTGAGTGGGAGTGAGAGAGATTGATCCAGTGGCAAGTCAGCTTAACCATCATGGAAGAAGCTGTGAAGGACTGGATGTGTGGATAGTAAAATATGTGAGAAGGATGACAAAAAAAGGGATGTGTATATTGGATAGGGGTTTTTTTTGCAACTCTTACTACAGCAGCAAAATGCACTGTGGAAGTTATGCCAGGTGAGCGGACGCACCACTTCCAGCAGCTCCACAGACCTTCCCCCAAAATAAACCCTCTCCCTCTTGGGAAGATCAGTCCACTTCCGTTCCAATGGAGCCTCTGAACCTTTCTCTCACAATCCCAGAAGGTCAAAACATGCAGTAGTGCAGAAAAGGATCCCACCCCACCCCCTCTCCAATAATTCTGGTCATCTGAACAACATTGTGGAGATCAGCAGGCTCTTCCCAAAATCAAGGCCCTGTTCTTGGTTCTCCTACCTTCTGGAAGGGGAATCGGAGAATAAGCTCCCCATTTTCTGGCTAGGGCAAGTTCTTGACATTCTGCCCTCCTCACTCAGCTGCAAACCGTCTGACCCCCACCCCACCCACCAAATGAAGCTTGGCTTCCCCCTCCCCATCTGCCCCATGTACTGAGATGAACCTGTAAACATGAGAGCTCAGTGATTTGAGGTACTTCACATAAAACTCACTCAAGTATCAGTCTTTCCTTTCCAAAGTATCAAGGTAGGGGAAAAACACCAGAAGGTAGTCATCCTGACCCTTCTCCCTCCACTGGGTGTAGACTTCTTTCCTCCTAACTGGGCGATTATAAACAGTAGCTACCTCTGGACAACATCACTGATTTCTTGAACACAAGACAATAAGTTATTAAGTACAGGGTTTGCTCCGGGCACGCTAGCAGCTGCTGAGGACACCTGCAGCTCCTGCAGGCTGAGTTCCAGTTTGCTCACAGCTTCCCGGAAGGCAAACTTGTTGCGCGTTTGCGGGATGCAGTCCACGTAGCCTGAGCAGTAATCCAACAGCTGGTGCCCCGTGTCCACCAAGTGGCTGTTTGTGGTGGGCTCGGCAATGGCACTCAAGAGGAGGTCTGCGCACTCCAGCAGAGCCTCTTTGCTGATTTTGTCGGCGGAGATTCTCTCAGCTGTCTGTTTGGTCTTTCTCAGTGCTACTTTGGCTCCCGCTGTACCATTGGCCATTTTGGCAGGTGAGGTGGAAGACAATGACAGAGGCACTTGAGGTGGTGGCATTATAGGCCTTCCGGCTTTTCCACCGGCAGGTGCCGCCGCCACCACCACCTTTTTGCTGCCCTCGCTGGCTTCCTGCCCAGGCTGTACCAACGCCCCGTTATTCAACTCCTCTGTCACATCTGAGCAAGTGGGTGGCTGGTTGAGGAGCCTCGTGACTGGCGGTGGAGGGGGAGCGCACTTTGGTTTTATCCGCCTGGGCCTGTCGCTGGAAGCCGTGCCCTGGTGCTCAGATAAGAGCTTGAAGCGATTCCCCTGAGAGTCTGTGCCAATCAGCTGCACGTCTGCTGGCGTATGCTTCAGAGTGGGTGAGATGAGAACGGGCACTTTGTGGTTGTGGGTGACAGGAAGGACTGCCGCAGCCTTGGGTGGAGAAGGCCAGCCTGACTTCTCCTCGCCTTCTAGGGACCCTTGCCGCGTCCCGCTGTTTTTCTCTTTGCTCTTCAGGCTCGCTGTGGCTGTTGGCCCCTGAGTGTCCTTTTCAGAAACAGCCGCATCCGCAGAAGGGGTCCTGAGGGGAACAGCCGTGGCACCTCTGGGCAGAAGTTTGGCTTTTGGTCTGTCTCTGGTCAGAGTGGGAACCTCTTCACACCTTTTAGAGAGCAGGTCGCTGGACTTGCTAGTGTTCTCCTCCGGCTGAGAGGAGGTGGAGACTGTCCTTTCCAGCTGGACTTTGGACCTGTGGCAATTTCGGGGAAGGGTCATGGCCATTCTCTCCTGCTCAGGGAGACCAGAGGACATGGAAGATGTCGAGTTGGACCGGGGGAAAGGCTTTGACGCTTCCTCCCCACCGGTGGGCCTCCCGGCTCTTAAACCCAGGGTCTTTTTAATCAGCCGTGGCGTGAAGAAGCCTGTGATGCCTGACCACCCGCTGCCGGTACTTGTGCCCCCACCGCTGCCGCTGCCACCGCCGTCATCCCCATAGAAGTTCCGCTGCGTGAAGCCCCCAACATAGCACTTAGACGAGCAAAGGTTTCCATCCTGCTGCGAGGCGGTAAAAGAAAACCCATCAATGTGTTGCAGAGGACCAACGGCTGAAAGGTTACCCGTCAGCTCATACTTCTTGTGAGGCTGGTTCTCCATCTCGCGGAAAGAGCTGCTGCGCTTTGGGGGCGTAGGGGCATTTTTCTTCTTCATGAAAGAGCTAAAGAAGCCCCCCTTCCTGTCTCGGGTGAAGGTGGTCTCCCGGGTGTCTTCCAACAGGCCACTGGGCGACTTGTCTCTCTGCTTGCGAGGTAGTGCTGGGGATCCGCTGGTCTGCTGTGTGCTTCTGATAAAACCTAAAGAAAAGGAGAGAGAGCAGACACTTTCCACCATGCTGCCAGGTATTTATGAAGGTTGGGATTCTGACTGTACAAAGTTATGCAATGTACTATATCACCCATGTGTGGGCTTATTGCAAATAGTTGCTTACTAGCCGCAACTAGACATGATTGGGCTCTCCTAGAATTAAAAAACATATATATTAACAGCTGCAGCCCCCTGAAACAAATCACAGTGCAAGAGGAGGATTTTTAGGGCCCACCCCCCCCCATGCTACTTTCCCAATTAAAACCATGCCTGCACGCTATTTGTCCTTCAGGAGAGAAATGCTTACAGGTGTCTGTAAGACACCTGTAATACCTCCTTAGCAGTATGGGAGCTGTATCAGTGGCCCATCTGCTGAATGCAGGGCAGCCTCACCCCATCAAACTGCATCTGAGACTGCAAGGATGTTTCTCCAGGTGTTTCCAGATTACAGCTTCCATAATTTGACCATTAGCATGCTGGTTGAAGCTGGTGAGAGTTCAACAGCATATGGAGTGTTAGAGATTCTCTACTTCTGACTTAAGAGCTTCAGTGAGACTAGGAAGATATTAAATTTGCTTTGTTCTCAGACAATCCAAGACATCTATGGAGCAGAATCAGTCCCTTTTCACATAGTTCTTTCTTAGAATCCGTTTCTTAGGTCAGCACTTCCTAGCTGTGTGTACTGAGAAACATTCATTTCACCTCTTTTGTGGTAGGCTCTATAAAGAAGACAACTTTACACATTTATGCTGCTAAAACCCTTACATTTAGTAATGAATTACAGCTATACCTACAAAGTGACTTATTCTTAGTTGCCCTCATTTGGAGAAAGTTTTCAAAACGGAGTGTTACAGCCTTTTCAATTTTGTTATGTAGGAAAAGGAATAACTTCTTCCTGCATTACACTTGCAGTTCACGTTGCAAAGTTAGCTTGCAATGACCTGCATCCTATTTTGCCCGTGCTAATCCCACATATGTTTTCTGACAAATTTCAGGGACTGCAGCCATGGAGTGTCGACTGAACGTTTACCCATTTTGCTCACTCTGGTATGGATTATTTGGGGGGCGGAGACACAGCTATGAAGCTGGCTCAAACCAGCCACTCCTGTAGGAAGCTACAAATCTGTTTCCTTCTACCACAAAGGCAGAAGAAAGAACTGATTCTGAGAAGAAGAGCAAAGTGCCTCCAGCCCACAGCTAGGCCTTTCTTTGAGACACTGCCCTACAGGAGCCCAAGTCTGAATATTAGAAAAATCACTTATGAAGTCACAGCACTCAAAGCTTTTTGCTTACCAAGCATACCTGGTGCAGAGCTGGAAGCAGAATGCTCTACAACCTCCTGAACTCCTTCGATGTTCTCTTTGTTTTCAGCCTGTTTTTTCAAGGTCCTGGTCTTGGAAGGAAGCATGGGCAAACGAGGCAAATATGGAACTATGGATGAAGAAGATGCTGTCCTTCCAAGCTCTTCTGCCACTTCTGTAAGAAACGTCAGGGGAATAGTTGGAACAGAGAGCAGCAAAGGAAGAGGAAAGCAGACCTGGGTGCTAACGAGAGGCACTGGACAAGGGAAAAAGAAACATCACTGAGAGATTCTAGGAAGAGACTGAATTCAAGTATAGAGAGGGGTCAGTTCTAACTAAGGGTCTCAAAATGCCACAACAGCAACATAGACTGTTGTAGGAAACAAGAGGTAAGATTTCCCCAAGAAGCAAACAGTGCCTATTACTCAAGTTTTCTATCTTGCCTGGTACACAGAAATCAGAGGAGAGAATGAACAGAGGATGGAAGCAGCAGTGGGAAAAAGTGTGGACTACTCTGGGTCGTCCCGTGCAACGCAGGGAAGGTAAGAAGAGATATGAATATTCCCTCTGGCTTGATGCACATTCTGTCACAGAAAGAAAACCTGCATCTTCCCAGAGATATGTGCACAGGACTCAGAAGTGTGGGAAGAAGCAGTACAAGTAACCTCAAGCTTCCTTCCAGTGTTGCTTCTGGGTTTTCTACAAAACAATGGTCAGCTCACCCAGAGTGGCGGCCTAGGCCTGCTGGGACTCTTTTGCCCGAACTCAGTGCATGCTCTGCAGGGGAAAACTGAGGAGCTACTCAATGAATGGCAGTATTCAACTCAATTTCTGTGCTAGCACAAGGATCAGCACTAATGCAAGGGGATTCCCCCCTTCCCCTGGGTGTGCACTGTGCACATGAGGCTTGGGGCTAGGCGGGTGGAGAGGTTTGCAGAAGCACAAAACGGAGGTGCAGTACCGGTGGAAACTGCATTTCCTCCTGCAGAGTTCTCTGCACATATCACGTACCTCCATCCATGTGTAATAGCACTCTGAGCAGGTTCAATTATAGCTCCCTGCTTATGACTCATCTTAAGCAAAACTAAATACAATGGGAGATCTTATCACATGTCACATCCATTTGGGATCTTAAAGTGGAGCTGTTCACAGCTTCTGGCTACATGTTTAAACACATCTCTGCAAACATGAATACTAGAATTTTAGATAGAAAAGCTAGGTTGAAGCCACCAGGAAATTGAATTTTTCAGAAAGGCATGATGCACAAGAAACAGAAAAGGGTTTATTTGTGGCACAACTCTTCCTTTCGCCGACTTCCAACCCCAAGATTTTTTTACTTTGGCCCAGCAGATTTAATCATAAACCGTGATTTTGTGTTAAAAGAATGAGTTGCTGTGTGTGTGCTTTCCTCTTATTTATGCATGAAGGATGAAGTTTTAAAATTTTCCATTTCTGGCTGTGAATAAATGGCCGGTCTCCACATTACAGGAAACTGGCTTATCTGAATCATAGTTAGTTCTATCAAACCAGCATCAGGACTGTAACTTAATATTCTGGTTTATGAACTAAGTAGTTTAAATAAACCAGTGTTTCCCATATTCAGCTGTTAACAGGAAAATGATTTGTTCACAAATGTGAGATGTTTTAAAGCTTCTCCCCTCACGCACACAGAGGTGTGATCCTGAGGCTTACAGCTGCTCATCCTCACAACGCCAAACCACAACTTAAGAATCCATTTTCCAGTAAAAATCCAGAGGTCAATTTGAAGAAACGCCCCCATAAGTTCTCAACTGCTAGAAAGGTGAGGGAAAACATCATGTGTTTTAGAAGTAAACATTTGTAGAAAGTTGAAAGATAAGGAAAAAGGATTCTCACCTTCATTGATGCTAGAATCATGGAACATAGTTTCAAAGGCTTGATGAGTCTCAGCAAATGAAGGCCTGTCTAGGGGATTCCATTTCCAGCCTAAAGCATGATAGAAGCAGAAAAAAGTTCTGTCTTGACAACATGGCAAGCAAAGCAGAAGGAAAAGCTTCTAAATTCCTCCTCCTGGCCATATCCCAAGGTTTACTATGCTGCAATAAATTATGGTTTAGCATGACATGCAAATGAAACCATGTTCTATAATACAGGATTTTATGATCCTATGTTTGGTGACTTCTGCAAGTCCTAAACCTCTGAATCCCAATCCATTACTGGTATTATGAAAACTGGATTGTATTTGTTAAAAAGTGACGAACCACCCTGAATTCAACATCTCTTGGCAATGGAAGCATATCTGATCAAAACAGGCTCCAACCTCCCTATTAATTGCTTGACTTAACGTCTTAATCATATCGGCATCAAACAGCCTTTCCATTTGCTTCTGAAATGTTGTCTCCTGCTTGGTAAGTAATACCAGACATAATACTGCACCCTACTGGACACAGTAAGGTAAAGGGACCCCTGACCATTAGGTCCAGTCGCGGACAACTCTGGGGTTGCGGTGCTCATCTTGCTTTACTGGTCGAGGGAGGTGGTGTACAGCTTCCGGGTCATGTGGCCAGCATGACTAAGCCACTTCTGGAGAACCAGAGCAGTGCACGGAAATGCCGTTTACCTTCCCGCCAGAGTGGTACCTATTTATCTACTTGCACTTTGACATGATTTTGAACTGCTAGGTTGGCAGGAGCTGGGGCAGAGCAATGGGAGCTCACCCCGTCGTGGGGATTCGAACCGCCGACCTTCCGATCGGCAAGCCCTAGGCTCAGTGGTTTAGACCACAACGCCAACTGCGTCCCTGGACACAGTACTGTACGCCTAAAAGGCAAGTTACTGGTGCCTCGGAATTTAGAGCAGTCGCCAGAGTCTTGGTGTTCTGCAAGTTGAAAAATATCCAGAGGTCTACATGCTTGGTTACAAAGAAATTTCATTTGTTGTTTGTGTTTAACTTTACAAAAGTTGAAAAGAATAATGAGGAATGCCTGGTGGTTTTTTTGGCAATTCCTCCCACCCTACTACAGTCCTTGCTGCGAAGGGGCTCCCAGTTCTCCAGAGACGCTTTTTGGAGGGCTCAGGAAGTTGCAGTGAGGAGAAGAAAGGCTCTCTGCTTCTTTGGCCTTTTACGCAAGCAACTTTGGATCCAAACCCCATGGTTTTTGTCAGAATTGTCTTTTTCAAGAGTTTCCCCCTGTGTCACCATGAGGCAAATAAATTAATGGAAATCCCCTAGATTCTACTTCATACAACACTGATGCTGTTGTATTAAGTGACATGGGGTCTGCACAAACCCCTCAGCGGATGTTTGTGTCAATGGACCCGTCTTTTGCTTCTGTTGATTTTTTACATAAGATGTCAGCTGGTAACGATTCTCTTGCATTTTGGACAAGAGACTGGTTGCATGCCAACAGACTTACTCCCAGCTCTATATGCAACCTGTCTGTTATAGCAAATCAGCACAACTGCCAGTCCTCCTGCATGTTCTCACGATGTCTCAATCTACGTTTTGTTACTAAAAGTAAAGATGAGAACGCAATACTCACATGCTCTCATGAGTTCGTAGACTTTTGGGGGGCAACCTTCAGGCTGTTCCATCCGGTAGCCTTTCTCCAGTAGATCATAAACCTGAGAGAGGTCAATGCCAGGGTAAGGTGACATTCCATAGGTGGCAATCTCCCACAACAAGACTCCAAAGGCTGCAAGTTAAACAAAGTCAATTTTAACCTGATAGTCCTGTCATTTCATGGAATCACAGAATTGTAGAGTTGGAAGGGCTCCCAAGGGTCATCAACCCCCTGCAATGCTGGAATCCCAACCTCTGCTTAAATACCTCCAAGGAAGAACAGTTCATGACCATTAACCAGTGTTTCCTAAACTGTGGCAAAAAGCAGCTTCTTTAGAACTACTACTTACAAAGTAGAGGGAAATTGCACGCCGAGCAAAGTTTGTAGGATTTGGGGCTGTTGTTCTTTGATGTGGCAATCTAAATTAATCAGAGTACAGTCATACCTCGGGTTGAAGTTGCTTCAGGTTGAGCGTTTTCAGGTTATGCTCCGCGGTGACCCGGAAGTAACGGAACGCGTTAGTTCCGGGTTTCGCAACTCGCGCACGCGCACGCGCAGAAGGTCAAAATGACGTTACGAGCGTGCACAGAAATGGCTAATCACGACCCGCACACACGAGGGTTGCGTTCGCTTCAGGATGCAAACGGGGCTCCGGAACAGATCCCGTTCACATCCAGAGGTACCACTGTAGGTTCTTAAGCCTCAAATTCAGGTTATATTGCAGGGACAGCCACAAAGTAATTTTCACTAGCCACTGGCAGACAGATTTTAATCAAAATGTGGTAGAAAGGTTTCCCACCCATAAGAAAAATTAGGTTTATGATTTTTAAGAGATAAGAGGTACTTCAATGTTACAATGTTCTTTGTGACAGCCCCAGCTACCCCACTGGCTTGTGCTCCATAAGCGAAAAGGTCTTACCTTTAGGTGGTGTCAACAGTTCTCTACAACCTGACTATGAGGTTTCGGGCAAAATACATTTCTAGCTGTATTAGATTAGAGCTCATTCTAAGAATACCAGAGCAACCCACATTTAAATGTACACAGGAACTCCATGCATAAGAGCAATGTTCTTCCTTCTTACCCCAAACATCTGATTTGATTGAGAATGTGTTGTAGGCCAGACTCTCTGGGGCTGTCCATTTGATAGGAAACTTTGCTCCAGCGTGAGCTGTGTAAGTGTCTCCAGTCATCAATCTGCTTAATCCAAAGTCAGCCACTTTCACCACGTGGTTTTCTCCAACCAGACAATTGCGAGCTGCTAGATCTCTGTGTAAACAAAGACACTGCAGAATGACGACCTCTGGTGCCATCAAGATTCACCCTAAACCTTCTGGCACAGATAAGTGAATATGATTTTACAGCTCAAAACTGGTTGTCACTGGGTGCACAGGAACATATTTAGCCTTTGTGGTTCTAGAGGTCTGTTTACTAACATGTGGAGCTTGATCAATGCTTCAGCATTTGAAAGGTACAGCTTTGGTGCCTGGCATGCTTGTTCTCTGTTCGCCTCCATGTTTTATAACACCCAGGGATGCATCGGTAACATATTCACTGTGGTCTCTCAAGCAATCAAAATGAAGACAAGGATGCTGTGCAAATTGCGTGCTATAAATTTGCATAGTTTATTTTGAATGCAGAATCCACAGCTGGGGAGAGGTGGTAAAGAATGTGAGCTGTGCAAAGTCTGTATTTGTGCCTCATTATTTCACTTCTTTAGAGCACTGAAGCACTGTAACCAAGTTGTACTCTTTGCAACAAGGCCAAAGCTTCTGCTAAGATAAATGGCACTCCCTCCTTTGACATGGAACACTTTTAATTAAGTACACTGCAAGCATGAAAATGGGCTACAGTAAATCAGCTTCTGGTTGCTACTAAACAGCCAGTGACAGTCTCCGCTGAGCGCAGTAAATCTTACTATGCTATCATGCTGAGCAATCATCTTATGTGAAGCTTTGAAATTCAAATCAGAGAACAGGGAAATAGAAAGGTATTTGAATACTATTTGATTCTGGTCTAAAGAGGCTTAGTTTCCAAATTCATGCCTCTTGAACATGCCAAACAAGGCAGCAATTTGGATGACAGACGACAGTCTACTGCAATAGAAGAATGTACCCCAAAACAAAGGCCCTTTCAGAATACAAACTGTAGTCGCTATTCTCTGAGGGACTCATGGAACTCTTAAAACACCAAAGCAAGAACAGATGAGATACAGCTATTGGACAAAAGCATATGCAAATCAATTCATAGGAGAGGCAAAACTGAAACACAACAAGAAAATATGAGTACTACAGTAAATTTCCTTGATTTTACTCTAGTGTCCTGCCATACCAGGATTTACATTTCCATGCAAGGACTTAAGTGACGAAAGATACAGGAGTCAAGAAAATGGGACGTGAAGAATTCTTTTTTTGGGGGGGGGACGGTATGATCACAGGAGAGACACTGAGCTGCGTAGGTAACAAATTATTCACCGCTGCTGCCCAAAGTGTTCTTGTCTGAGCCTTCAAATATTTAATTGAGATATTTAACATTTTAAACTTTTTTTTCTCAGAGGAAACTTGCTATGTTTCCCCTCACATGAAAGCTAGAAGCTCAGGATTGTTTAGAAAACCTGAAATATATTAAGCTCTGTCTAGAGAGAAGAGCTGGCCCAAAGCTATTCTGTTAAGGAGGCAATTGCCTCATGAGCAGGACTTGCAAGAGTTCTCCTTAAAAGCATATAATCAGATCTTATCAAAGTTCCTCATGGAAGGTCACCCAGACCCACACTCGCACCCTCCTTTTACAGAAGTCAAGACATTCTGCTAACCTGTGGATGAAGTTTTTCTTCTCCAGGTATTCCATGGCAGAGGATATCTGGGTAGCCATATACAGCAGGACAACAGCAGTTACTTCCTCCCGATTGCACTCCCGCAAGTAATCCAGCAGGTTCCCATACGGCATGTATTCTGTCACTATATAAAACGGGGGTTCCAGAGTACACACACCTGGCAGGAGGATGGTAGAGTCTGGTAAGGTTTATCTCTTATTGTAGGTACAATCTTCTAATGTGACTGAAGCAGAGAGTCCCCAAAATGCTGGAACAGCAGGTAGTATTAAGATAAGGTGTGTGGGGTGTGTGTGGTTATGTTCAAGTTTCCAAGGTAAGCACTGATTTTCCTATTTCCACAGTGTCATAGGGAAGGATTTCCATACAATAGGATTTGGATAAACAGAACAAGGAAATAATCAGCCAAGGAAATAAAAAGAAACATGGTTAAAGTGGCACTAAGCTTGACAGAGGAGGCAAACATGGAGGATTTTTCCAGAATCAAAAGCTTCCTCACTCAGGGAATGGATATTATGCTGACGGCTGTTCCTATGCAGTGACTATGCAGTGCCTCTGGTTCAGAATTGGGACTGCAGTAAAGCGGAAAACAAACAAATAGACAAACAGGCTTTGTCCTTCCTTCCTTCCTTCCTTCCTTCCTTCCTTCCTTCCTTCCTTCCACTGCAGGAATGTCCTGCCATTTTCATCCACAAAGAAGTCACCACAACTGGTTGCAACAAGGTCACATCTAGCATGATCCACTAATCCCACAGACACATTAAAATGCAACTTCTCTATTGCTAATGGAATAAAAATTATCTCCAACTCAAAAACTAACTAAACTTGATCTCAGCAGCTAAGGACCTAGATGAAGATAAACACCATTTGAACTGGGGACACAGTGAACTCATTCCTGTGCAGTAAGCTAGTATGCAGAACCAGATATCGCATTCACCCTAACAATGAAAACTCTGAAACTGAGCTGGAGAGGAAGGGATTCAATAAAGACATAGGCCAGTGACAGAGCACATGTTCCAAGTTCAATCACGCTACATGGAGCACTGGGGAAAACCTCTCCCCAAGACCCTGGAGATTCACTGAAGTCAGAAGAGACAATACTGGGCTAGGTGAAGTACGGATCTGACCATTTTCATTGTTCAAAGAACTTCAGTTGTCCATATTGCCACCACCTGGTATCCATTTAGTTTGACACTTCATCCTGCAAGGAACTATACACAATTGCAAGGTCTTAGGATGGATGATCACTGGTTGTCTGAGACCATGAATACATCACTATGACCTCACCCCAGTTCTCCTTATATAAAGTGGGAACAATCGTGATCTCTCCAGTTGTTCTATGGTAAACAAGACTATAGAGTACTTTGCAACACTATACAAGCCATTTAAAAACTCAGTTCTAGAATGGATCATTGTGTCTCAGTGGAGACAAAATTCCTTGGCCCAGAAGTGGAATGTGACATACAAGCCCTACCACACAAGCATCTGTTTCATAAGGGGTGCAGTACTGATCGTTGAAGTTCTTTGCATTCCCAGCATTTCTGCATTTTGCCTTACTATGGCAATGTAAATCACAAGAACTGTGAGAAATATCAACATACAAAACTGGAAGTGTAGAACTTAATGGATCAGAACATGCGAAGAATTCAGATTATGTAGGAGCAGTCACTAGACTATGCATGCCAAAAACAAAACAAAACAACAATAAAGTGGGGGCAAGGGACCGTCAAGCTCCCAATCCTATTTCACTTGCGCCTTTTCAATGTGGATTCTGCTTCCTCTGAAACAGCCTAACAGTAATTCTGAAAATTGCCTAACATAAAAAAAATTGTCATATCACTCACTCAAAATGTGTAGAGCTTTGCACTACAAAGCATTTCACTCATTCCAGAAAAGAAAATAAGGCACAGGATTTTTTTCTAGTGCCCTTCCAGGTTTCCAATTTTTCCACTGGAAACATTTTAATGTTCTCAGGAAGTTTTAAAAAAAGGGGGGGGACGAAGTTGCTCCATTCTCTCCCTACCCCACACATCTCTGGGAGGCAATTAGCTCACATAAAATACAACTACAATGTTTGGACCCATGTGTGTTTTGCTTTAGGCGCATAGCCAGAATGGCAATATTATTTCCAGCGCACGGCCGTCCAGAGACAAGGTAGTTATACCCAATGGGTAAGACAGGTACAATCTTACAAAATGTAGGTTTTACACACTTAGAGCTTTGTTCAAACTTGCCAAAGTAAACAGAATTTGGAAGGCACACTCCAACTGTTCTTGAAGGGCAGGTTTGTTTAGCACAACAGTATTACTGTGAATGAACTAAAACGGAAAGCAAAACACATTACTGTATGGTCATATTAGTGCATTTACCTAATAACTGCACCAAATTTGGATGCTTGATTTCCTTCATAACAGAAGCTTCTTTCAAGAATTCCTCCACTTCCATTGTATCTTCCTGAAAGTGAAAACAACTGCAATTAATTTAAATAGAAATTATGGAATAGACTTCAATGGCATTTGCCAAAAAAAGGAACACAACTGTAGAAGAGTAAACAACAATTAAAAGGGAATGCAATTTAAAAGGTGTGATTCAAGTTACTGAAAATGTTTGCTAACTTGTCACACAAAGCTTTGAGGTAGGATTAGTAATGCAGGTATTTGTACAAAACATCACAAAACAAATTGAAAAGAACACAGAGACTCAAAAATACAACAATTCAATCTAAAAACCAGCAGTAAAACAGAAAGCAAACCCTAACCAAAAATATTAATCTGATTAAATTATACCTGAAAGCCTAGACCAGCCTGAAATTAATCCGCTAAAAGCAGGTGTAAACAGCTAATATCTTACAGTTTGTATAACAAGGAAGCAAGTATATTTCCCATGGAAGGGAGTTTCACGATAGCAACACCACTGAGAAGGCCCTGTCTCGTACCCACCAACTGTGAGTTCCGGGGCCTCCATGGGTGATCTCATGTGGGTGCAGGCAGACCTTCAAATAACACTAACTCTCTATTTATTTAATATACTGCATGATGGGGTGTTAGGAGATGGGCAGGACCTCTGGTGGGGGACACATAGGGTGGTTTGTGCACCTTTGGTCCCCACCCTGCATTCAGCTCATCTGTGGCTCCAAGAAGCTTTCAGCATGCAACAACGGGCCACACCCCGGGAACAGCTTTGTCTAGTCAGCTAAACCAGATGAGGGTAGCCCATGTATCCCAAACCCTCGGTGGGTTAGGGACTTCACCTAACAGGCTCTGCCAGATTGAGTGAATGAGATCAAGAGTGGGTCCAGCAGTCAAAAGGGTGGTTTCTGCAGAAGTGATGGGCCAATGGTGCTCGTCAATCTGGGAAGGTAGCCCATCTAGGAGAAGGAAAACTCTGAGCCTAAACATCCGCTGTCTTGCAAGGTATCTCTGGGAGAAGAAAGGGCTAAGGACCCTACACAAATCCGGAGTGGTCTCTCTAAGCAGTTGGATGGCGCCTTGTATGTCTCCTTCTGGCACCTCCTGCAACCAATCTGGTGCCAAACGTATCACTCTGATTTCCTTTGGACCACATCAGTGAGGCTGAGAGGGGGGTCTTGTCGTCTGGGCAGCCTGGGACCTCCAGGCACACTGCCCAGTCTTGTGCCTTGGGGAGGTCACTTTGGTGCGGCTGATGCAGAAGAAACAACATGGTTTGATTTCACCCCTGGAGGGGCACTCCATTGTCTCTTGAGACAGACGGATGTCAACAGCTGCTTGATGCCAAAACTGGCTTATAAGTGACTTACAGTGGTGCCTCGCAAGACGAATGCCTCGCAAGACGAAAAACGCGCAAGACGAAAGAGTTTTTCGTTTTTTGAGTTGCTTCGCAAGACGAATTTCCCTATGGGCTTGCTTCGCAAGACGAAAAATGAAAACATCTTGCAAGTTTGTTTCCTTTTTCTTAAAACTGTTAATACCCAGGGTGACTTCGAGGAGCAACTCATAGCATGCGGTGTGGTAGCCTTTTTTGAGGTTTTTGAAGACTTTGGTGATTTTGAAGACTTTGGGAAACCGTGCTTCGCAAGACGAAAAAACTCGCAGAACGAATTAATTTCGTCTTGCGAGGCACCACTGTATAAGTATAAAAACTGATCAAACGAGGTTTAAAATATAAATACAACTCCTTAGCAACATACCTTGAGTGTTTTCACAGCAACTGTGAGATTGTATTTCTTCCATACCCCAACATACACTTCTCCATACTGTCCTCCACCAAGTTTGTGCTTCATAGTGATATCAGTCCGCTCCATCTCCCACTTATCATGGATGGGGGAGACTCCATAGACTGTGGGCTTATTGCACTTTGGTGCTGGGTAGTGCAAGGTTGTCACCAGGCCATCAGCTACTGTCGAGTGATGGTGAACTAGCTCCGCCAGAGTATTGAAACGGCTTTCGGCTGTCACATACACCTGTTAAAGAGGGAATGAAGAGCTGGTATGAACCGGACAAGAAGGAAGAAGATGTGAATGTCCAGAAAGGGGCCGGGGAGGAAATCTCGGGTTTCCCCAGAAGCATGAAATAGAAAAATGGGAAGGTAAGAAAACACAAAAATCCTCTTATGAAATATTTTCTCATTTAAGAATGATCAGAGAAATGTCCTTTAAAATGTTTTACTGTAAGATTGTTATAGTCAAATCACTCCACTGCAAATCTCTCAGATACAAGATTCAAAGGCAGTTCGGTAAGCAATGATGTCTGCTGCTGTGTCTAGCTGGATTACTAAAAAACCAATATGCTGAGGATTTGACCCTGGAAAAGTACTTTTAAAAGTTGCAGCATGAAGAGCATCTTTTAAGTATTTGGTCCAAATATGCAATGTAAGAGTCTGCCAAATATATTGCTCCAGTAATACGGTGGGAAAGACTTCAGAATCACATAGCCTCTGATGTCTTTGTTCTCCCTTGCTTCAGATTTCACTGTCTTCCACACCAAGTGAAAGAATGGTGCAAAAATTCATAAAATCAAGCAGCAAACTAACACGTGAAAGACTAAAAAATCCTTCCATTTCCTAAGATCAATTTAGACTTTCTTAATAAGAATTACTGTTACTTATATGCCGCCATCGGAGTGAGTTGCCTGGAGAGCCACGTTTTAGGCATTAAAAAAAAATTGCCCAGGATTTTAATTGATTTTATATCTACAGCCTTTTGTATTTTTACTGTTGCTACAATAACTGCTTTTGTTTCTGATGTTTTTGATCTGTTTTGTGGTTCTCTTTTGTAGGCTCTCTTGGAAATCTAGATTAATAAAATTATGCTTTTTTAAAAAAATCTATTTTTAAAAAAAATTATTGCATTTATATACCATCTTTTTCTTCCGAGGAGCTCAAGGTGGTGTACATTGTTCTCCTCCCCTCTATTTCATCCTCACAACAACCCTGTGAGGTAGGTTAGGCCCAAGGCCACCACCCAGTGAGCTTCGCTATGGCTTCTTGAGACAACATTATAGAAATAAATTAGAGTCATTCTACTATTATCAAGGCTATATTATTTCCTGGAATGGAGTGGAATATAAACAAGTTCGACTGTGCTTCTCCCAGCATAGTAGTACAGGCCACATTTGTTAACAAGGAGATCAACATTCAGCTTAATATCCAACTGCACTGTAATTTTTTAGTTACCATTTAGCAGGGGTGGCTAACACAGATATTGCTGTGTTAAAAACCCCATCATTCCTGACCATTGGCAATGTTGGCTGGGGCTAATGGGAGATGTGGTCCAAAAACACTTAGAGGTAAAAAAGGTAAAGGTAAAGGATCCCTGGACGGTTAAGTCCAGTCAAAGGCGACTATGGGGTTGCGGTGCTCATCTCACTTTCAGGCCGAGGGAGCCAGTGTTTGTCCACAGACACAACAATGGCTACCCTCATCTACACATTGCTTGAGCATCCTCCAGAGCAGGAGTGGGGAACTAGTAAGGTGTTTGGGCACAGACAGCATTCTGGATCATGTGGCCAGCAGGACTAAACTGCTTCTGGTGCAAGAGGACACTGTGACAAGTGCCAGAGCACTTCCCGCTGCAGCGGTACCTATTTATCTACTTGCATTGGTGTGCTTTCGAACTGCTAGGCTGGCAGAAGCTGGGACAGACCAAGAAGAAGAAGAAGAAGAGTTTGGATTTGATATCCCGTCTTTCACTCCCTTTAAGGAGTCTCAAAGCGGCTAACATTCTCCTTTCCCTTCCTCCCCCACAACAAACACTCTGTGAGGTGAGTGAGGCTGAGAGACTTCAAAGAAGTGTGACTGGCCCAAGGTCACCCAGCAGCTGCATGTGGAGCAGTGGGGAAGTGAACCCGGTTCCCCAGATTACGAGACTACCGCTCTTAACCACTACACCACACTGGCTCTCAACAGGACCAACAGGAGCTCACCACCGTCATGCAGATTCGAAGCGCCGAAATTCCGATCGGCATGCCCAAGAGGCTCAGTGGTTTAGACCACAGCGCCACCCACGTCCCTTGTGGAGCACTGGACCTGTCCAGTGGCCAGATCCTTATCTCCACACACCCCCCCTCCATGGGACAAGTATGACAGGTGTGCCACCCTTCTCTCCATCACCTGACACCACAATGACATCGGGTGACCAGCTTTTGCCCACATGGTTTGAGATGCCTAGGCAGAAAGGATGAATGCAGGCACTGCTGATAAAGCCCTTTTCACCCAAGCCATGTTTGACGACATCATCTATAATGTTGAGTGTAGGGCAGGTGAGTTGGACTAGATGAAAGCCTCACAGGCCCAATGGGGACGTGTGGTGGGCCTATTTAGGCCTATGTGCTGAAGGTTTCCTATCCCTTCTGTGTTCCAGGGCATGATCTGAGGAACTATGAGCGTTCACATTCATAGCGAACGCTGAGCAGTGGCTTAACACAGACATTCCGGGGACCCATGCATGGCGTCTGCTGTTCCTAGCATGGAGCAAGTGGGCAAGCAGAGACCCATCAACACAGCACTTGCTGGGTAAGGTCTGGCATCACAGTGCAAAGTATCTATGCGAATCTTTCGCTTAAAGCAACGGCAACTGGCTGTTTCCAGGTGCCTTTACTTCAAACAGCAATGAAGGCGGAACCTTTTTTATAAAAAGAATGGGTTTCCCTTGAGGATTTACCTTGCCATCCGTGGTGGTATTGATCCTGTAGTGGTAAACACGGCCCTCGTACCTGAGTGAGATGGACAGTTGCCCCGGGCTGCTCTCACTTTCCCGAACTAGGAAGCTGCCATTAATGAGGCTGCTCAGCAGATACTCAGCTGCACTGCGTGACACTGGCCCATGATACCAGGAATGCTTCTCCAGGCTGTTCACTGGGGTGATGTAGTTACTCGGAACCCACCCTTGACCATTCTTGGACCGTACTTCACTCCATTCACCGTTCTGGTTGTAGCCCAGTACACGTAGCTTCTCACCTGAAGCACAAGAGGAGAAAATTCCAAGTGGGTCAAGTGTGATTGATCATATTTCATCTGCCCTGCCAAAAAATGAGGAATGACGGAACAAAGTACTCAAGAAAGGCCACCTGCTCAGGCTAGAGACAGGAAATAAACTGGAGTCTGTCCAGCACGGATGTGGGAGGAGCAAAAAGTTTATTAACAATTTCCTGTCTTCTCAGGGGACTGGGCAGCTTAATCCTTTCTGTCAAATTTTTTTTACCCTAACTAAGAAACGCATCTGTCCTTGTGGTTTAAACATGACTGAAGACGTCATACATATTTGTCCTTTATATAACTGGTTGTAGGAACAGTATTCAGGACAAACTTTAGCAGATATTTGAAGAGGTATGGCCACAAGGCAGAAATTTGGGGGTCACCAGTCTGGCACATGCGAAGGTCATCTGTGGTTCCTGCAGGCACAGCAATCCTCAAGTAATTTCTTTTTTTTACATCATTTCTATACCACTTTACATTTCCATAAAAAACCCTACCTCTTTATATCCCACCCCCCCCAAAAAACCACACTTCTAAGCATCAAATAAAACATTACAAAGTATGGAAGTTAAAAATTACAAATACAAACAAAAACAAAAATAGGGAGTGTCAGCTTTTCTCCCTAGCTATTTTCCTGATATGGGATTCTTAATTTCTGCATGCAGCTATCGAAGGCACAGGAGCCTTGACTGGGAAAACCAGGTGGCAGTGTCACTCCCTTAGTTCCGTTTGGCACCACTGCTTTCCAGTTATGCTTCCTTGCTCCCCTCCCTCTGGAAATGAGACAGCAGTGCAGAGCAGTTGCTTGAGCTGGGAGAGCTGGTGCTTTTGTACTCTGGTTAGTTTGCAAGGATGTTTAGGGTGGATGGGAGAGGAAGGGCAGCTTCCCCACTCGCCTCTGATTTCTGCCGGCCACACGGAACTGGAAGCAGGCACCTACTTTGCCCATGGAGGGGCTTCTCTGAATGTGTGTGGGGTTGTTCAAGTATGCTTTGTGTGTGTGTAATTGAAAGGAATGCACTGGGCAGAGAGGGAGAGACAGATGCATGTGTGGTTTGTGGGGTGGGGGTGGGGGTGGGGAGGCTTGTTTCTGTATGTGTGATCTGCGAGAGACAGGGAGAAATGCACTTGGACAGAGAGGGAGAGGTGTGAGAGAAAGGAGCATGTTTGCGTGTGGTTTGTAAGTGTGCCAGAAGAAGTGTAGCGAAGCCACCTTGTATATTGTTCCTAGTGCTACAGACTCTTCTCTCTTACTTCTCTCTTACAGCAACAGCAACATCTCAGTCTCCATAGGAGCACCACTGTACTGCTGCCCCAGAGTCAGAACAAGATCATACATCTTTGCAATGCATCCCCTCCCCAGAAGATGGTTTGGCTTACCTTTGGTGATGCTCAGTGTGTTGTCACCACTTGCTACAAAATCATAAAGTGCAACAAAAAGATTGGGGTCGCTCTCAGTGGTTCCTAAGAGGTTCTCCTTGGAGCTCCACCTGATGGCTTCATTCAGTGCCTGGGGTTCTGTGTCACAACCATAGGGGCGGTGCAGAGCCTCTGAGGAAAAAGAAAGAATATGTCTGTTTAGTATTCATATTTAAAATCCAACGACACACTGAATTTGGTCCTGAGCAGCAAATGGAAACAAATATTTTTAAGTGTAACTCAGCAACAATAGTAATGCAAGAGATTTTGGTGCTTGAAGCAAAAGAATGTAAAGGACACCTCCTCTGCTCACTAATATGAAGCATGACTTGGTAGGAAATTATCGTGCACAAGCCCCAGGGAAATGGATAAGAGCTGGGGCCCGTGGATCACATTTCTCCTGTTCTGCTACCCTTAAGAGCACTTAAAATCCCCTGCCTGGGGCACTTGCCTTCTTTGCCAGCTGGATAAGTTGCCTTTGCCAAATAACAAAGCAGGCACCAAAGAGCTAACTGAGCAGAGCTTCAGGCAATTGGCAAAGTAGCCACAATCCTACCTATTACGTCTCCTGAGGTCACATGACCACAAGTCCAGGTAAGGCGGTAAGAAAAGTGTCATTTACAGCATGCAGCCAAGCTGGTGCCAAATGTATTGCTCTGCTTTTATTTTGACCACATCAGCGAGGCAGCCCAGGACCTCCATAGATACTGCTCAGGCATGCACCCTGGAGAGGTCACTTTACTGCTGCTAATGCAACAAAAACAACACAGTATGCAACAGTTATGAGTTACCAGTCTCTGTAGCCCCAGCAAGTGCTGTGATTCTCCCGCAGATTGGCTTTGCCCCCAGAGGTGCACTCCATTGTCTTTGGAGACAAATGGATGCCAGCAGCAAGCATTTACAGCATATGGAGAGGGATTTAATTCAAACAGGTCAAGAAGAAATGGGGGGGGGGGCGATTTATATTTCGAGAAATACTCTCCGTGATTGTATACTTTAAAAGGCAATAATCTAAGCCAACGCATTGGTTGATGAGACCATAAACACAACCTCAGAACTGTTTCATTACTGATATGCCAAGCTCCCCAAATTTCTTGCTGGGCAAAGCAAGCTTCAGCTCTCCCTTTCCTTTAAGGCCTGAACCTCTTAAACCATCAATTTAAATTTCAAGTTCAAAGGGAAGTACAGCTTTGAACCAGATTAGACACAGATTCCCCCCCCCCCTTTATAGCTACAGTTGATCTTTTGTCAATTTGAACAAAATAAAAATATTGCAAATCCTTTAAGTAGGGATCTGTCATACTGTACTGTATGCTAAAGCCCCATGTACATTGATGGGGCTAAAATAATTAAAATAAAAATAAGTAAACAAGCAGCCCCATTTGATATACAGGTACATCATACCTTGGAAGTCAAATGGAATCCGTTCTAGAAGTCCGCTCGACTTCCAAAATGTTCAGAAACCAAAGTGTGGCTTCTGATTGGCTGTAGGAAACTCCTGCAGCCAATTGGAAGCTGCAGAAGCCCAGTCGCATGTTCGGCTTCCAAAAATAATTCGCAAACCGGAACACTCACTTCTGGGTTTGTGGCGTTCAGGAGCCAAAACGTTCGAGAACTAAGCTGTTCAAAAACCAAGGTACAACTGTATGGCTAAATCAGGCACCACAGCAAAAACATTCAACTGCCATGTAAGTGAAAACACTCTAAAGCAGAGATTTTCAACCTTTTTGAGTCCACGGCCCCCTTGACCAACTACATTCTTTCTGCGGCACCCCCATGGGGCTCAGGAGCCCAGTTATGTCACCCCTTGCCTGCAGAGCTGGCAGCCTCTCACCCTTTTCTGAACACCCTTCCATGCAAAGTGTTCCCTTGGCCTCCTCTCCCCTCTCCTTGGGAGTCCTCTGGGCAGCCGCTACCGCCACCCCTGGTCTCTGGGCAGCCGCTGCCGCCACCCCTGGTCTCTGAGCTGCCCACCTCAAAGAGAGGTACTTCCTCAAACTGCCCCACAGGGGCCTGGGACTTGTCTATCCATTCCCAACAGGAAGGGCTGACAGACTGGTCAGCTGGGCTCCCTCACCTACCTGCTTGCTTACTCAGAGACTGCCTCAACTCCTGGCAACCAGCACCCTCTGACCAGCCCCAGAGGCACCATTTGCCTGCACAGCTTGTGGCCAGGACTGCTGCAACAAACAGCTGTGCAAGCCTTGGGAGGGAGAGATGCGAGAGGGCATCAGAGCTGGGAGGGAAGGAAAGAGGGACAGAGACCAGTGTTGCCCGTGGCACCCCTGACCATCATTCAAGGCACCCCAGGGTGCGGCAGCACACTGGTTGAAAACCACCGCCCTCAAGTAAGAGCAGAACATGAAGGCAGACACACTCAGCCAAGGTCAGGCAGCTCATTCGCGAGTTGAACAAGACATTTGTTGAAGATGAACCTAATGGAAAGATTGCTCAGCAAACACCTCAATTCCTCTGATGGTGGTAGCAGCAAGAAACAGTGAAGAGATGTGATGGATGAAGGAAAGAAGCATCAGCACTGATGCAAAAGAGGCACAGAGCCAATCTCCATTCAGAGCTCCCAGTATCAAGAACTAGCTCTGGACTAGAGCAAACCAGCACCGGCAAGCCTCTTATAGCCTAGTCATGTTCAGCTCTGCCACAGAAGAACACATGAAAGCAAGGTATGAAGCCCAAAAGGAAGCTGGGGCAGCAGCATGCCAGCTGCTGCTGCTTGTTTCAGAGTGTGAAGCAACACTGCTCACAAAAAGCCATTTCTAATCCTATGCAGCGTCATGATCAAGAATTTGAGGGAATAGAAGTGCTTAAAACTACCATTTGAATGCATTCGTAAGAGCAGCATTCTTATAGCTGATTTTTAGGTATTACTTTCAGGAATGTTCATGCTATCCACAACTGAGGAGCTAAACCGCTCCCCTGCATTAATGATAATGTTAGCAAGAGGGCATGCACGCATTGCTTTCATCAGCCACAGTAAGGCAATGAAGAAATCCAACTCCCACAAAAGATTAGAGATAAAAACCAGCTGTCTGCTTACAACAGCATATCACAGTGGGGGGAAATGCAATTCCCTCATCAGTTGCCTCGCCAAGTTACATCCTTTTTTATTGTGAACAGGCTGTGCTTTCCCAGTTTCCTCATTCCTTATGCATCCTCCAATATGAGTCTCCAATCGGCTGGAGATTACTTCTCACCCTAACACAAACATCAAGCAAAAGCAGCCTGTTAGCACCCCCAAAGACGGGAATCTAAAAATCAAACCCCACACAGTGTTAATTCCAAGAACCAGAGCAACTTAAGTCTCCAGTTCTTACGGAGGTGAAGTACAGTCATATGCAGTTACTGCCTTCCAAACATACCTCTCAAATCAGATAAAATTGGTTTTGAAGCCTCCTCAGAAAAGGAACACAGTGGCTCAGCATTCTCTTTGCCAAAACTGCTTGAGTGAAGAAGAACTGTCCCCAGGATCATGTTGCTTCTTACTGAAAGCCAACACACAACTGCCTAGCACAAATCAGAATGCTTTTCCCCGGGACACGGCATGCTACACATGTGACTCCTACTAAAGAGGATAAAGGCCAACAGGAGAAAGCAGGACTGTTGGCGTGGGAGGCGACGCAAGTGAGCAAAGCATTCCTCTTTTCAGCAACTGGAAGCTTCAAGAAATGTGATGCTTTCCAACAGTTAGAAGGCAGGGAACAAACCGCAAATTGAAACGTGTCTGGAACCGACAGGCTGTAACAATGAAAGCTTATTCATTCTTGGATGACAGTTAAGATTGCTTGATGGGAAGGAATGTTTTCCACAGCATAGTTGAGCAATGCGTATTAACACACACTTTTTCCAACACGTGGACAACCACGTCAGCATGCTTGACAACTATCCTTGAAGAGCCAAGATTTAGTCTCAAGTTATATTCCTAGATCAATTCTGTTGCAAAAAAGTTTATTTACTGATGGCAATGAGTCCAAGCAAGCAACCAGGTGATATTTTTTGTCTTTTGCAAAGGACAGACTCCTGGCCCCAGCTATCCCATCCACTTGGCTTTCACAATGGATGCAAAGAATCTCATTTTATTGATAATGGGATTGGCAGTCAACAGCGGGTGGTTAAGTACCCCTTAAATCTGGTGGTGTATGGAAGTGTCTCATTCAACTAGCAGAATAGGCAAAGGAATAAATCATTCATTGCAAAAGGGAATTATTTTCCACCTGCACACCAAACTCACTTTCTCCTCTACTTCCTGGCTCTTCTTCAGGCTCAAAAGAAAAAGCTAGCGCATTAATTATATCAGTGTCAGCAAAAGAGTCAGTTACTTTTATTAGCCAAGAGATCTGGAAAGGATGCATTTCTGAGGTTCAACTACTTCCATCCCAGATCACCCAAGCAGATTTGTTTTTTCTTAATTACATCTCTGTATTGTTAATAATAATAATGTTAAGTGATGACAAGACTGGACATCGACTCTTGCCCATGCAAAATGGACAATGTGCAGAATCACAGTGGTAAGCTGTTGAAGACACTCAGACAGCAGGGGTAAGAACTGAACAGCTGACAGCAGCAGGAAGAAAGCCTCTTCTGTAACTTGGAGCTGAAGGAAAAAATGTGTGTGTTGTAAAAGCACCTGCCACTGTCAGGGTGAACCATGAAGAGTTAGTTAGTGGCTGTGCACATGAGCTCCTCCACCCTCCCCTACCATAACATGAAAACTCCCCAGAGTCACAGATGGAAACCACGCTCCTTTATGTGAAACTGAGCATAATTAAGTTATTGCAGGGGGTTGGACTAGACGACCCTTGGGATCCCTTCCAAACCTATGATTCTATGATGTCCATTCTTTATACCAATATTCAGAAGACAGAAAGTTTTCTGAAGGAAAGATAAAACCATGGTTTTGTGGCACAAGCGTAAGTGAGTCTGGGGATCAACACAACCCTGTCCTCCTCTGATGCAGTTTCTACATTACTTGAACTCATAAACTGTGGTAGCACTAGCATTAAGTATGTTTTGTTCGAAATAAGCCCGCTTTAGACAACAGAACAAACTATGGTTAAGTGGGAGCTTTCAAACTCTTCCTTCTGGCTACACTTGGGGAGAAACACACAAACCCAGGACTTACCTAGGCTTATTCACATCATGCTAAACTAAAGGTGGGGAATCTCTGGCCTGCGGGCCAATCTTGACCTGTCGGGGGTTCACTTTGGCCTTAAAAACACTGTATTGTTTTTAATACTTGATTGGGAGCCACCCAGAGTGGCTGGGGAAACTCAGCCAGATGGGCGGGGTATAAATAATAAATTATTTAAATTATTATTACTATTATTATTATTAGAGGTCAATTCCCCTAAACTACACCCACCCACTCATCAGATGTCACAGGTGTTGATGGGTGGGAGAACAGGGTTAAATTCTGCATATAACTCTTACTTTGTTGTTGTGTACAATGTACTTCATCTTCTCTGTAAGCACTGAGGGCTTAAATTATTCTGTTTTTTAAGATTAACACTTTTGAGAAGCACTTTAAGGCAACCTCCACATACACATTTGCAAATCTCCCTGTGCTCACAAGAATTTAAAAGGGGACGAGGGGAGACTTGCAAAGTTGTGCACTGAGACAGGTGGGCCGCTCAGTTTTAGCCCAATATCAAAACATAGAGGCAGTCTCCATTTCTAGGCAGGATCACTGGGCCTATCACAAAACTGATAGAATTGTGCTTAGAACACCCACCAGTCAATTACCTTTTAGTTTCCAAGTTCAACTCAACCTTTCCCCCCTTCTGTTTGAACAAAGTATACGCTTAAAGAAAATTGCATGAATGGATTCAGGGTTTTTTGTTTTTCTTTTGTGCCCAAGAAACTCTAAATGTGAATAATTCTTTTTTAAAGCACCTGTAGGGACAATGATAAGCAAAAGCATTGAGAATTTAGCCTTAGCTTAGTTAGTTAGACTCTCCAGATGTTCACAACCAGCAATGAACACTTCTGGGGTGGGGAGTTGCAATGAGGTTAAGCTAGCTGTGTCTCTCAGATCGATAAATACAGAGACACACTCTGCTTGGGTAGTAGCTACAGGGTTGCTACTCAGCCAAGGACAAGGGACTCTATTCACAAGCATGATACTAGCAGCTGCCACGTGTCCAAGGTAACAGAAAACCTCACAGACTGCAAAACAGAAGAATATTGGAAACACCCCCCCTTATTCATTTCTGACAATCTACTCTGGTAACAAAGATGGCATTCATGCACAACTGCTTTGACTCATAACAGAGGTGGGGCAGCAGTGCACACAATGAAGTCACAAGGATTCAGAAAAACATATTTTTCATAGCTAGTCATATGGGGAAGGGAGGCAATCTAGGAACTGGCAAGTCTTCCAACTCTGGAATCTCATATACTTCCCCCCATTTCAGAGTATGCTTAGGGGTGGTGAGAATTCTAATCCACTTTCATGACTAGGAAGCATGGCAGTTCTTCAACATTAGAATTTATTGATTTATTTCATTCATGGGTGGCTTCCTATGAAAAATCACAAAGTAATTTAAGAATAAAATAAAATAATAATTTGTAAAGTTAGAGGGACTCTGAGGGCCATCTACTCCAACCCCCTGCAACGCAGGAATCTCAACTAGATCATACATAACAGATGGCCATCCAACCTCTGCTTAAAATCTCCAAGGAAGGAGTATCCACCACCTCTCATGGGAGCATGTATCACTGTCAAAGAGCTCTGACAGTCAGAAAGTTCTAGTCGGACTCCCCTTTCTTGTAATTTGAAGCCATTAGTTTGGGTTCAAGTCCCCAGAGCAGGAGAAAACAAGCTTGCTCCATCCTCTATGTGACAGCCTTTTAGATATTTGAAGATGGCTATCATATCTCCCTCTCAGTCTCCTCTTTTCCAGGGTAAACATACCCAATTTCCTCAACCGTTCTTCGTAAGCCTTGGTTTCCAGACCCTTGATCATCTCGGTTGCCCTCTTCTGCACATGTTCCAACCTGTCAATATCCTTAAATTGTGGGGTCCAGAACTGGAAACATTACTCCAGGTGTGGTCTGACCAAGGCAGAATAGAGCGGGACTATTACTTCCCCTGGGACACTATATTTCTGTTGATGCAACCTAGAATAGCATTAGCTGAAGTTGTGTTTAGAGTGAATTGCTACCCTATAAACATGTCTGCTCCAAACAATGTAAAAGAAAGCACTCAGTAAAACAAACTGATTAGGGCTGAGTAATCTGGTTTTCTATCAGCTAAACATTGTGATATGCCAATATATCACAATGTTTGAAATATGGATGGAACTATGTAGAGGCGAATGGGGTAACGTCCTGGCAACCGCTACTATTTAGGGGTCTAAAACAGATATATTTTTCTTACCTTTAACATATTGTTACAACTATTATTTTATATTGCACAGAGCAACAGGGGAGGCAGGAATCACAAGAGAAGTGGTGACTGGCTTTATGGTGTTTCCCACATCACATTTTTTTACACAGCACATGCACACATCGTAATTTGCAATATATTTCCATGTTCATATTATGAAACCTTTACCATGATGTGGAATTCAAACTGATTTTGGACGATATACTGATACATCGCCCTGCCCTAATACCGATGTCTAAGGTCAAGGGCTTTCTATAAATGCAACCCCCTGGCAAGTACCCTCTTGGCAGGAGTGGGTTTTCCCCACCCAAAACCTTCCAGGGGTGCAGCCTCTCTTTCCCCCATGCAAATCAATGCAGACATCACTACTACTGTATTTTTCGCTCCATAGGACGCACCGGACCATAGGACACACCGGACCATAGGAGGGGGAGAACAGGAAAAAAAATTCTCCCTCTCTCTGCTCAGCGCCCCTTCAGCGAAGCGGCAGGAGAAACGGAGCCCCTTCCATTTCTCCTCCCGCTTCACTGAAGGGGCGCTGGGCAGAGAGGGAAAACTGCAGCGCCTCTCCAGCGAAGCGAAGCCTGGAGAGCAAGAGGGATCGGTGTGCACCGACCCCTCTCGCTGTCCAGGCTTCAGGCGGCTATCCGCAAGCCTTCGGAGCACGGCGGGAACTCCTGCTGCACTCCGAAGACTTGCGGATAGCTGCCTGAAGCCTCCGGACTGCAGCGAGGGCTTCAGGCGGCTTCAGCGAAAGCAACGCGAAGCCTCCAGAGTGCGGGGGCAGCTCTCCCTCTGCGCTTCGGAGGCTTCGCGTTGCTATCGCTGAAGCCAAGGAGCCTGCATTCGCTCCATAAGACGCACACACATTTCCCCTTAATTTTTGAAGGGAAAAAAGTGTGTCTTATAGAGCGAAAAATACAGTATTTGATTTTCCCAAAACAAAATAGTGATGATGGTTCACAGGAACTTAGAAGCGCTGCTTGCAGACATACTGGAATCAATTTCAACTGAAACAAACAAACAAAAATCAATGAAAAGACAAAACACTGAACCAGCAGGAAGAAACAAAGGTACTATGTAAAATAAAGCTAGAATCCACATGATTGTAGCTTTAGTCTGCAAATAAATGACCTTGCTTAGTATCCTTGATGTGAACAGAGAGCCAGACAGGAATCTGTCTTGTCTTTCTGTACAGCATAATCATGTCTGTTTACAGACAAGTGTTCTGCACAAGTAAGTCTACAACTAGACTGTGTAAAAGCTTAGTTGTAAAGCAACATATACTATTTGTTATGGCAACTTATTAATATGCATACTTGCCTGGGAAATATATAAATTGCAAAATGGGAAAGTTACTTAGAGCAGTCTTGATTTAACTTAACCATCATGGTTCTCAACATCTGTTAAACGCCTGGGCTCCTCCTGGCCTTCCTGCAGGTCAAGGAGCACAGACCAGGACTTGAAATTGTGGCCTACTTCTCAGTAAGGCGGAACATTAAGCACTCAACCAGCTTCCTTCACAAGTCAAGTGGAAGAAACAATCAAAGTTGATACCAAGTTAAGAGGAAAGGGCCCACTTACTGTTATTTTAAGAGCTTTCCTCCCACACAGAGATGAACATGGCTGCTTATTACATCATTCCTTCCTGTTGCTACAGTGGTAGGAGGAATGCCATAAAGGAGTGGTCAGGACAGCATCAGCTGTTTGTCCTAGGAGGCCCCACTAACATTTGTCTCCACTACATCTGTCTTTGTGAGTTGACAGTCTTAAGTTTCAGATGTCTATATATCTCAGTTGAGCAAGAAGGGGAAAACCTATCATTAATAAAGAGCAAATGCAAGGTTTACTTGGTTTCTATATAAAGGCTCGCATCCACTTAAAGTCAATGACATCATACCTTCCTTGGTTTCCCTGGGAAGCAAAGTCTCTCTAAGAGATGTACTTGTCAATACACTAAGAAACATCCTTCTCCTAGTAAAAAGCAATTAAAGGAATTCAGTTTAAATGTTTATGTCCTCCTTTGCTCCTGCCCTATAATTTGAAGAAATTCAACACAGCCTTTCCCTTGCCATCAAGAGCAGAATGTATTCTTATCCCTCAATACTCAGTAATCTCTCTTTTGCCCAAATACATCACTTCTTCTCTGCCCTGGTAGCAGCGACTTATTCTGGTCAGTCAAACTGACAATACAGCGGTACCTCGGGTTACATACGCTTCAGGTTACATACGCTTCAGGTTACAGACTCCGCCAACCCAGAAATATTACCTCGGGTTAAGAACTTTGCTTCAGGATGAGAACAGAAATCGTGCTCCGGCAGCGCGGCAGCAGCAGGAGGCCCCATTAGCTAAAGTGGTGCTTCAGATTAAGAACAGTTTCAGGTTAAGAACAGACCTCTGGAATGAATTAAGTACTTAACCCAAGGTACCACTGTATAATCACCTGGTAGCAGTCAAATATTCCATAGGGAACACATTTGTGAAACTGACTGCCTGGTTTTTAAAATTGCTATAAATTATCTAACGTTAACAAAGGTAGGAGTGAGGGTCCCTTGATCCCCAGCCGACTGGAATGACACGTGCATCTCACCACAACCACCACTAATTCAGGAGCAGGGATGCTCTGTCCTGCAACTCTCTCCTATTGAAATATGCCCTCTCTCTCCTCTCAAGCAAATCACATAGTCGAACATCATCTACTGGCTATATGCAATATCTGCAAGTATTTATGAATCGGACAAGGAATACAGGGTCAGAAAGCAGAAAACAAACACTTGCAAGCCATCATCACAGTAGCACAGGCACCAAGTGCCTAAGAGTTACACTTCTAACAGAGTTCACTGGAAATGCTCTGGAAATGCGGGGAAGGTGGGTCTTCCAGAGATCTGTCATTATGCTGCATTAACCTGTGCTCTGGAGTCTTCTGAAGTTTCTGAAATTCCCCCAATTCTAATTATTGTTTCTCTTCTGATCAGCAAATATTTATTACAAAACAGTTTAGCAGGCCAAGTACTTTTGGCTGGTGATATGTGACCCATACAGGGACTTCAGAGAAACAGAGAACACAACAAAGCATGCTAATCTCCAAATGCATACAAATCAGACAAGAACCTGCCTCGCAGCGCTTCCCAGGGATGCACCCGAGATCTCACAAGAGGAAGGTAAATGTAAGGCAAGTAAAATTGCATAAGGAAGAGGAGAGGCCTCATTGTGTCTCCACTAAATAAGGAGAAAGGGAGGCCCCTTCCTTTCCCAGTCGGTTGCAGGTTCAAAACATCCAAATAGTCGCTTCCACAGATGCACTTAGTTTATAATTGAAAACCTTGTACCACATTATTTTAAACTGCAAGTATGGATCTGCGCAATATCTGGGCAATATCTGCTTTACAACATCATAGTGTAATACCAGATAAACTTTGCAATATGGCAGTATATTATGATGTCAGAAAGGAGACAGTGATTAGCATCACTGTGCACAGCTTCTGCCTCTTCCTGTTGAAGCTTGATTCATTTCAGAATAACTCTGGTAATAGCTATGGAGACCAATGATTTCCCCTCAAAAGTCGGCTGAATTTGTGTGTATCTCTTCCACTGGTATCCCATAGTTCTGCTCTCTGAACATCTCCCTTAAATATCTCTTGTGCCAGACCAAGGATGGGCTTTCAGATGCTGCTAGACTACAACTCCCATAATCCCTAATCACTGCCTGGGACTGCTTCCAACACCATCTAGAGGGCCACAGATTAGCCACGCCAAGGGCAAAGACTGTAAAAAGATAGACATACATCACAGCAACCTGCATGTTATCAGGCAGCTTCCTTTAGTAATTAGAACCCCAAAACCTCCTGGGGCTACATATTCCTCCAAGTTATTTCATGCAACCTGAAAGGGACTCCAAACTTTAAACAACGTGGCAAATGGCGCAAAGGAAACACCTGCAATCATTTTGATTTGTAGTTGAAATTATATTCTGTCACTTTGGTAAAAGGTAAAGGGACCCCTGACCATTAGGTCCAGTCGTGGCTGACTCTGGGGTTGCGGCGCTCATCTCGCTTTATTGGCCGAGGGAGCCGGCGTACAGCTTCCGGGTCATGTGGCCAGCATGACTAAGCCGCTTCTGGCGAACCAGAGCAGCGCACGGAAACGCCGTTTACCTTCCCGCCGGTGCGGTACCTATTTATCTACTTGCACTTTGACGTGCTTTCGAACTGCTAGGTTGGCAGGAGCAGGGACCGAGCAACGGGAACTCACCCCATTGCGGGGGTTCGAACCGCCGACCTTCTGATCGGCAAGCCCTAGGCTCTGTGGTTTAACCCACAGCGCCACCTGCGTCCCTTGTCACTTTGGTGGAGGTCTCAAATAACCCCTCATCACTGGCTTACAACATGCTGTCTGATAGTCTAGAATTGCTAAGGCCGCATTACAGCACAGACACATCTGCCTAAAGCAAAAAGTTAACCAAGCACAGAACTATTTGGTATGAAAAAGAGGGCTTTGTTTCAAAATACGCCCAAAGTATTTTCTATTGAACACTGTTAAAAGGTCGTTCCCATAGCAGCATTAAAATCACAACTCTGGAGTTTTGCCAGTGTTTTCTCTCTCGACACTAGGATAGGGGCACACGAGCCAAACTATTCTAACCCCCGCGCCCCAATTTTTATTTATCTACCTGTATAGAAGACCAAGTACCACTCTGGGGTCCCAACTACAGCTATCATTAATTTCCTATGCATATGTGAAGAGGCTTCTATAAATGGCACATTGGCATGTTATTTAAGGTCTGCAGCATCCCCTAGTGGAAAAAGGGAGCAATTACCTATACATTGTATTTCAGTAGTTTTACAATCATGTAACCATTACTTCTACAGCTCTCTCAAATCTGCAAATTAATACATCTTTTGTGCAATAATAAATCTAGTTAAGTCAAAATATAATGTTCCCTAGGTAAGGGATGGGTGGAAGAAGACTATCCGCCCAGCTGATTTCCTAGCTGGTTCTCCACAGAAATCTTGTTACAAGCGGATCCAAAGATATCCTGCACTTTATGCTTCTGTGTGGAAGGATTCCTGAATTCTGCTAATGTCTTAGGCCATGTTCTGTACTGCTCCAGAGGATTCCCTTCAGTGTTTTGGAGACGGGAGGTGGAGTTGGGCCAGCCAAGGAACTGCTGGATTCTAAGCTGATCTAGCTTCTGGCAATATAGGCCTTTCTGTTGCCTCAGACTAGAGATGGTGCAGAAAAAATAGGTGTAATCACTGCCCTTCCCCTTCCATTCTGACTGGCACAAGCACTAGATCAGGCATCCCCAAACTCAGCCCTCCAGATGTTTTGGGACTACAATTCCCACCATCCCTGACCACTGGTCCTGCTAGCTAGGGATGATGGGAGCTGTAGTCCCAAAAACATCTGGAGGGCCGAGTTTGGGGGTGCCCGCACTAGATCTTTAAATGAAGTGCTAGCTGAACCACTCCTTTTAACCTTGCTGCTTCCATAGTGTTTGGATTCTGCTCTTAGCCTTATCAGTCCAAGCAAAGACTCATGAAATTGTGTCCGTCTACCTGCAGTAGTGGGACGCAGGTGGCGCTGTGGGTTAAACCACAGAGCCTAGGACTTGCCGATCAGAAGGTCGGCGGTTCGAATCCCTGTGACGGGGTGAGCTCCCATTGCTTGGTCTCTGCTCCTGCCAACCTAGCAGTTCGAAAGCATGTCAAAGTGCAAGTAGATAAATAGGTACCGCTCCGGCAGGAAGGTAAACGGCGTTTCCGTGCGCTGCTCTGGTTCGCCAGAAGCGGCTTAGTCATGCTGGCCACATGACCCGGAAGCTGTACGCCGGCTCCCTCGGCCAATAAAGCGAGATGAGCGCCGCAACCCCAGAGTCGGCCACGACTGGACCTAATGGTCAGGGGTCCCTTTACCTTTACCTGCAGTAGCAACCATACGCCAGAATGACCCTGCCTGCTGTTACTGCTGTTCACAGGCTTCCCAAGCAGCAGTATAAAAACAGAAATGGGATTCCAGTCAGTTTCAGTGAGACCCACAAGTTTCTGAACTGCAAGAGTTATAGGGGAAGTCTCCTTAGTTCTACTGTGTTTAACAAATACAAATATCAAATGCAACTTTTATTATACAGGCACAGACCAGATAAAAAGTGTTTAGCAAAGCAATGGAGAACTGAGTGAATATTCTGACAACACCTATTTGAATATGGAGGGAGTGCCTGGAATACAATGGAGAAGAGTCCACAGTGCACAAGAAAACAGCTTGCTTCATCTTGTGAAATTTCAGAGATAGGTTATGAAGGGTGAATACAGGATTGCAACTTTTTCTCCTGACTCCTTTGCTCATTAGGTGAATCCTGTCCCAAATGTTCAAATTCTCATATGCAGTCTTTGATCTGCTTCCTATGGGTCCTGTCAGCCCTATGGGAGAGCTTCTGCTAGCACAACAAGGTTCCCCTCTCTCCTCTCCCCCTGAAACTGGTTTGGTGTGGGGGACTGAGAAAACCCCCAGAACAGTGCATTGGAGTGGGGGGGCCTGTTCAGCCTGACAAGCTGCAATGCTTGTGCTGATGGGATGTTTACCACAGTGTGATGTTAAATTCCACCCTCTGTTTCAAACTTGGCAAACAATTTTAATATGATGATGTGGCTTAAATTAAAGCTGTCAGATGAAAAATTGCAACCCAATTTAAAATGTGCCATAACAGCCAATAAGGAAACCAGAGTGGACCATATCACTGCTGTATCAGTAAAACACCAATAAACTATTATTACCACACTGAAGTTAAAGCATATTTAGGATCAAGGTAATCTGCATGCAGTATTCTGGAGATTAACCAGAATAAAACTTCCTGAAAAGAAGAAAGAAGCATAATGTGTACTGCCCAAAATCAATTGAATTAAATCCAATAAAAGCAACTCTATTCTTAGAAAGAAAACTGTGGGTTCTGATTCCATATCTTTAGAATCAGAAGACACCTTATAAAAACAAGTTTGGATTAAACTTTGCCAGTTGGGCTGATTAAAAAAAGCCATTATAATTATTTATAATTAGAGATACCATATTTTGAGGAAGCTCTGATAAACTTCAGAAACTATGAGATTTCCACAACAGAGATTGCTAATGCAACAAAGCTTTGTGTAGTGGTTTACTAGTACTGCCAGAAACAAACCTCAAGGGATCTGTAATGTAGCTGGCTTCTCATTTATTCTAAATGAAATATCTTTAGAGACCATAATAGCATTAGCTTTTTAAATAAATTGAGCCATTGTGTAACCACAAGGCCAGACACTACAGATCAAAAGATAAACACTTATTGTGATGAGTGCCATTGTAAGCCAGTGGCAACTCCTTGCTGACTTCTGAAATATCTCTCACCTGCTCTATGACATGAAGTAAACGCTTACAAATCAAATCCTCCCAGTTTCAACTCTCAGTTTAAATGATGGTGTATTTTATTTACTTGTTTGTTTATATTTAAATTCCATCTTTTATCATGGAACTGGAGGTCTCCCACTATGGAACTGACCAGACTCAGGCCTGCTTAGCTTTAGCAAGCATGTGCCTTCAGACCATACAAAAAAACAACAACCCACAACTAATTACAATTTGATCTGTATGGTTATATTCGTCAAGGTAATAACTGGGTGGCCAGCTAAAGGTAGGTACAGCATACATGACACCGAAATGAAGTGAATAACCATTAGCTATTTCACAGTAATGCAGAAGCTGAACAGGAGAATTTGTATAAACAAAGGACACAGGCGTGGTTTTGAACAATCACTGTTCTGACGTCAAGGTCAGAAGAAGCACTTAGTAAAATGTCCCCTATATACTTGAGAAAACATTATACATAGTCAACGTGGTTGCTGGCATTTGCGGTGCCCTCCAGATATTGCTAGATGCCAATTACCATTATCCCGGATTATTGGCTATATTGCTTGGGACCGATGGGAGTTGGGAATCCAAAGACATCTGGATGGCACCATATTGGCTGCCCCTGTAAAGCACCATTCATCATCTAGCATGCTGGACTGCTCTGGCAAAATAAGGTAATTGATTGCCAACACTAATCTTAAAATAGACATTCTCTGATGATGGAGACGCTAGTCTTAGAAGAGGTTAGAATTGGTTGGGTGTGGGTAACCTCTGGCCCATAGGTCATACTACACCTGTCAGATGTCCTAATTCCCACCTACCTCCTACCTGCCGCAAACCAGATACCATATCATTTAAATAAAAAATGTATTTGAAACACTGAAAAATGATTAAAAACCATCAAAAAAAACTTTCAGAACATTCAAATGCAATGACATATTTCAGTTGCTAATTTCAAGGTAGCCATAGCCAAGTATCTCTCACCCACCAAATGAAAGTCAATAATGATGAGAGACGGAGGCACCTCACGAGGAAGGCCATTCCACAAACGGGGAACCACCACTGAAGGAGGCCTCAATTGGGAACTGCTATGTGCAACCAATCCCTGTCAAAAGCAGGGTTTGTAGTTGATAGGAATCTGCTTTTCAAGCCCAGCTTAAGTTCAAGGCAGGATGCAAAGAAAGAAAGGAAAGAATCAGGAGTGTACTCAAAATGCACTCCCAGTTCTGTCCTTTGAAGTTGGGTCGCCTAAGGGCCATCAAGTGGCTGGCAGGTGGGCCACACCATCCACTTGCAGAGGTGGACGGAGTCTCCTTATGACTTTTAAAGATGCATGACTCCTTATAGGGCCTTATGCTGCTAATATAAAATTCTGAATTAAGCACATTTCCAATAGTCTTGTTTTTATGTTTTACTTTTTCCAATAAGGTATGACAGAAAGATTCAAAGCTCTATAAATTATTCAACTAGTGGGCCTTTGCCCAACAGTGGGGACAATGAGCTGCAGCTAAAAGTCAAACCATGAGGTCAGCATCTATCTGCTTCCATACAAGTTTACTATCACCAGAAAAGAAGTGGGTGACCCCATAACCATCACAATGGCTGTGTTTACACACAACATTAAATCATGGCTTAGCTTTGTGAGAAGGAACCACAGCAAGCCTTGTGCTCATGCACTCCCCTGGGTTCAAACATCATGACAAACTCCAGCTAATTTAAAATGGAAGATTACCTTCCTCTGCATGGCCATGCTAAAGTAGTAGTACTATAGAACAGTGCTACCTCGGGTTACAGACGCTTCAGGTTACAGATGTTTCAGGTTACAGACTCTGCTAACCCAGAAATTGTACCTCAGGTTAAGAACTTTGCTTCAGGATGAGAACAGAAATTGTGCAGCAGCGGTACAGTGGCAGTGGGAGGCCCCATTAGCTAATGTGGTACCTCAGGTTAAGAAGAGTTTCAGGTTAAGAGTGGACCTCCAGAATGAATTCGTAACCCGAGGTACCACTGTACTGTGCCTGTAACAGTTCAGTTAGAAAAAGTAATGAGTAACATTTCACAGAGATGCAAAAAAATTGGCTGGCCTTGATAGGATCATGCCCACAGGGGTGTCTTTGACACAACATTGAATTTCAAAGGAGTCTCTGAAGCACAATGCTAAAATCAAAGACAATCCTTTCCTCTCCCCCTCATCAGCTCAGGAGGAGAGTGCTGAGGACAGTCCATGTCATGCTACACTTGGGAAATTCTCTCCAGAGCTCGTGGAAAATCTCCAGCCCTGCCTCTTTACCCTTCTGCCTGCGCAGCTGCAGCTACCTCCTCCTCCCAACAAGTGCACTGATCATGTGAGCCACTACCTCCTCTCTTTCCATCACAAGCTGATGCTCTGTGCAACAACTATCATTGCCTATCTTGCAGATATCTCTTCTCCAATTGGGTATGACTGGAAGGTGTATGAGATGTGTTGAGAGAGAAGCAGCTCACACACGAAGCACTGGCTAGCAACAAGAGGGGCTAGAAAGAGGTGGTGGTGGAAGCAACTGATATATGAGTATATATCAGCAGCAGACAAACTGGAAAACAAGGTGAAAACGGGAGGTGCACAACTAAGAATGTGAACATGGATCTGAAGGGAGAAGGGGTATCATGCACACCACAGGTTCTGGTGCACAGATTTGTGGACCCCTACATTTGACAACAAATAAAAATATTATGGAATTTTCTTTGAGACTTTCCAAAGCCTGAACAGGCCTGTCCTCATTAACAGTCTGGGTGAGAGAAGCTCTTTGGACAAACTTTATCAATAGACACACTTACCACAAAATTTCTTGCTGCCTTGAATCTGTCAAACAAGCACTTATCATCTGGGAGTGGATTGAAAGCATCTATAGCTTGTCTGCAGCCTGATCGCATACCAGAGTGATGGGCAAAATGGGAGTCCTGATAATGTACTGTTCACTGGTTTGTGTTAAACTGCTCAAGTAAACAGACTACCTATGTGAGCTGTGTTAAGATGGGAGTCGTGAATTCACACATAGCTGGTAGTTTCAGTTTGTGTTCCCATGGAAAGGTGACTCTATATAGACAGTTATTTCCTTTAAAAATACTTCAATTGTACAAATATAAAATAAGAAGTGATCAGAGTCAGGATGAGCAGTGAAATGGTCCAGTTTGCTGATAACTCCAAATTAGATGACACCAATAAAAGATATCTCCAAACAAGATCTGTAAGCAACAAAATGGCATGCAAGGTTCCTGTAAGTAGTTATGTGGTGATGCACATTAGGGCCTGACTAAGATGGCTCAAGAATTTGAAAATGTTGACAGTGTGTGGTGGCAATGAAAAAGACAGAGGTTATTAGAAAAGAGACTGAAAATAAAACTGCCAGTATCATAATGCCCTTTATATGACTCTACAGTGCAGCTAGATTTGAAATAAAGCAAATTGTTCTGGTCATCTCATCTCAATAGGGTACCACAGAGCTAGAAAAAGCGTAGAAGCTGGCAACCAAATAGCTAAGCCGAACCTTCATTTTCAAAGGTTGCATGCTACTGAAAAACAGATGCTGAGAGGGGGCCAGTAGCATGGGAGGACTATTGCCCTTCAAGCCTGTGATGTGTTTTCCAGAAGCATTTGGCGGGATACTGAGAGAAACAGAACACTGGGACTGGATGGAACTTTTGGTCTGATCTAGCAGGGCTCTTTTGGAGTACAGGATAAACTGTACAATTCCTATTACAGCCTATACTTAAAAGGCAAAAGAAGTTGGTTAGAGGCTGTGTAACAATATAAGAAGTTCCATTTTTTAAAAAATCACATCAGCCATGGACTAAGCTAGCCACCAGTCTCAGCTCCCAATAATATTCACCTACTGTGTATGTGAAGTGGTTTGAACACATTAAAGGCCTTTATAAACACTTTTATTGAACTTAAAGGTAAAGGACCCCTGACCATTAGGTCCAGTCATGGACGACTCTGGGGTTGCGGCACTCATCTCGCTTTACTGGCCAAGGGAGCCGGCGTTTGTCCACAGACAGCTTCTGGGTCATGTGGCCAGCATGACTAAGCCGCTTCTGGTGAACCAGAGCAGTGCACGGAAACGCTGTTTACCTTCCCGCCACAGTGGTACCTATTTATCTACTTGCACCTGACGTGCTTTTGAACCGCTAGGTGGGCAGGAGCTTATCAGCACTTATTTACAAGAATGTATGGTGTATATCAGATCAGGCTGCATAGCTCAAAAATGGGAAAATCAATCCTTCCTAAGAAAACTGTTCAGCAGTCAAAGCTAACTAGCAAGAATTAACTTAAAAACAGCTTTCTTTCCTACCCTAAAAGCAAAATTCTACACATGTTAAAGGCAAGGTCCACTGAGGTCAATAAGCTTTACTACCTGGGTGTGTGCAACCACAATCAGATAAGCAAATGCATGCCCTGCCAATCTCATCAGTATGTCTTACTGTTAAAAGTTTTATGATGCTGCACTAGCAAGTGGCGGGAAGCCCCAAAACCTATTGCCAGCATATTTTTCCATACCAATGTCAGAAAAAATAAAATAAAGAATGAAAGGATCCCATTGATACATATTAAAGGTTGTAATAATATGCACAATGGTGTATGTGTCTATTTGTTTTTAGCTACTTTAGTCCATAGGCATGATTTAACTGTGTCTCTCAACAATAGACTGCTTTTGGAAGACCTTATTAAACCTACCCTTCAAGTTATCTTGTTTAACTTTCACATATACAAATACTACTAAAATCCCCATCCCCGCAAAAGGCATGAAACTGTCAATTCCTGCTGTATGAAAAGCTTGTACAAACATCAAGCCTCAAGTCCAGGAAGGAAACTTGGATGTGCACCCAGCATTACTACCAAGGAGCTTCTGCTGGGCCAACCACATCAAAGCTCCTTTTTCTCAGCCATATCCTATTTAGTATCTTACAACAATTGCTATGCATTTCATTCAAAATGGATTACAAGTACAGTGGTACCTCGGGTTAAGAACCTAATTCGTTCTGGAGGTCCATTCTTAACCTGAAACTGTTCTTAACCTGAGGTACCACTTTAGCTAATGGGGCCTCCCGCTGCCGCTGCACGATTTCTGTTCTCATCCTGAAGCAAAGTTCTTAACCCGAGGTACTATTTCTGGGTTAGCAGAGTCTGTAACCTGAAGCATCTGTAACCCGAGGTACCACTGCATTAAGCACACAGCAAAGTATCTTTATTAAACAAGGGGCAAAAAGTCACATAAAAGGTTTATCTATTGCTTGCACCACAACCTTGTTTTGGGAATAATACATTTGAGTAAATGGATACACACAGTTGGATGGATAAACACAGTTTTCACAAAAAGTCAACAAGTTGAATTGTCCAGTAATGCTTATTTCTCCACTACTGTTTAAAAAGAAACTGAAATAATTATGTTTAAGTTTTGAGAATACAGCCTGGAGTATCAGTGCTCCATAGGCTTGGGGGTCTACGTAAGAGCATACACAAAGTAGTGAACTGGGAAGCTCTGGGTCTTATGCTTGGATCTAGCCTAGCAAGTTACCATTATCTGTAAGCAATCAGGTCTCAGAACCTTCTTCAGGTTCAGTGGTACCTAATTGTGCTGCCATCTAAAACAGGAATTTTTGGGTAGTGCGGATCAGGCCACCAGAACCAAAAGAAGTTGCAGGTGCAATAAGGGGTGCAGACCTAGATTGTAACTGGGGGAAGAGAAAGTCCCCGGCCACTGAAAGTGATTTTCTGGCTCTCTGAATGTACCCAAGGTTTGGATTGGTGCCCAGGACAATTAAAACTGTTTAAATGCAAGAACACAGCATGAACAGCATTCAACATAATAGATTTTCTCCCAGCTGACAAAGTTTTCGTCTGAGGCATTAACTAGCTTTAGTTAAGATAGAACCATGCTCAACAGCCAAATCCAGAAGAGCCAGGATTTCTCTAAAGTGAAGCTGTAAATCTAGTCCTACAGCTTAGAAGCAGCATCTTTAAATTATTATACAACTTCCAGCAAAAATAACTGAGTTCCATCAAAACACTAGCCATCGTAACCAACACCTTTTATGTAAAACTAGTTTCCCTTATCTCAAACAAGACAAGTCAATGAGGGAAATAGTACAAAGTAGGAGAAAACACTTTGGTAAACAGAACCATATACTACTGCTTATATACCTGTAAAGTGCTTTAATAGCTGCTGAGCAGGTCCACAAGAATTCAGCTGCAGACAGGTGGGATGGGAAGCAAGCTATTTTGTTCCAACATGCAGTCAGTTGTGCCTGGCTCTATGTGACAGAAGTGCTTACATGATGCATAATAGCTATACAAAGACATACTAAACAAAAAGCATAATATAGTGATTTTTAGTTGGTCCCAATAAAGGCATTGTAACACACTTTCCATTTAAGGTTTCTGTGTTTGTGTATTTGTAGACTCTATGCCCCACCTGTAAAGCTAAGTGAAAGATGTTGGGAAGCAATCTTATAAGCTACTTTCTCCAGCTAATATCAACAAACTCCAAGATGAAAGGATAGAGCTAAGAACCCAGCATGTGAACAGAAGAGGATGCATGACACCCCCAATACAGTAGTGGAAAAGATGAAATGCTCTACATTCCTACCTGTGAAATACCATATTTTCCCATGTATAAGATGAGGTTTTTTGCTTTAAAAAATTAGTAAAAAATTGGGGGTCGTCTTGTACACGGAACATGGGCATCTGGGGGAATTTTAAAAATATTTAAGCATATGTCCGGGATTTTGGCTTGGGCGGGCTGAGGCGGTCCCTCCTGTTGCCGTCCCCCCTTTATCCCCCCACTCCAGGCTGCATGCTGGTGAGTGGGCTCGCATCCTGAAGCCCCCACTGGCTCGACCACCGGATTGAGAGCAGCTGCCACTGCCGCCACTGAAAACTGCCCCAGCTACCTCTCCTTGCCCTTCTTTCCTTTTCCCCCCTCTTCCCCTCTCAAACTCCCACCTGCCGCTGCCTTCCCCTGGCTCTTCCTTGGCATCCTGCTTCCCTGCAGCAGCAGCTGCCACTGAGGGGGAGCGTGTGGTGCCCCCTAGTCGCTGCCTTTGCTTCTGCACCACGGTACACTGCATGCACCTCATGCTGGAAACTCTGAGGGTGATCGCCTTGAAAAAGATCAACAACTTGCCACCGGCAATCATCCAGATTTTCACTTCTATTTTAGGGTTTCATTTTCTTAATTTTGGGTTCAAAAAATAGGGGGCGTCTTATACATGGAAAAATACGGTACTCTGGGAACACTACAGCAGAGCTAAGCAGTGGATCACAGTACATAAAGAGACCACAGAGTAACCCTAGGATGATATACATGCTGAAGACAACCCTTCTGAGTAGAGTGGAAGGAAGCCACTTGTTCCCAGAAATGGAAGAAAATTCTACCCTGTCTCTTGCATACGTTACAAGCAGAATAGCAGGGTAGCAATACATTGAATGTTGCACTATTACAATATTTCCTTCTGTGCAAGCATCAGTTTGTCCTATGAAACAATCCCTCCTCTCCTCCCCCATGTGAATCTTTCGATCCCCCAGGGCCAAATTCAGGGACATGGTGGGGGAGGAGAGCAGGGAAATCCTGTCATGTAAGCAGGGCTTCCGCTGACGTGACTCAGCAGTTGAATCCCGTAAATGGATTCCATCCTTCAGACAGGTTTGAAGTTAAGTATATATATTCAATTATATACTCAAGAGAACTGCACAGCTCCCTTAAATTTGTGTCTGTATCATGGATGTTTTCTAAATACATACTTTATGAATTTACGCTTTACATTTGTAGATGTTCATCTAAAAATATAGTGTGCAAGATGAACTTGCATGAAGGAGAAGCGTCCAGGTATCTTCTGTTCCTCACAATTAACTAGTTTTAAATTTTCTGTGTTAACAACCTGGAGTTCTCAGAAGCTTTACAGTTTTAACATTTATTTTACTTGCTCTTATTTTTTATTGATGATGGGTGATTTTAATTATTTTTAGTTTAAGTAATTTGGGATATGCAATTTGTATTATTGTCTAACCCTGAGCTCTACAATGATGAAGGCCAGGCCATAAATATGCATAATAAATAAGCCTTGTGTGCCACACCTTGAAGAATAACATTTTATTATGAACTATAATCCAGTTCATGCATCTGATAAAGCATTGCACCATAACAAAAATGGCTAATCTTTTAAGGTGCCACAAAACTTTTTATTGATCTTGGTGCAATAAACACAGCTACTCTACAGGAAACCTGAAATGAGTTAAATTTAAGACTAGAATGAAGTAGGTACCATCTCAGAATCTTTGAAAGGCACCACTACATCACATCCTCTGTTCTGCAAGTTGTTTCATCATATATACAAGACGTCAGCGGTTGCTGTTAAGTACTGCAGTGATATTGGCCCAAACTAAGGTCATTGACAGGCTTCTTTGGAACTTACTGGCTGATTTATCAATATGACTTTGGCACAGTATTAGGCAGCCTTATAGTTATCTGTTTTGTTGTGTTCATACTACTGGTAATTTTGATATTTTTGCACTGATTGTGCTGCGGCAATTGTCAGTTACTTTGGGCTTCTTTCTGGAAGGAAAAGCAGGGTACAAATGTGAAATGAAAATGAAACTTCAGAACTTACTCTTTGACCATGAAGACAATATTATTCACCCTTGAGGCTAGTGCTGAAATGAACCCACAACTCTGGTTGAAGTTTCAAGGACAGCATCCTACCCAGTACTCAGCCTATACCCCTACGTAACTTGTGTACAACAATCCATGTGAACATTTTATTGTGAGTACAAGCAAAAACCATGACTTTACAGGTAGAGCATGTCCAAAACATACGTGAAAACCTGACTACATTACTAACACTTCTCTGCCAAGAGTCCTTGCCTTGGAACTCCAGCCACAAACACCCAACAGCCCTTCTTCCTCTAATCTGACAGCTGGGGTGCACAGACAGAGAACCCCATACAAGTAAGTAAGAAAGGAAAGGTAATACAGTCAATGCAAAATATAGCTGCTGTAGCTGTCTGCCTCCACCTGCTTTATGGTTTTAATACTTTACCTCATACAATAGGGAGAAGAGTATTCCACACAGAAGAAACAATCATCCCCACATGCAGGTAAGATCTCTGTTGGCAAAGGCCAAGCCCTCCAATCCAACTGTAGCTGGCCAAACACTTTGGAGTACTTTTGCTTTACAAGTTCACAGCCCTGGTGCCTTGCATTACTGCCAGTGTTGGAGGAACCATTCAGGAATCACAGCCCCAGTGTATAGCATGCAGCTATACCAGTTGTTTCTGAACAGCCAGAGTTCAATTGCAACCACCAACTCAGAAGGCAGTGCGCTCTCCACTTCCCTGATGTGTGGGGGGCAGTGGGTGGGGGGGATGGCTAAGGCATGACCACTGGCCAAGCACCATTTATTACTCTCTCTTGTACCTGTGCATGCAGGTTCAGCAGTGTTAGAAACTGAGATATGAAAGCTAGGAGCTAAATGGCACCTTAAACCTAGGTTATGGGCGCAACAACAGAATGTCTAGGCGCGCTTTTCTATAACAAAAAAACCAACAAGGCTGAAAGTGAATGAATTGCAGCTAAAATATTGTGTTCGTTTTTCACATGATCTAGTCTCTTTTCCAGTCTTCAGACAGTAGCTAGAAGTAGGGAGGCAGAAAAAAGTCCCTCTTTCCTTCCACTCTGCAGTTTTAATCTGAAATCGTAGGCGCAGTACTGCTCCCAGAGCTCAGAAACTGCTTGCGCTAATGAAATTCCCTGTCGCAAAATGCGCCTAGAACCATGGGAGTTTCGGACACTGGGTTCAAGGTCTATTTATTCCAGGTATTACTAGATACCCTTTCAATCTCTTCCCTTTACTCTCCACAGGCCACGCCCAGCTCCACATAGATCACAAGGAAGGCCCACCCCATGATCAGCAGTGACTGGAATGCCTCCTGCCTGTTCTGCCATGGACAATGACATCCTTACTGACTCTAGACAGGAACCGGCACCTTGGAAAGCTTTAAGACAGATAGGTATGCAACAGGCAACAAAGAGCTGGTGCCTGCTACTCTGCCGTCTGAAGGCCCAAGACACAGATGCCCTGCTGGTTAACAACCCTATACATATCTTTTCAGAATCCATTACACCCTAGATAGTGTGGAATAAAGGCTATGATTTTGCCACATGCTGGATGGGGATTCCCCCCCCCCCCACACATGCTAGGAAGAGCTGAATTTGGCTGGCCTCAGCAGGTGAGAAGGTATGATGGGCTCATGATTAGTAGCCAAGGAAGCTATGCTGTTGCTGTGTTGTGTGGCTTCTTCTGCCCTCTCTTTACGTCCAGTGCTCAAAAACAGTGCTTGAGCAGCCCAAGAAGATTCAAATCCCGATTGGTACATATGCCTGGGGACTGGGAGCAGCAGGGATATTTTTGTCTGTTCCACTGGGGATCATGGAGCAGGGGCACTGTGGCATCATTGTGTGCGTTACAGGGAGGTGTTCCGGAACATGTTCTCATCACTGCGAGTTCATTCACTCCCTCTTTGTGTAGGCGGCATTGCTGGCACATTTCCCCAATTGGTGCGCCTTGTTTGTGCTCCTGCTATTTTTGCACTGTTTGGGGGATTTTCCAAGTGGTACATTTCCCACCCCCACTCTGCATTAAGTGGGTATATGATACAGCAGTTGTTACACCAGTATCTCCCCTTCCACGCAAAGCATATTTGCCGTATGGAGGTGGCTATGCAAATCCTGTACCAGCTACATCCTCCTTTCCTAGCAGTTTTCAAAGGGTGTTCCAGAGAACCCAAGAAATTATGAAAAGGTTCCTCAATGAACCTTGGGCAAGTTTTATTAAAGTGACTTTTCCACCAATGCTCACTTTCTCCTGAAATGTACACACAGGATCAGAGCATTTGGTGTATTCTACTCCATTTCATGCAGAAGAGAATGGTTGTGGAGCTGAGCGGATCTGGCCAGCACTCAACACAAATTTAGCAATTTCTCTAGGGCATATCCCAAAACAATGTGTAAAGCACAGACGTCCACGTGTCAATTCCACATGGAATTTTTTTTATATAACATAGAAACTTTTAAAATCATAGTTGTAAGCTAGAGAACCTGCTGTATTCTGCCTACATCACCATAAACATAACCAAACTCCTTGGTCAGGTACTTCCCATCCAGCTAAAGTAGTTCATACATATGGATCTCAATCAATCCATTTGCAACAATGACCGCATGAACTTAAAAGAAATTATAGTCAAATGTGGTAAAAATCACAAGTAGTATTACAAATTACTGAAATTAAGATAAATTGGTAATCATCCTAAGGAGGGGTTCAGAGGCTTTCTGTTTTAGACTAACTGCAGCTTTTCATGAGTGGTATGTAACCAAGTTTTACTCAGAGTAAACCCATTGCTATTAATGGACCCAATTTAGGCATGCTCATTAATTTTAATGTGTCTATTTTGAGTAAAACTCAGTTGAATACCACTCATTATACTGCAAAGTTGCTACCATGCAACATTAAGTTTGTCAGGAGATAATGAAAGAACAATAACAATATAAGTAGTCAATACTGCTTTTTTACCTTGATATGCAATGTGTTTCTTAATAGCATTGCATCTCTCACAGACATACCCACAGCCTCCCAGCTACAGATGCTGACTTTTTCCTCAAGAGAGGACACACACAGTTCTCTTCTGCCCTCATCTCTGCTGGTAAAGGTCATCACAGAGCAGACTGTTACCCTAAGAGCAGAGCTGCCATCACAATGTCACCAAAGAATGTAGAAAGGAACCCTGATAAACAGTGACCATAAGGTTCTGAAATAATGTAACATCTTTGGCACCTTCTAAGCAATGCAATGCATATCTCAGTTGCCACAATTTGTGACAGGCACCTTAGGATGAGGTTCATCCTTACCAGAATTAACTTTATCACGACAATCAGGAGATGGGAAAAGAAAAGGCAGCAATTGCCAGAGCAAGGGTGAAGGTGAACCAGAAGATATATCAATAGACAAACATCTGTTGGCAGGAAGCACACACACAGAGACAAAATCAAAACGGGAGGGTCTAAAGCCTGCTGTGGAAAACAGCCCAATTGCAGATAAAGCATAGCATTTTGTTGCAATTTCTAAAACATATCTCACCACTATAGCAACATTACTAACACAGGCCATTCTAAAGGGATCCACGCCTTTGACCTACATCTGTAGCACCAGAACATTTAGATGCCCTTAAACAACCAACTCACTCAAGTGTGTAGAAAACATGAAAGCCGACCATATATACAGATATTCCAGGGGAATAACAAAAACTGCTATGTATTCCAGAGAGGCAGCCTTGTTGTGTGCTGCAGCAAAAACCAAAAGAACACCTAGAAGACCAATACATTTAATAAGCTTTCGCCAGGTCGGTTTGCAGCCATGGGGGGATGGCTCACAAGCTCGAGAGACCCTAAAGTCAAGCACGAGCTAGGTCCGCAGAGGTTACCTACCCATATGCCCAGAAACAGTTAAACTGGAGCCACAATCTTGGTTCAGAGCAGTATACCTGTCAAGGACAAGGTGCTTTGGGGGGGGGAGCATACAACAGGGAAGGGCTGCTGCCTTCCTGCTTGGCCGGTCCCTCCCCTCCAGGCATCTAACAGGCCACTGCTGGGAACAACATGCTGGACCAGGAAGACCTTTGTCTGATGCAAGAGCGCAATTCTTCCTGTTGTGTTTTTTTGAGCGGGGGCGGGTGTGCCTGCCCGTCCCCGTCCCCCCGGAAAAAAAGGAGAAGGCTTCGCTCCCCGCCCCCCCAGCCCTCGCCTCAGCGCCACACCCACCCGCGCCCAGCATCTGCGGCAGCCTCCTCGCCCCCCCCCCCCGTTCCCTTCCCACCTTACCGTGTTGGGTGAAGATATTGAAGCCGCTCTCGGCCCCTCGCGGGGCGGCCACCTCTCGCCTCCGGCCGGCGGGCCTGGCTGCGCTGCCCCGGAGCCCCCTCGGCTGGGGCTGGGAAAGAGGCGGCGGCTGTTGCTGCTGCTGCTGCTGCTGCGTCGCCGCCGCCGGCTGCTGGAGCGCGGAGGAGGCGCCCGGCTCCCCGACGCGGCCCACCTGCTGGCCCATCCCCGTCCCCCGCCCGTCTCGGGCCCCCGCCACAGCCCTCGGCCGCCGCCTCGCGCTCACATGCCGCCGCCTGCGACGCTCCTCCAGCCGCGCCCGCCCAGGCCCGCTTCCCCACAGGGCTGCCCTGCCGCCGCCGCCGCCGCCGCCTCTTCCTCCTCCTCCTCGCCACCGCGCTCCGGACAGGCCCTCACGGACTCGCCCCCTCAACCCCCGCCGCCGCCATCTTGACCACAGAGCTGAGGGGGCGAGGGGAAGAGCGGCTCCTTCTCGCCCACCCTTCCCACCTCCGGTCCTCCAGGGGCGGCGAGGGCTCCGCCTCCCGGCCGCGGCCCCGCCCCGCGACGTCGGCGGCTCAACGGGAGGCGGAGCCCCGCGACGTCCCGCGCACGCGCGCGCGCGCCTCCGCTTCACCAGTGGAACCGAACTTTAAAATGACGCCTAGGATAGCCGGGATAAAGAGTCAAATACATTTGATCATTATTATTCCTAATAGATGTTCCCTCAAGTATTGGGGGGGGGAAGTATTCTTATTATGCCATATTTTTAAAAAGCCAAACACTTTTAAAAATTAATTAAAGTATTTATTTAATGCACTTTCTAACATAAAATCCATTCGAGAATAGAGGGTGAGGTTAGAAACATATTCTTCTCCTTTCTTGAAATGTTTTTGTGTGCTCCACCTTTTGGTTTGTGTTTTTTATTTAAATTGTTTTATTTTAATGGATGATAGTAATAGGAGATTTGAAGTGCAAGTAGATAAATAGGTACCGCTCCGGCAGGAGGGTAAATGGCGTTTCTGTGCGCTGCTCTGGTTCGCCAGAAGCGGCTTAGTCATGCTGGCCACATGACCCGGAAGCTGTACACTGGCTCCCTCAGCCAATAAAGCGAGATGAGCGCTGCAACCCCAGAGTCGGTCACGACTGGACCTAACGGTCAGCGGTCCCTTTACCTATATTTGTGTAAACATTATCACCATTTTATTTGTATGCCACCTGTCTGTAGTTAAAACCAGTGGGGGGAGGTCTGGGGGTGCTGAACGGTACGCAACACCGGCACCTTTTAGAAGAAAAACACTGGTTAAAAGTCTGACACTTCCTGTAACAGCTTCAGGGTTGTTGTACCAGCACGGGTTTTTTTTCTAGAAGAAAAGCACTGGTTAAAACCATGTTTAAAGCAGCTTTCAGCATGAGGGAAAAAACATAATTACAAAAGTAGCCATAAACAATAAGCAAAACACTTCAAAAAGTACACAAAATTGACTAATGTCCACATAAATCATAGGTAAAGGTAAAGGGACCCCTGACCATTAGGTCCAGTCGTGACCGACTCTGGGGTTGCGGCACTCATCTCGCTTTATTGGCCGAGGGAGCCGGTGTACAGCTTCCGGGTCATGTGGCCAGCATGACTAAGCCGCTTCTGGTGAACCAGAACAGCGCACGGAAACGCCGTTTACCTTCCCTCTGGAGCGGTACCTACCGGTATTTATCTACTTGCACTTTGATGTGCTTTCGAACTGCTAGGTTGGCAGGAGCAGGGACCGAGCAACGGGAGCTCACCCCGTCGCGGGGATTCGAACCGCCGACCTTCTGATCGGCAAGCCCTAGGCTCTGTGGTTTAACCCACAGCGCCACCCGCGTCCCAGCACATAAATCATAAGAACAGCTAAAAATAAGGATACAAAAAAGTAGTATCGATAACAGCAACAAGACCCCGCTCAGCAGGACCCCAGCCCAAGACCTCTGGAGCTACATGGCACTCTTCATCAAGCAGAATGTAAATGTACATTTTTTGATGTTTGCTCAGCTTTCAAAGCAGCCACATTGATACCAGAGGGCATGTTGAAGATTTCACTGCGCAAGATCAGTGTGGGAGAGGAGGTGGAGAAAGCGCTTGGAGAAACACTTATTCACAGGTGACAAGCTATGTTTTGAACATAATCATTTTGTCTGGCTGACTTCAGGTATGACCATGCTTAGCTCATGACTGATATGATATGTTAGCCTTTTCTTTATGCGCCCAAATCAGTGCTTCTGGGAACTGAAGATTTTGGGCATAATCCAGCAAAGCATAAATCACAACTAGCCCAAATTCCACTGACTCTCCCAACAAGAGCTGCTCAAATAGAAGTCTTTCTGGATTGTACCACATACTACCGCATGGGGGGGGGTGTTTTACAAAAAATGGGCATGGTGGAGGGAAAAGTTGTCCAGAGTCCTCCCCCCTTGCATCTGGTTTTCTATCTGCAGGGTTTATTCCTTCATATGGCTGAGCATTCATTTATATGTTTCCCTTACCAGCAGACAGTCCAGGAAATGTTTTGCCACAAGTTGTCTCAAAAGTCTTCTTGCAACTAACTTTTGCTGGATTTTGTCTTGGTTTCTCTTATTAATATTCATTCCTTGACCCCAAGGACTGGTCACACGTAGCTCCTTCTTGGGGAATATGGTGTTCAACAATTGGTGGTTAAGCAACTGCAGGAACTCTTGGATGACACTGATTTTCTGGCCCCATTTCAATCTGATTTCAAGAGTGATGTTGGTTTAGAAAATACATTGGTCACCTCAAAATATGACTTATTCTAGGGGAAGGGCAATATTGCTCATTCATGCAGTCCTTTCAGCTGCTTTTGATCACATTGGCCACAATATCCACCTGGTTTGGCTCTTATGGGGCAGTGTGTTTGGGTAGCTCTGCTGCTACTTGGCAGGTTGATTATATCCCTGTCCAGGAATGGGTGAAGCTCATCAGAGGTGTTGTTAGCCACAGAGACAACTTACGCCTTCAATGAGTGATGGAGCTATGAGTTTTCAGAGACTATGAACGTGCTTTTTCAAGTGGAGTATGACCTTCATTGAGAACAGGATTTCTACCTAACGTCCTAACTCAATTATCTATCCACCCACAAAGACATCATCATAATTTATTATTTATACCTCGCCCATCTGGCTGGGTTTCCCCAGCCACTCTGGGTGGCTTCCAACAAAATATTAAAATACAATAGTCTATTAAACATTAAAAGCTTCCTTAAACGGCTGCCTTCAGATGTCTTCTAAGTCTGGTAGTTGTTTTTCTCTTTGACATCTGGTGGGAGGGTGTTCCACAGGGCGGGTTCCACTACTGAGAAGGCCCTCTGCCTGGTTCTCGCAGCGAGGGAACCGCCAGAAGGCCCTCGGAGCTGGTCCTCAGTGTGTGGGCAGAATGATGGGGGTGGAAACGCTCCTTCAGGTTTACTGGACTGAGGCTGAAGTCTTGTTGGGTTTCGGTCTCTCAGAACTCAGCTCACTGCAGCATGCAGGCACCAGTGGAGAGCCCAAATGGACTCCCCTCATTCCAGTGTTAGAGACATAGAATGTGATTGATGTATTGATAGCACCCAGGTCCAAACCCCTTGATGAACATTGGTCTATCAGTGGTGGGGAACCTGTGGTCCTCCCAAGTCTCTGTCTGGCCTGCTGATCTCTTCCCAGGTGACACCTCCCCAAACCACACCATCACTGGCTCACATTATGTTTTGGCTAGATGGAAGGTGTCCTTGCTGAAGAGATGTGTGTGTAGAAAACTTTGACTTGTGTGTGACAGGGCTATAGAGTTGCATGTTACCCCACCCTTGGCATATAACTCCTGGAAGGTTATCTACTAGGAAATATGGCCCTCAGGATGAAGTCCCCCATCCCTAACTAGCAGTGACTCTTTGGGGTTTCAGGCCAGAATCTCCTAGACCTATCCAGGGATGCTGGGAATTGGACCTGGGATCTTCATGCAAAACAGATGCTCTACCACAGTGCATCTATGTGGGGTTTATCGTCTGTTTGCTTGGTTGTAAGTTGCTTTGGGCAAGATAGTGAATGACAAATCTAATTAATAAAATCATAATACCACTGATTTACAGCCCTTCCACAATGGAATCATGGGTGATATGCCGATTTCGCTACTTCAGAGTAGGATATAGAAGGGATGACTGAAAGCTTAATTGATCTGGTGCCGAATAGGATTGTGACTTGATGAGATTTTGATGGAAACAACAACAAAAATATACTGTAGAGTTACCTTGGGAATGGGCTGGGACTTGAGTTCAAGGCTTCAATTCAAGGCAAATGGTATCACTGTGGCCTTATGAAACTGTAGGAGGCAGAGACCTGTTATACCAACTAAATTCCAGGTATTGAAAATAGCCATGAGGTATTTGGAGAGGAAAATGCACTGCTGCGTTGTGTAATAACAATACGAACTAGATCTTCTGGAAACTAGTGAAAGGCTGAGATATATTTCCAACAAATGAGAGATGGTGGGGAAGTGCTATTAAAACAATGGCAGAAGTTTCAATAAAGCAGGGATGGAGGAAACTGAGGGAAGTGGCAGCTTTAAACAATGGCAGAGGTTTTAGAAAAGGACTGGTTGGCGGTTCGAATCCCCGCAATGGGGTGAGCTCCCGTCACTCAGTCCCTGCTCCTGCCAACCTAGCAGTTCGAAAGCACGTCAAAGTGCAAGTAGATAAATAGATACCACTCCGGTGGGAAGGTAAACGGCGTTTCCGTGCGCTGCTCTGGTTCGCCAGAAGCGTCTTAGTCATGCTGGCCACATGACCCGGAGGCTGTACGCCGGCTCCCTCAGCCAATAAAGCAAGATGAGCACCGCAACCCCAGAGTCGGCCACAACTGGACTAACGGTCAGGGGTCCCTTTACCTTTACGAAGTATTTGTGGGCTCCACATCCTTTCTTTCTCACAAGGCAGCTGAGGAATGAAAGAAGGGAAAGTTGCAAAGGAAGGAAAACTGAAAAGGAAAAAGTGGTTGTTTTGAGTGGCAGAGGTCTGAATAAAGCAGGGATTTAGAGATGCTGAGAGGAAAATGTTTTCAAACGATGGCAGAGACATGAGCGAGCAAGGGAACACACAGGGGAGGGGCTGTTTAAAACAATATTTCAGGACAGTGAGAACGGCATTCGGAAAGACTTCAGTGTCAGCTTTTTGTGTTGTACTCATTCTGTTATTCCTCCTTGTTAAAACTGGGTTTTTATAATTCAAAAATACTCAGTGTCACACCATCCCTGCTCTACTTAAATCTCTGCCATTGTTGGAGTACAGCGAGAAAGGAGAGGCACTGACAAGGGTGGGGAGGCTGTTTTTAAACTTCTCTCTCTTCCATTCCTCAGCTGCCTTATATGACAGAGATGAAGGATGCAAAGTCCTCAAATATTCCATAGTATCTTCCTACAATCATGTATTTAACTCCTGGTATCATGTGTTATCTTCAACATGAAGCCCCAGATTCAATGCAAGAATTTAGAACAGGTATTTTATTAACAAGCAAACACCCATATATGTACAACATCCATCAACTGAATTTAATTTTCGCTAACATACTTGCCCTTCAGATTCTACCTATCTTAAAGATACGATAACATAGATCAGCTTGGAGTGTGTGTGCAACGGGGGCTGCACAATAGGGGAGAGACTAATACATGGAAATAGGGGGGATCTGTGTGCATGGGAGAGTTGATAAAAGTGTGGTGGCAGATCCACACATGGCTATTGTGCACTTGTCAAGAGACAGTAAAACTTACAACAAATATGAGTTTTTATTTGTTAATATCGTGCACATAGTGCAGGAGGACACCTCAGCAAAATATGGATACAAGCCCCTGGAACCATATACCTGCTAAGCCATAAGATAAGCTCATAAGGTTTGAAGCATGTGAAATCTCTCCAGGCAATGATGACCCTCCATATTATCCTGTCAGCCCACATAAACACAAAATTTCATTGGCAGTGCAATCCCATACATGTCTACTCAAAAGTAAGTTCCACTGAGTTTAATTGGACTTACTCTCAAGTTAAATGCATATAGGACTACAGCCTAAAGTACTCTAAAGACTCAGAAAATAAAAGCCTTTAAGTAACCTCAGTTAAAGCCAACAAGGAAGAAGTCTATACTGAAACTAACCTTTTTAAAAAACTATCAGGCATTGGCTCTGCAGCAGGATATGGCCTATTGACAAGTCAATAATTACTTTTTGAGACAGCTTCCTATATCTACCATGTCTCCCCATTAGCAGTCATTTGATTCTACTCATTTTCAGAAAATGCAATATAAGCGCAACTCTTTCTACCCTCATCATCAACTAAAGATGGAGACCTAGTTCAGGGGAAAGTCTGCATGGGGAATGCATCACAAGGCAGACTTTGCAAGACTGCAAAATTATATTCTGTCATTTGCATGGTCACAGGGAGTCACGGCCAAGAGATATGCCCCTTTTTCTGGTTGCCATATTTCATTTAGTTTCTAGCCAGGCCACTGTTGGACAGTTCTCCGAACATAATTCGTGAACGGATGAATCCATCCAACGGTACAAGGTAGCGACTGAAGAATTGAGTCCTCCTTGTGTTACTTGATAACACTGGAACTCCATCACCAGCTCTGAGTCTCTGGAGGCAGTAGTTTAGATGGTAATTGAAGCCTAAAGCACAGGAAGCCTAAGGAATGCTCTGGCGGTACAAAGGCAGAAGTAAAAACTTCTAGTTCTTACTAGGTCTGTAGGCGCTGATGTTGCACACCGTCTTTTCTACATGGCACACTCTTAGCTCTTTAAGGTAGATCCTGACCACAGACACTGCAGTTTCTAATTCAAGCTACAGAGCGCCTCTGCCACTCCTGGCAGAAATTGGATCAATACTAGTGTGTGAAGGAGTCACATTGCCATACCTCCTGCACCACTAAAAGGCAACATCCGAAGGAGCACATCAAGACTGCACGCTATCCTATGTTGGCAACTCCTATCTAAAAAGAGCTAGGTAAGTTGCCATTGAAACTAGCATGGTGTGAGAAGCAAAAAACCCCAACCCAGAGTTTTATTAAAAAATTTATTCACATAATACTTATTTATGCAGTCTGAACCTGGGAAAACACATAACAGAATCAAGATTATATTGAGTTCTTTTCTTCCAATAGTTTCCATTTGCAGCCACTCCCAAAGGCAACCTTCTGGCAGGTCCAAGAGGTGTGTGCACTCTGCTCCAGCTGCTACATAAATAAGTTAACTTCTTAATAAATTAGTTTCTTTTTTTAATCTCTTAAGTGACATTTCCAGTTCATCAGATTCCAAAATACAAATGTGTGGTTTCTTCTACACCACTTGCCAAATCAGGCAAAGATAAAGGACTGTAGTACTTCCTTCAAATATTTTGGTGCTTCAAAGCTAATTCTGTCTCTGTTACTGGTTGCACAGAAATGAGTCTTCATCAGCTTGAAAAGTTGTTTAATTTCATACTGGTATGCTGCTGCTTGTGTAAAGATAAATAAGGAGACATCCAAGTTGCAAGAGGTTACCTTCACTAATTGTACTACTCCATTTTTTTTCTGCACACAACGTAATTACAACAGCTGATGTTGGAAGTGTCCAGGGAATTTAACCTTAGTACCTGACCTGATCACACCTTCATGCCATGTTTCAAAAAGATTTTTGTAGCCAGTGACCCTCACGGTAGAAATCGACATCACCTGGAGAAACTCAAAATGATTAGCTGAGCCAGCTTGACAGAAACCATTGTATTTGCCAATGTTCTCTTTGTTGAAGTAGATAGCTTGCAACAGATAGGGATTGCCACTGCTTTTTAGGCCAGGTTGCAGTTTAGGCAACTGCCTTCAGACAGTTACTGACATGGACTAAGAACAAAAGATTTAAAATACTTTTGAAGAAAAAAATGCATCCCCCTGCCATTTGTTACTCTGGAAGCAGGAAGTTGAAGCTTTTGCCAAAAAAAAACTAAGGCTAACTGAAAAAGTCAGACCTTGCCTTTAAATTAGTTTCACATGGCTTCCAAGGCATCCAATCCAGGAACTTTAATCTGATAAAGTCTCTTATAAAGTCTGCTGAATAATGCATAAGAATGCTACATGTCAGAGCTGACACATGAGATAAACTTCTACAAATTACTCTCCGATATGGTGGATGGGTATCATTTCCAGAAAAATTGGGCTTATCATTCAAAAAGTCACCTAAAGTTTCCTGAAGCACTGTACAATTCCAGGCTAATGGTCAAAAAGCCAGTAGATCGTTCAGAAGAAGCAGCTTTCTGCCACTTGGAAAAGGCCTACTGGAAATGCTTTTAAGTTCAACTCAGCCCTGAAAAATGACAGGATACTGTTAAGTATACTGTCTGGCACAGAACCTGCAACTACTTACAAAAGCAGTGACACACCAGTCAGAAAATATTCCATTGCTCAGTCTCTGGTGGTATCCATCTTTTAAATTAACTGCAAACTTTAGCCACAAACCCCATTGGTCTCGTCTCATGAAGGGGTGTCAATACAGAGAGAACACAATGAATCTCAATCATTCCTACTTTTTAGAATAATTATTTGGTTCAATTGTATCTGCTCCTTTAAAAAAACCACAAGGCTTATTCCGTATCAGTAGAATACTGGCAAGAATCCTTGTGTGGTAACAAAACAATGGTTTGCACAATAATCTTTGATCTTCATGGCTGGTTGAGTCTTTGCAGCATCATGCAGTCCCGAATCCTTTCAGCCTTGCGGATGGAGTATAGATTTAAATTAGCAATCTAAAATAGTCTCTCTTCTTAGCATTTTGGAATTAAAGGATTTTGCTTAATGCTGCTAACAATAACACGATCCTTCACGGAGCTCTTGAGAAAATTCCAGCCAAAAATGCGTGAGATGCATGAGGGTCAGGAGAAGCAATAAGGGATCCCTTCAACAACTGATCTTGTCTCCATGCTCTCTTTTTAGGTAGCCAGCAAGGAAGCACAGGCAGCCCATTCTTTACAACTATGAATTGGGCTATAATCTTGAAACCATATTTGGATTAGATGAGGGGACTGTGGCTCTTCTCTGGAATCAGTCTGTCTTAATGCCTACTTCCAATTTCTTATTTAAGAAATCTAGGAGTGCTTTCAGTGTAACATCCACTGCCAGCAATGGACATCCAAAACATGATGTGGGGCTACCTGAAGGCAAGTTCCTTGTCTTCAGCAAAACCATCATGCCGCTGCTTTCTCCTTCAATTCAGGAAGTCTGGCATTTCAGTTCCAGCCCATCCTGCCCACAGCCATGCAAAACCAATTGTGCTGTTTTTGTATTGTTTCCTTAAAAATAGAGAGAGAGAGAATCTGATCCAACACCTGTTGAAGCTACAAATGGGAAAGTGTCATCCTATCTTCTACCAGTACAATGTCTGGTCCAAACTGGTCTGTACATTGCTTTACTGTAGCCAAGATATTCAGGAGTCGCTGATCCAGGGCATCCATATGAGGGGAAGACAGAACTGGTGAGATAGGATCATGAGACATGGCAGTTTTTAAGGCAGACTTCAGCACCCCATTCTTCAGGTAGTTCAGTCTGTTCCATGTGGAGACTCGAATACTGCAAAAGAAATGAGAGAATGTATGGCAAACCTAAGTTTTGATTGCAGACTTCAGGATGAGGGACACAGTCTACTTGGGCCTGTCCACACGCGCATATCACAAGATGATAACACAGAACTATAAGCACAGCTGCTCATATTTTGCACAAAACACTCCGAACAAAGTAGTGTGTAGTGTGTGTGGGAGGGCGGTAGGAATGGGAAAATTTGGGTTCAGCCATGAAGCTTACTGGATGATCTTGGGCCAGTCACTATTTTCCCGCCTAACCTCATAGGAACAAGAAGATAAAATCCTCCTTGGAGAAAAGGCAAAATACCAATGCAATAAATACAGCAGACCTATGCAGAAAATGAGTTGTGCAAATAATCTACATAAATATTTATTTTATATAAAGTTGTTCAATTTGAAAGCTTTATTCTGAATTTCATAATTGCATAATGTGGACATTTAGTAAGGAGTGGTGTAGGGCATGAAGGAGGTGGTAAGTTAAAACTGTACTGCAAGCCTCTCCTGCTGCGGCTCAGACTGGAGGTTATGCAAAAAAATAAAAATAAAAATAAAAGCAAGCTAGGAATCGTGTGCACTCTTGGGTTAGGGTATTGTTTAGAGGGCTTTGTTGCTACTGTGAATACAATTTTTCTGTATCTTTTTACACCTTAATATTTATGTGAAAATTGTTCAATTTGGTTGTGTACTTTTTGGGTGCGTTTTATTGCTTATTACTACTACTTTGGCTTCTAATTATGTAAATCTTTTTATGTTGTGAGCAGTCTATAGTTTTAACTCTGGAAAGGCAGAATACAAATAAAACAATGATACTGCATACTGCATACTAAAGCACTTCTCAGAAATTGATTTCCCCCACGGCCAAAAAACCTCAGACACGCCTGTTTAAAGTTCCTAAGCTTTGAGCCCACTCAGCCTACTAATTACTGCACTTCTTGCCTCTCTTTCCTCCCTGCAGTTACTTCTTCACTTCTCTCATCAAAAGCTTAAGTTACATGTAATGTGGATGGCTCAGATGGAATCACAGAGCTTGACAACATGTGACTCTTGTCACATGAAAAGCAGCTTCATGTAAGCCAGGCTCTGACTGCAAACAATTCTGAAGACTCCCTCAGTGACAGGAAGAAAAAGCTGGAGGGAGATCATAGAACTGCTCCATCCTGTCTTATCTCTCCGTTAGCAGCTCGTTGATCCTAGGGGTTCAGAGGAATAGCTTCTTTTGATGTGACAAGTTTAATGTGCAGCCAGCATCTCAGTCTCAAACAAAAGTTGCAGATCATCAAGACACTGTATTAAGAGTCTGCAAAGCACGTGCATTTTTCTTCATTATCCTAACCATTCTCTTAATGTACTGAGGCAGCACTGGTTTGTCAGACTTGCACACTCCCAGGATGTTTGGGGCGGGGATTGCAAGGTGCATACAGTATAAAAGATCAATAACTTATTTGTCCTTTACTTACATGCAGCATTGATAAAGAGGTGCTAAAATGCTTCTCTCATCCAAGACAGGGTTCCCAAAGCTGAAAAACAAATGGATACAAATTCATTGAAGTTGCTGGAAAATTCTACCCTACTCCACACCACAGAGTTAAGGACTTCAGCAGTCCCTGACATTTCAATTAACCCACAAACCTAAAGGGAATCAGATGCATTAGCAATAGCAGGCTTACAAAATTTCACTTTTGGTTCCCTACCTTAAAAGCATGAGGGTAGCCTTGCCCAACCTGTTGCCCGCCATACATTTTGGACTCCCAAAAGCCTCAGCCAGCATAGCTAATGGTCAGGGGAAGTGAGAGATGTGGCCCCAAACCTCTGGGGGGAACTAGGCTGGACAAAGCTGCATTAGCGAGAGCCCACAGTACAATGGTAATTTATGCAAATCTTTCCTAACCTTAGGGCTGTCATTTAGCTTGGGAGAAATTTCACAGATGTTGACACATTTCCCACCTTTTGGCATTGTCAAGTAGAATTAGCATACTGGCCCCTTCATCATCCTGAAAGCTTTCATAATGGTGTCGATCAGCATTCCCAATCAAATAATCGAAGATGGCTGTATCTATGATATCGAGGAGCCGCGGGCCTGAGTCGTAGGGCGAGGTCTTCTTTACAGCATCACAGTAGCTCTCATCATATTCCCACCTGCAAGCAGACATGGAGAAAGCTTTATGATTCATTTAAAACATAACCATGCATTGTCAGAGGCGTTAAAGAGAAACTTCCATAATCTGAAAAATAGGGTCCAGACTGATATAACTGCCAAGCTAGTCAAACTGGCTCAGTGCCTACCTGGTGAATGTCCAGTTAGCTTTCAAGCCAATATTCTCCCACTATGGCGTGTGAGAAAATTGCCTTTAATTACCAGCTTGCCTTTTCCTCACAGGTTCTTACTATATCTCCTCTTTTAACCTAGGCTCTTAATTTCATCCACCTTCCCCTCTGACAATTCTGTTCTCATTTAATAATTCAAGGCAAATTCACAAAAAGAGGACAAATTGCCTTATTTTGCCCAAGGCTTAGTGCATACCAATATTTGGTTGTTTCTGCAAGGTGCAGTAATATTTGAGGAAAAACAGTAAGGAAAGTGAGAGAACATTACATTACAGAGAGAACATTAAAGTGAGAGAACGTCACAAAGGAGAACTTGAAATCTGTAACGTTACAGTGAACAGCAGGTGCTGTCAATATGGTTTTCAGCCATAACCCAAGCACGAGGGGCAGGTAGAAGTGTTTATTTATTTTTAATGGAAACAAGAGTCTCACGAATCCAAATTAAAGTACTGATGTAATCACTAAAGATGAACAAAACCAATCATAGTCAAAAGAGGAGTCTGGGAAAGGGATGTGGAATAGGGATGCTTGACAAATTCAAGCTTTGCAAATTCTGATGCACACTAACCTGAGTTACATATTTCAGGCTAAAGTGGAAGTTGGATAACCACCATCTTTCACACTTCCTGAATTTCCCAACATATTTTAAACTGTATTTTGGTAAAATAGGTTTAGAAATGCATTATTTTGAGAGAAGATATGTTAAGAAACACATGTTCAAATGCAAATTAAGAATTACCACAGATTAATGCTGATATGGGAAGGAACAGAATTATGTATGAAAATGTACAAACATGGAAAGGCTGATTTGTCTTTGCCTAGTAGGGAACAACAAAATGTGCTCTTGTAAACCCAGTTTACTTCACATGCAGAAATGAGCCAAACTGTTGCAAATGAAACAGGTCTCAAAACGTTAGATTGTACACTATGCACGTATACACAGACAACTGCTACCCACTTAATTTAAGTTATAAGAACTTAAACTCTACTTATTCTTTGGGAAGGAAAACAAAGAGAACAAAATGGATTGTTTCTTTCCATCATCTCTTAAAATACTTCACATCTGTACTTCCAGCACCCTTTGTCCTTTGCACAACATTCTCAGAATCCTTTCTCCACCAGATAACTTTAGGGGCTATAACAACATAATCCATATACAAAATATACCATTCATGAGGGCCTTAGCTGTAACAGAGTTTCAGGAAAACTGGCCAATACCCTCCTTTCCATCTACAAATATTGCCCATTCCCTGGACTGACCAACAGACATGGCAAAGAAAAAAACAGTATTTTGCTCTATACCTGGCCAGCTTGCCTTCCCTGTACGTTCTGCCCCATGGGTGTCGATGCTTCTGAAGCGGCCAAACGTCTGGCAGCCATAGCGTGACTGACCCCTCCATGGTGTCCCCTTCAGCACAGGCTGGCTCTGTTTCCCGGCAATAGTAGCACTTTCCATAGAAGCAAGTATTATTTCCTTAGAAGAAAGCAGAAGCAAAAACCCATCTCTTGTCAAGTTGATATAATAGTATTAAAATGTTTATGGATGTTTCAGAAGCTTTCTAGGAGATACCTTAAAATCTTTAAGTTTTAAAATTAACACATTTCATTTGCTCAAGAGAAAACTCTGCTTCTCTCTCCTCCCTCACCCCAATGTGCTGAAAAAAGGCTTCAGGCAAACAGCAAGCCATCTTTCCACTCATGATTAACTAAAGGCCCAGCTGAATGAAAAAGCAGATACTTTCTTTGAAGTATGTAAATTAATGTATTTTTCTGACATATTTCCATAAACAAAGCTAGGAATCTCAAATTGTGCGACACCCCTCCTGAAACTTGTTATAGCAGTTTCATTGCTTTTAAAATGAGGGGTTTTTTTTAGAATGAATCGATGCTTCTAAATCATCTGTTGACATTACCATTGAACACTACTAACTCAATTAACAGAGAAAGAAGTGCAATGGCAAAAACTGCTTCTCAACAGAATATTCTCTCAGATAAGAATCCTTCACACTGAACCATCTGTGAATTAAGTCCAGAAAAAGCTGTTTACAATCCCCTGTGGTTAGGAGACCAGGAGTGTGCTGTAAGCTGCCATGTTCCTTGCTCCCTTCTCTTTTTAGCACCAACTAAGGTGCAGTATGTATTCCTGCCAACCTAGCAGTTTGAAAGTACGTCAAAGTGAAAGTAGATAAATAGGTACCACTCCGGTGGGAAGGTAAACGGCGTTTCCGTGCGCTGCTCTGGTTCGCCAGAAGCGGCTTAGTCATGCTGGCCACATGACCCAGAAGCTGTACGCTGGCTCCCTCGGCCAATAAAGCGATATAAGCGCGCAAACCCAGAGTCGGCCATGACTGGACCTAATGGTCAGGGGTTCCTTTACCTTTACCTAAGGTGCAGTATTAGATTCTACCAATGTTCATAGTAATCATAGTGTTGTCAAACAAGAATTTATAACCAGAGGTAACTTTAATACATTATCATAGTGTTAATATCAATGCACACTGGAAGGGGAAGAATTTGTATATATGAGGGGAAGGAAACCTACAAACCCGCTGCACACTCACAATCTCCTAAGCACAAGAAATCAGGAATACTGTATCTGACTGAGCCTAAGGGGCTTGCAGAACATTAGGCCTGCTTTCCCAACAGCAATTAACTTCCACATGCCCCTTGCTGGGATTTTTTTCAATTTTATTTTAGAGGTCTTAACGAAATATACTTTGTCACCTACCTAATGTCAAGAACGTACTTAGCAGTTGTTCTGTGGCAACAGGTTTTATCTCTGTGCGGAGATTCACAAACCTACCAACCACTAGAGGGGCTCGTCGGAAACCTAAGATTCTGTTTGGGGAAGAAAAGTAAGAAGGAAGTGAGACAATATGGAATAATCAAGTCGCCTCCCAAATATCTAAGGAAGAAAATTCCACAAATTAAAAACTTATAAAAGAGACTGACAATTTCACGATAACGTCTCAGCTGCATTGAAACTTCCAAAATTGCATACGCAGGGTCACCATCCACACTTCACAGGTGGGTGATGCTCAGTACGAAAAGCAGGGTTAGAGCAGAACAATAATGGATTTGCTCTTAGGCTTTAAAAATGGTTTGAGCTTCAAAACAAATTGTTTAGCTGTTGGAACCAGGCCTGAAGCGGCTGTACACAGTGTTCTGCCCCCAAATACTGCTTTAAATAAAGTCCTCAAGTAAATAATGCTTGGATTCATTTGACATTTGTGAGGACTAGACAAAAAATGTGAGCGGGGGGAGGGATCTTTCTTCAGAAAAAAATACTTTTCCTCCACAAAGGTTTGTTTAGTACATTTGTATCCCACCCTTCATCCATAACGGAAGTCAAGCTGGAATATTTAAGGTTCCCAAATGGTATTCCATTCAGGCACTGATCAGAGAAATGGCTGCACCATGTGCCTTCAGAACATGCTCTGAAATTTTACTGCTTCAGTGCAGCTTTACAAGCAAGTCTACAAACGTTACCAGTCTACTTTAAAGGAACACACACAAAAAAACCACCTGCTTGCTTGAATATACCTACATTAGTCATCTCAACCTTCAGTTTCCATGCCTGAGTCACCTGGAAGCAATGTTTACTTTCCACAGGCCTGCCTCATTTGCAGCAATTTGGCCCTACTCAGAGAAACAGCTTGAACCTCACATTAGAAATGTAATTACATAAGAAAACCATGACGGCCTGTTGCACTCATATGACAATATAACTAAATTAGGTACAGAACAGGAGACCATTATTTCCTCACAATTTTTCAGTTAAAAACAAAATTTCTATTCAGAGTTTAAGAAGGTGTTTATAGGTTTATTATCCATTTCCAAGAAGAGTGAATTCTAATTCACCTGTCCAGGTGAAAGGCTGCCACCTCTGCGTTGTGTCTGTCATACCCAGCATACGGCTCTCCTTCTACCACATAGTCTCTGGCATATCTAAAAATTGCAAGCAGACAGACAATCTGGGTCATAATGCTAGATTTTCCCTTTAAGCTACAGAAGCAAAATCCAAGCATATTGAGTTTCTGAATCAAGATGGCACATTACTTGAGACGTGTTCCCTTGCAGCTGATCACATGGCCACACATGCAAGGAAGCTTTTAACTAGAGCTGTTATTGATTGACAGTGGACTTGCTGTATGGTCCACATTCCAGGCCAGGAAGACAAGAGCCGATTCTCACAGGCAATAGGCTAGGCACTTCCTTGCAGCTTCTTCTTATTTAGCTCCATAACACTGGAACAATATTGGGCATAGCCAATCAGAGGCTGGAAAAGGGAAGGTGACGCTAGCATGGTCACCTCAAATCCCACTTTTCCCATACACGTGCACTGTGGTGATGAGTTCAATAATCAGCTATCCATTTCCCTGATCTGTCCTTACCCATCCATTGGGGAATGATAACCAGTACTCCCCATTTGGGAAACCCCAAAGCAAGTCATGGAGTTGGGCAAGGGGAACACTCAATATATTTCATCCAGTATGACCTTTTTACCTCTTGGGTTTGAAGACCACTTTCTGCCCACCTTCCAGTATGAGCAACGCCTTCAGCTGGGTTCCCTTATAGCCCACGTCTGCTTTGATTATCTTTTTTGTAGCCATAGCATGCATCACTGCCCCCAGTTCTGGCGTCTCCTCTGGGTACACTTCCCGTGGCACCACCCACTGGGCGGCAATCTCCCAGGGAGACTGCAGAGTGTGGTCAAGTCGTGGGTCCAGCTCCACCCGCAGGCTCGCCATCATACGATGAAAGGCACGCTGGTCCTCACGGTTAGCTGCTGAAGTGTCCAGGTTGTCTATGAGGAAAACCTTGGCAAAAATAAAGATGACAAGGAGGATTGCCAGAAGCACCACCCGTTGTTTCAACTTCATGATGACAAGCAGTCCTCTCCTGATGTGTTCTTCCAAAGGCTACAGGAAGTCTCTCACAAAGCAAATCGAGAGGCAGTGTACAAGTACCATCTTTGCTTCAGTTGACCAAATGTTGCCATTGCAGCTTCTGGTACACCTGTGAATTATTAAGAAAGTTGAATTTCACATCCTTAGGCATGATCTCCTATACCTGCAGAACATATGCTACTGATTTCTAGTACTTGCACTGTGTGCATCGGCAGAAACAGCCAGTTTTTAAATCCAGCATCTACTAAAAGGTTGACTTCTTCAGATTTTCAGGTAACAACTTGCCAGAACACTACTTGCTATGCAATATGGAGAACTGAATGACACATGAATTCTTCTGTTGATTTTTAGAATTCAGAAATTCACAGTGATATGAAAGCGTGAGGAAAATTAATCTCCCCATCATTTTGGGATGGAGCAAATAGAAAAGTATGTAGCATTCTAAATGAGGGAAAACAAGATATCCAATTTACTTAGGGAAGACTGGTGAAAGATTACTATTTTACTTTGTTGAACAATCCAAGCTATGATCTTATCTGCCTAGATTCCCAGGACATTCTGCCCAACCAAGAAGGTGTGGGATGTTTCTGAACTATGGAAATACTACCCTGCCCACTGTCAAAGATCCCTAGGTCATTAAGGCTTTCCCAAACAACACAAGGGAATGTCTTTTAGCCACTAAAGCAAACAGGAAAGACTTGAGGACACAAGAGAGCTTATTTGGCTCCAAAAGCTGTAGAGATAGAACTTTTAAACTACTGAACAAGCATTTTACTTTTGGGGTACTAAAAAACCCCACCATCAACCCACAAAGCTGTTCATAGTTTAATGGAGCTCTTCCACACAATAAGCAAGACAACTTAATCTAGAGAACAGTAGAATTGTTTTCCCCCTAAGTTTTCAGATTGAAATTTGCATGTTAGGCAGGATGTTTTTGCTCAACATTGGAGCAAATCTTGTGAATATCAGGACTGTCTCTATTTTTCAACTAAGTTCTGGACACAAAGCACTGTTCACAGGAAGCTGGAGAGAAATCTCTGAAGGGGTGCTGCATTGAAATAAGAATAAGAATAAAGATCTAGGCAGCTGTGCCGTCCCACAGCTCACCCATAAGCTTGAAATGAACAAAGCTGAACAGATATTTTCAGCTCAGTGTTATTACTAAGCAAAGATACACTTGTCATTCTACAGACTGAAGGGTACTGCTACTTCTTATTAACACTTAATTTGAAAACTAAGCCAGTCAGAGGAAAAAACGTTTGTGCATCTATGAGCAAACACAGCAGTTTCAGGAATTATATGCAACGTGTCCAAAGACCAAGGGAGGTGGTGACATTAGTCATTCCAAAATGAACCTGGAGAAGAAACATTGCGCAGTTTGTCGATCTAAGAACAGGCTACACTGCTTTCCTACAAAACATCTTTGTAGACATTGCAGACAAGAGCTGGCAGTCAACTGCTGTGCAGAAATATGATTGTGCCATCTTTTGCCAGCCTAATTCACCCAATTAGTAGAGTTTTCTATTTCAAAGTCTTCAACCTCTACTGACTCATAGTAAACTAAACCACATACATTGTACTCACTGTTGCCTCAGTCTCTTCCCTCCCCACCGCAACTAATGGCAAAATTCAGATTGTAAACTCCTTAGAGCACCGCCTTGCTTATTTCTTACACTTCAGACCACAGGCAGCTGATAAGGTTAGATAATTACATTTAAACTACTAATGTGTGAGGGCAAAATAAGATGCAATGGACAACTAAGAGGTACAGGAATGGGAAACAAGCGTCTGTTGTTTGAAACAGGAAAAGGAGAATTGCTAGACCTTTTCAAGTTGAATACCACTGTACAAGCACCACTTTTTTTTGTAGGGCTCCCAAGGGCATTTTATAATGAATTGGTTCTGTGGCATCTTTCAACTAAAATTCCCCCTCTTTTAAATAAAACCATACTCAGTTTTGGGCAGGTTCTTCTCAGTTAATCTCATACACATTCAAGAGATTCAAACTGTGCAGACTTTTACCACTCACCAGGATGGTAATGCAAGATATGCCATCTTCCCATACAGGTGAAATGGCTGCAACAGCATAGCCCAGTCCCCTAAGTTTAGGAAGAGATAAAATTCTATCTCCCATGGTTCAGCAACCATGAACAAAAGTAACTCTTCCAAAAGAAAGAATGAGTACAATACAAAAGGGGGGGGGGCGTGGGGATGCTACCTAGCACTGCTCTCTTATTTCTAAACCTATCTAATTTCCGGACAAGTTACTGAAGGATCTAATATTAATAACTGCTAAAAGAACAAGGCTTGTATAGATGAGATCTATGCTAAAATTTAGAGAGGAGGGGAAATCCACATTCATTTCAAACAATCTGCACTAAACTTTCAGTACAAAAAGGCTGCTTTTAAAATTACAGCAAAACTGTATGCTCTCATAATCATTGGGGGGGGGGGGGGTTTGGCACACTGGAAATGCTGCCATTAAAGCCAGGGGGAGAGGGAGAATGCTGGATGTGATGAGACTGAAATCCAAGAGGGAAGAATAAAAATTGAATAAAAATAGATGTCGCTGTGTGGAAATGGATAGGCTTTTCAGTCAGTCTTCAGTGCTTCTGTACACCTGAACTCTCTACGTGACATGTACTTCTTGATAACCCTGTATAAAACAGCGACTGAAGGAGGCCGGATGTGTGACTGGAACTGCAATTAGGAGAATATGTAGACAGAAATGTTTCTGTTGGAAAATATAATGTGGGCCCAAAATTAGTCGTTCCTGTTTCAATGGTGCAAAGATTTCTAAAATTTCTCTGTACCATTCTCTCAGCTTTACAGCAGTTCATGCCAAAATGTTTAATCTTGCTCCCTAGCACATATACGCCATCCCTTCTAGACCGGCAGGAACTCTGTGGGATTAGAAAAGGGAATTAACAATAGGCTGCTTCCGGTAATGTACAGACATCACACCTCATTACACTTGACCCAGAAATATTGGTGCCAAAAAGCTTCTGCCAATTAGAACAGCGTTTTCAAAACTGGTTTTTGAGCATTCAAAATTGTCCCACATCTATGTCTTATGCCCATGTATTTAAAATTTGCTTCAGCAGGTGCAGGTGAGCAGCAACCAGAGGACCTTCTCAGCTGAGGTACATGCCTGAGAAGCTTAAGTGACATTTATGTTATTATCCCTTAAGTGATTATTATTACAGTGGTACCTCGGGTTAAGTACTTAATTCATTCCGGAGGTCCGTTCTTAACCTGAAGCACCACTTTAGCTAATGGGGCCTCCCGCTGCTGCCGTGGCACGATTTCTGTTCTCATCCTGAAGCAAAGTTCTTAACCTGAAGCACTATTTCTGGGTTAGCAGAGTCTGTAACCTGAAGCGTACGTAACCCGAGCTACCACTGTATTATTATTATGTATATTATTATTGGTATTATTATTAATATTATTTCTGTGAGCAGGTGGACGCTTTAATTCCTGTTTCCAGTTTATTAAGTTTTTCACCGCTTTAACATTTTATCGAGAGATACTCTCTAACTTTTCTGTTGTTTAGTTCTACAGTACAAATCTTTCCTCTCTGGCGCGCAAGCGTATTTTAAGCCCTCTCTGCTCAGTTTCTGAGAAGAAAAACTAAAAAACCGGCTCCCACAGCCCAATTCTTTCTAAAAGCAAACGCTTTCCAGTCGACACACTTTAAAACCATATACTCTGCCCCCCCCCCCGTTGCTGCGCGCGCTCTGAGGAGACATGCGCTCGGCACATGCTCAGAGGGCATGTTTCCACCTCCCTTTTTTTTCCTTCCACACCCTGCGCGGAGCCCCCGACGCCCCCCCCCCCAAGGTTCCCCCCCCCAATTATGGCAGCGGGGGCGAGCTGAGCCCCTCCACCTACGAGGCGCTCGAGACCTTCCAGCCCTTTCCGCCGCCCCCCCCCCCCCATTCCTGCCACATGTATGGGTCCGTCTATGGGTCCCTCTAGGGAAGGAGGGCGCGAAGGGAGCTGAGGGGAAGGAGGGGGGGGAGGGCGCCGGGCCCGGCTCCTCTCCGCCGCGCGCGCCCTTCCCGCCGCCCGCTCTCCCACTCACCCGCCCACGGGCGCCCGCGCGCCATTCCCGCTCACTGGGCCGGCCGGCGCTGCTGCTGCTGCCGGCGCCGCCAACGACCCTTTTCGGAGGCGCGCCCCCCGTACGCACGCACAACATGGTCTCGCCCAGCTCGCCCTCCGATCCACCCCGCCCCCGCGCGCACCCGCCGGCCAATGGAAGCGTCCGGAGAGACCACGCCCCCCTCCCCGGACCAAGACCAATCGCACGCTCGCTCTCGCGCCTTAAGGCGTAAAAAGGCGTCGCGAGAGCGTAGGGTCTCTTAAAGAAGCCGCGGCGTCGCCTGTTTAACGCGGACGAATGAGCGTGTGAGTCGTTTCCGTTCAACCAATAGAAAGCTGCGCTATGTGACGTTCCTTTTTTTTCCCCGCCCCTCCCTTCTGCACGTACATGTGCGTTGGCAAGGGGGCGGGGATGTCGCCGACTTGCTCTTTAACTCTCTCCTGCCCGTATAAGAATAAGGCTCCATGAGGTTAAGAGTCTCATGCAGGAATACCAAGCTCATCTTCTGGAGTGCCTGTATTCATAAGTAATACGGCTGCCAGACTATTTTGCGCCCTAATCAAGGCTACCTACGTCCCTCACTACCATTCCCCCCAAAATTGCCAACTTCAATTTTCAAAAACAGGTGTCTTGTAGAAAAAAAATGAAAAGCACCAAACTTGAAACTGCTGGATTTATTTTAGATTGCAAGAGTAACGCAACAAACTCTTGATTATCTTTCACAAACACAACAGAGGAACGTTTCAGCATACAGATCGTTTGGAACAGCTTTGTGAATTGCGATTCACAATTCACATACTGTATACATTTTTAAATAGTTCTAATGCATTACTTCAAAAAAGATAAAATTATTCAAAATATAAATGTTATATCGTTTCAAACAACAAAACGAATCTGTATAAAACTGTGTCGCTCAAAAGTCAGTACTGTGCCCCTCTGAAGTCTGCGCCCTGGGTGGCTGCATAGTTGGCCTATGAAAACTGCAAGTTCCCAGGAAATATGCCCCATTGAAAACAGCTGCATTTAGTTCTCACTAAACCCATACGTAGCTCAGGATTCAAGTTGGGTGCCTCCTGTTCTTGCATGGAGTGCTTACCTTTTATCTGCCCTGTCCGCCCATTCAGTGAGGTTAAAAGAGCAGTGAATGGGTGGATCTGAATCACTCCAACCAGAGGCAACGGCAGTTCTAATCAACTTCAGGAAATGCTATAATGCAAGAATACAACACACCTACTTAAACAAATAGTGAGTAATGTGAACTGGGGCTGAACAAGTGTCTCTACAAAGTACACACTAGGAAGAGAAAAGGCTAAAAATTAACATTCCATATGCAAACAGGTTTAACTGCAGAATGGGAGACAGAGGGGGTGGGGAGGATGCTGTTAAAATCAAAGCCATAAATCTAGGGATCATAAACAGACTGTTGTAAAGAACTGTCATGTACTTTCCTTAACTGTCTTAATTTAGTTAAGCCAAGTTTATTTTCAGCTACACTGTACTCATATAAATTTGCAGTTGATATTACCGTATACACACTTACCTGAGGGTGAATACCATTGAACTCAACGAGGCTTACTTCTGAGTAGACATGTACATGATTGCACTGCTGTCTCTGTTATTTTCATCCCATTTTTATATGAGGAAATAATAAAAAGAATTACAAGTGTGAGTAAAAGTTAATACAGTACTTAAAATTCAGGATCGCTTAAAACTTAACTGGGAACTGGGTTCAGAAACAGACTAGACTAGAATCCCACAGCTATCTGTTTACAGGTCAGTATAGCACAGTGGTTTTCCAACTTTCTATTTCTAGATGTTTTCCAACTTTTAATACATATTTTTTGTATAAAAAACACCTTTCTACTTCAACATTCCTGCTGCAGAATTGCTGTGTGTTGGATCCAGGAGAGTGTTGTAAGGCACACCCTCAGCTCGTAGCAAAGTTGACCAGTCTTGCTGGGCCTGTGTGATAAACACAATCTTATGCACATTCACTCAGAAATAATAATAGAGCGAGAGGAAACATTATGGGTCTGGTCGTTTTTGAAGTCACACTCCGTAACTGTTAGATTTTTTGAATGAGAGGGGTAGCCATTACTGTTCCTTCGACTCAGCAATCTATGCCGCAACCTGAAATTTGTTTAGCACTTTGCAGAGGCTAACCTTATTCCTGTGCACAACTCCTCTTGCATTTGATCATTTTAATAAGCTGCAGATTTCATTCCCAGCTTTTTTATCCCGTGACCCCACTTGTTTCATTACCATCTAGTTTGAAGAATTCTGGACAGCTCAGAAAGCTTGCTCACAGGTTTTTGACATTTTTGCTGGTCATGATGAAGGTATACTTACTGTGGTTTTTGTAACCACCAATACCCTGCCCTAATGAGCCAACCTCTGATTTGCATGTGTACCCTGGAGGCTTTACTGTGCTAACTTTAGAGTGAAATTAACTCCATACATACGTGGGTGGCGCTGTGGTCTAAATCACTGAGCCTCTTGGGCAGCGGTTCGAATCCCTGCGATGGAGTGAGCTCCCATTGCTCTGTCCCAGCTCCTGCCAACCTAGCAGTTTGAAAGCACACCAGATAAATAGGTTCTGCTGCGGCGGGAAGGTAACTGGCGTTTCCGTGTGCTCTGGCTTCCGCCACAGTGTCCCGTTGCACCAGAAGGGGTTTAGTCATGCAGGCCACATGACCCAGAAAGCTGTCTGTGGACAAACGCCGGCTTCCTCAACCTGAAACAAGATGAGCGCCACAACCCCATAGTCACCTTTGACTGGACTTAACTGTCCAGGGGTCCTTTACCTTTTTTTTTTTTTTTTACTTTCTCTGAAGAGCATATTATTTCATTCACCTTACCACTTTAAAATTGCAAAGCACCTTTGGTGCCTAGGCAGAAAGGTGGCATATAGATGCAAAGAATTAATAAGAACACATGCTCCGAGACTAAAACCCAAAACTGAAAGCAGTCTTCAATGCAAAGCCCCAGTAGGCCTGAGCACAGACAACAACTCCCTATAAGTTATGGATTTCCTCCCCCCCAACAAACTTGCCAGAGTCCAATTTATAGTAAGACTGTTTGGGTTGTGTTATAGCAACCCAAAGGGTTGTAGAGTTGGAAGGGACCCTGAGAGTCATCTATTCCAACCCTCTGCAATGCAGGAATCTCAACTACAGCATCCATGACAGATGGCCATCCAATCTCTGGCAAAAAACCACCACCACCTGCAATGAAGGAGAGCCCACTGCCTTCTGAGGGAGTCTGTTCCACTGATAACAGTTCTTCCTGATGTTTAGGCAGAATCTCCTTTCTTGTAACTTGAATCCATTGGTTTGGGTCTTACCTTCCAGAGCAGGAGAAAAACAAGCTTGCTTCAAAATGAGAATAAGTGTCTGGGCACTGTTACGGTAAAATCTGGGTGCGAGGCTGCTCTGCCACCCAGCTCGTCAGGCTAAGTCCGCGGGTCCCTGCGGAGGAAAATGAGCTCAGCCGGAGACAGGAGCAAGCAGGAGAAGATCCAAGTTTATTGCGCAACAGGTTCAAGGCGAGATTGAACAGCGAGAAAGGGGTGACATGAACTTTTGAAACTTCCCTCCATGTCCCAGAATACAGTGCAAAATACATCCCAGTTACATCATGAATACATTAAGAAGAGGTTGGGTTACACAGGATTAACATATGGAGGAGGGAGGGGGAATATGCAGAGCTGGAGATATGCGCAGATAAGCACATCCTGAGTACCAGTGATGAGAAGACAATGGTCCATGTATGCATAGTCTGCCACCTGGCATTGCCCGGAGGAAAGGCTTGGCAGAGTGATTTGACAGGATTAGGGTCTTGACACCTTGCTTGAGGGATTATGGAGGACAGGGAGGTGTCATGGAGTCCTAGAGAAATTGAGCAAATTGGCACGTTGATTTTCTATGAATTTTATAGATTTTAGTTCCTTTTGACATTGACAATTGGAAATAAATGGATATATTGTAGCGAAGAAGAAGGTGAAGAAGACATGCCCCCCCCTTCCGTATCAGCACCAAAAAAAGAAAGAAAAGGTGTAAGTGTAGGTGGCGCTGTGGGTTAAACCACAGAGCCTAGGACTTGCTGATCAGAAGGTCGGCGGTTCGAATCCCCGCAACGCCAGCTCCCTCGGCCAATAAAGCGAGATGAGCACCGCAACCCCAGAGTCGGCCACGACTGGACCTAATGGTCAGGGGTCCCTTTGCCTTTACCTTTACCACAGGCAGTGAAGGGTCTGCCATTCCCCTTCAGCACTAGAAATGAACAAGCAAACAAATAATTAAACGAATGAATGAAAATCTTGTTTCCAGGGAAGAGGTGGGTTCTAGAGAACATTGGCCTTGCATTTTTAAGCTATTGTTGCAGTATCAGTTTTCCTCAGCAGATGGCTCTGTAGGGTCACTCTTGACTTCCAGCTGTCATTCCAGGTAGAACAGGTAAAACAGAGCTTTGCCAAGGCATGTATCATCTTGCGCCTCTCTCCCTCTCGGTGTTCTTTAGTAAATCCAACAGGGTTCAGTAGAACTTACTCCCGAGTAGGGTAGTCAGGTGCCAAAGAGGAAAGGGCTCCTGAACCTTCAATAGTTGTGCAGAAGACGTCAGAGGGATTGAAAGCTGCTGCTGCTGAAATTTCCTTTTCTACGCAACGCAGCTATCGAAGATGAAGGAGCCCTCTTCTCTTTTGCACCTGACAGTGGTGCTGTGAGTTAAAGCACAGAGCCTAGGACTTGCCGATCAGAAGGTTAGCGGTTCGAATCCCCGCGACGGGGTGAGTTCCCGTTGTTTGGTCCCTGCTCCTGTCAACCTAGCAGTTCAAAAGCACATCAAAGTGCAAGTAGATAAACAGGTACCGCTCCGGCGGGAAGGTAAACGGCGTTTCCGTGCGCTGCTCTGGTTTGCCAGAAGCGGCTTCGTCATGCTGGCCACATGACCTGGAAGCTGTACGCCGGCTCCCTTGGCCAGTAAAGCGAGATGAGCGCCGCAACCCCAGAGTCGGCCATGACTGGACCTAATGGTCAGGGGTCCCTTTACCTTTACCTATTCTATCCCAATTAAGTGGGTACAGCAATGCAGCCGCCTTTCGAACCCTGAAAAAAAGTGTCGCTTTTTATGTTTCGTTTTGTGCTCCTATAGCTATCCAGTTACAAAACCACAACAGCAGAACATAGCATAAAAGATGACTGCAAACCATTCCAAGACATTTGTCCTCTGGTAAAAGTTAATATAGACCTAAAATAAACTTCTTCATCACTTGTTGCTGTGATTCAACTTGACAGCATGAAGCTCTGGTCTGACTGCTAACTGTCTCTCTGTTTGCCAAGACTTAAGGCGTATCCTGCTTGTGACATCATATAGGACACAAGACTGTCATAATTGCATGCAGCCTCGCCTTATCGCCATGCCTACAAAGCCACTTCCGGCCTGCCCAGGAGGTGGGGTTGCGGGCTTCACGCCCACCCCACGTGAGCGGGGGCTGGTTCCAGCCCCCGCGAGAGCAGGAGATTCCCGGTCGGGTTTGGCCCCCCCAGCCAGTCAATCAGCTGGCTGGGGAGGGGCGTGGCCTGCCCTATTTAGGGCCGGCGCGGAGGGGGCTTGCCCTCTTTTCGCCGGCTCGCCCTCACGTTTTCCCACCCTCCCTCCCTTTAAGTAGGCTTTAGGTAGGTCTTTGACTTTGCTATGGACTTCGGTCTGTCGCCGCAAGGGGCATGGTAGGAATTTTTCCCAATTGGCAATTTCTGGCCTTTTGGTTTTTCGCCTGCCTCGTAGCAACTCGTCACAACTCCTCGGCATTGGCGGTAGGCATTGGTAAGAAGGGGTTAAGAGGATGTGGGGGGGGGAGGAACGCCATCACCTCTCCCCAGTGAGCGAAGGGTGGTCCGTTAAAGGACTCCGGGGGGCGTGGCCCTGTCCGAAGCCTATGGAGGTGTGGGCCAAAGGCACGCCCCAGAGCGGTGACCCGGGGAGCTCCTAGTCGACGTGCCTCGGCAGGAGACTCCCCGATATAGTGTTAACCCTTCCCCGTGTCTCCAGCAAATGGGCTGGAGCCGGATAGTCGTTAGGACCAATGCCTAAGCCAATGCCTCTCATTCCTGAATTCAATAAAGTTGTGGCCTAATTCGCCCAATTAACCTTAAATTATGGTGTCTCGTGTCTTTATCCTGGTGGGGGGCGGGAACTCGCCACGCAACAGTGGCCAGTAAACCCCTGCAACCAGATAAACGTCGGCCTGACTCAGCAGCAAGTCTGAAGTTTAATTTTGCAACCCAAAAGCCCGCTCCCAGCTTTAAAAGGAACAAACTTTGTGTGTATTCATGCATAGCATTGCTTTTTGTTCTTGAATGAATACCTTAATCTGAAGATTTCTCTCTAGTCCAGGAGTCAGTAACCTTTTTCAGCCGTGGGCTGGTCCACCGTCCCTCAGACCATGTGGGGGGCGGTGCGGACTATTTTGGAGGAAAAAATATATGAACGAATTCCTATGCCCCACAAATAGCCCAGAGATGCATTTTCAATAAAAGCACACATTCTACTCATGTAAAAACACTAGGCAGGCCCCACAAATAACCCAGAAATGAATTTTTAAATAAAAGGACGCATTCAACTCATGTAAAAACACACTGATTCCCGGAACGTCCGCGGGCCGGATTGAGAAGGCGATTGGGCCGGATCCAGCCCCCAGGCCTTAGGTTGCCTACCCCTGCTCTAGTCTGTCTGGTTGTCTCAGTTCCTTTATTTTAAGGGAATATTCCTTAAAAAAAATACCACAGTCATAAAATGTGTTTTCTATGGCAGCACAATCTGGAATATGTGCAGCGGTTGTAGTTGTTGGCATCTGTCTGTGTGATAAGAAAAGAGCATGGTCTTACTACCACCATCAACTGCAGCCTGTCTCCAAACCAGGATTCTGGGGCAGATTTTAGGGGGAGGGGGGGAAAACCATGGAAAAGCATTGGCTAAATTCAAACACCACCCCAAACATCTCTAGAACCTCTTTTGGACCCCAAGATGTGTCCTAAGGTGAGGATTGCCCTCTCGTGAGGATTGCCCTTTCATCACCAAAATTAAGCTAACACTTGAAAGGAGCTTCAATCCTCGCAATGCTCTCCTCCCATCTCCTTCAGTGCCCTCCACCTCAGAGGGTTTCTGCCTGCAACAAGGGAGACTCCAAACACTTCAGTCTACACATTGTCCCCTGCCTCTCCTTGCACTCTGATCCTTTGCTCTCAAAGTCTGCTGCGTTAAAGCAATATTTCTATGGCCTAGAAAGTGACGGTAAAGGTAAAGGGACCCCTGACCGTTAGGTCCAGTGGCGGACGACTCTTGGGTTGTGGCGCTCATCTCGCTTTACTGGCCGAGGGAGCCGGCGTACAGCTTCCAGGTCATGTGGCCAGCATGACAAAGACGCTTCTGGTGAACCAGAGCAGTGCATGGAAACGCCGTTTACCTTCCCTCTGGAGCGGTACCTATTTATCTACTTGCACTTTGACGTGCTTTCGAACTGCTAGGTTGGCAGGAGCAGGGACCGAGCAACGGGAGCTCACCCCGTTGTGGGGATTCGAACCACCGACCTTCTGATCGGCAAGTCCTAGGCTCTGTGGTTTAGACCGCAGCGCCACCCGCACAGGAAGCTGCATTACTGTATAGTGAGTCGGACCATCTATTTCAATAATGTCTGCACTGACAGGCAGGGTTTTGGGAAAGATACCATGGTGGAGCATTTGCTTTGCACGTAGAATGTCCTTGGCACCTCTAGCTAGGGCTAGGAATGTCCCCTGCCCAGAACCTGGGAGTGTTGCTGCCAGCCAGTGTAAACCGTATTGAGATAGATGAAGCATCTTCCTAAATTCTGTCACAATCACTAAGCAAGGTAAGAGAAACTCAGGTTATGTCCAGATGATCAACAAAAGTCAGAGAAACAGAGCCCCCATCTTCCTCCCATATGAAAAACTTCAGCTTGCTCAGCTTAAGGGCTTGACAGGATTTTGGGGTTTGCCAGGTAACAGATGAGCTATGAAGTTAAAAGCAAGCAGGAGAGCAAAAACAATTGAATCACTGAAGACTGATATTGGATTGTTCAATGGTGATGTCATAATCCTGTCAGGCAACAGGGAACATGGTCAGTCTCTCTCTGGAAGTGCAGTTTTCAGCTAAATTTGAAGTACATTTTAAGGAAAACTATAATTGCTAGAGCACGTCCCCCCCAACCCACTTTTAGCTATTGACCAAACAGCTATTTACAACAGACTGAATTCTAAAATTTAGAGGAAATTTAGGGGGTGGGGGCATTGATTTGATCCTGCAGAGCTCTCCTTAATATTCATTTACATTAATTCGGTGATGCTTTTAACGCAACATCTCACCTGACGCTTTTGCAGCTCTCCATTATTCAGTGTGTCAGCATTTATTTCTATCACTCTGGTGTTTCATGTTTTTTGTGGTCATTTGTTCCTGCCCATAGAGGGACGTGGGTGGCGCTGTAGGTTAAACCACAGAGCTTAGGACTTGCCGATCAGGTCGGCGGTTCGAATCCCCACGACGCGGTGAGCTCCCGTTGCTCGGTCCCAGCTCCTGCCAACCTAGCAGTTCGAAAGCACGTCAAAGTGCAAGTAGATAAATAGGTACCGCTCCGGCGGGAAGGTAAACGGCGTTTCTGTGCACTGCTCTGGTTCGCCAGAAGCGGCTTAGTCATGCTGGCCACATGACCCGGAAGCTGTACGCCAGCTCCCTCAGCCAATAAAGCGAGATGAGCACCGCAACCCCAGAGTTAGCCATGACTGGACCTAATGGTCAGGGGTCCCTTTACCTTTACCTATTCTTGCCCATGTGCTCCCTTGCCTTTATCTAAAGGACTCTTGTAGTAGGAGATGTTCCCCAAGGTACCTTCCACCTAGCCAAGTCACCAAAACTTAAATGGGGAATTGAAAACAGTTGGCATCTTATTGAAATGGATCCCCGCTCTGTATATTTTCATTAAGCCCAGACATGAAGAAATTGCGCCACAACAGGTTCTATGCAAATCTAAACAGGATATATACATGGCTTTAGACAAAAGCAGCGACGTGGCAGCAGACTAAGCAAAACCCCTGCCAAATTACAAATCTACACCCTTAAAGGCTACAATCTTTAGATTTAGTCTTCTGAAGTTTAAAATCTGATTGTATCCAGATAAAAATCAGCCTTCGCGTGGCTGAATAAACAGATCTGATCATCAAATAAAAAATACGGTTAAAGGCCCTGCTGCTCATGTCTTGGAAACAACTAGATTAAATTACTGTTTCTATGGCTGTATACTGTTAACGGAGAAATCTGAGGGCTCCCTTGGACAAAAAACAAGGACACCAGCCAGGAATACCAGAGCAAAACAGCAGCCAGTAGACTTGGTCTTTATTGAAGACTGTCACGACAGGACTCCCACCTGCCACCAGGTGGAACAAGATGGAAGCCCCAAACAAAAGAGCCCCCCCAACTTTTATTAGCTGTTAATCCCCATGTTACACCCCCCCAAACTACATCAGTAATACATCACGGTTACATCATGAAAGGGGAGGTCTGGTGGCAGTAATCTGAGCATCCTGGACCCTGCCCCATGCTTTCCCTTGTCCTCCACCAAACACCCATCAAGTATAACAAAAAGGATATTTACATGTCCCTGTTTCCCAGCCAAGTTAATCACACCCTTTCGTCTTCATCTGGGTTTGTTATTTCTGGAATGGCTACCTGTCTGGCAGTCAGGTATCAGGATGCCAGGGATTATCATTCAGGCAGAGGGCCTGCTGAGTAGCTGAGCTCACATGTCTGTATGAATTTCTGAAGTTTTCTGTTATGTACTGAGTTGAATAGGATCCAAAATGCAGCAGTCTGATTGGTCCTAGAACAATAGGATTCAGAATGCAGCAGTCTGATTGGTCCTAGAACAATGCAGCAGTACGATTGGTCTGCAGGAGCCACCCAATCCGGCTCCAGATGGAAGTGAATCCACAACCTGATTGGCCTACAGGAGAATTCCAGAATTAGCCAATCATGTGCAGCCCATTGTATAAATAATGTATATAAAGCAGATACTTTGAGGGGACTTTCATTCCTCCTCACCACTATGAGCTGAATAAAGAGCATGAAAGCCACTCTCGACTCTGAGTATATTTCATTTTCCCAGTGAGCCAGTACATAGATACATTGATTGGTGAATTCTTACATTTGGTATCGTGCAGCAAAGGCCCTTTGAATAGATAGGAAGAAACTGTGATGAAGTGTTTTGTGGGGACAAATCGCAAAAGTCATAAAAATGGTTGTGCTGATTTTGGTAGTGGGCTGCATGTGCATGATATCTGCTGGAGGGGCAACCCCCGCAACCTATACATAAATACCTGCAACAATACACACCATCCATTTCAGGCAGCACTAACTGAAACAATCCCAGGGACCTGGCACACCAACTCCTAGGGTCAGAGGTGTCTTCCAGCCCCACGGTACGACTGGCAAGAGAGGAAGGCGCACTGTTCTCTCTCCTCCCAACGATGCAACATGGCGCATGACATCACACAGACACAAAACGTGCGCTGCCCCCTCAATCTTAGGCACAAGACGGCGCCTCTGCCAGGAGCATGTAATTTACCCCTCAAAGAGCTACAATTCCAAGCCCGTGATTATTTGGGGAGATTTGGGAGGTCTGGGTTCAAATTCCAGATTAACAAAACGTCCTAGACAAGCCCATACCATTTTAACTCGATTCCTCATCTGTACAAACCAGCACTTTATCTATGCAATCACACCTATAAGATTCCTAACCCCACTGTACCCCACAGTCTACGGCAGAGGTGATCTTTGCTTTTATGGCACCTTTATGGTGTGCTTATGAGAACATCGCAGATTGAATTATTTCCCCACCTGTCTTAAAGAACAGCATCTGATTAGTCTCTTGCTGATGGCCTCATTAACTATAGTCAAACCCTAGAGAGATTTTCGTGGTGCCTCTTCAGCCTATTGGTACCACAAAGTGTGGCATGTTGCCTTCAAGGAGAAGTTGGCCCAGAAAACGAGAGCTCTCCGTAGCATTTTTAAATCTGACAAATCAATTTTATTGATAATGAAAAGAACAGTCAGTATCCTCCTTTACGTTACACAAATATTTGGAATACTTAGTTTTAGGATTTTATGTTTCATCAAGTCTGATTGCTCTTTGCTTATAACTTTCCACCCATAAATGACTGTTGATAGTTGCCTCTTTTTATTTTATCTCCCATTCATTTTCCGTTTCAGATTTGTCTTCACTGATGTCACACTGATAGCTTCCTTTGTGCTTTAACTCTGATGTTTTAGTATATATGGATTGCTTGGGGTGGGCAGTCCATGGAATTTGGGATATTGCTTTTCAGTTGCAAGACTTACCTGTTCGCTTGGTATTATTTCTGTATTTTTTTCCCTCCCTATATCTGCTGTTTTTAAAATTAATAATAAAAATACAAATAATATATTTAATTCTATTCAATACAGTGGTACCTCGGGTTACATACGCTTCAGGTTACAGACTTCGCTAACCCAGGAGTAGTACCTTGGGTTAAGAACTTTGCTTCAGGATGAGAACAGAAATCGCGCAGCGGCAGCGGGAGGCCCCATTAGCTAAAGTGATTGTTATGTACTGAGTTGAATAGGATCCAGAATGTAGCAGTCTGATTGGTCCACAGGAGCCACCCAATCCAGCTCCAGGTGGAAGTGAATCCGCAATTTGATTGGCCTACAGTAGAATCCCGGAATTAGCCAATCACGTGGGGCCCATTGTGTAAATAATGTATATAAAGCAGACATTCTGGGGGAACTTCCATTCCTCCTCACCACTATGAGCTGAATAAAGAGCATGAAATTCACTCTCGACTCCAAGTATATTTCAGTGGTACCTCAGGTTAAGAACTGTTTCAGGTTAAGAACGGACCTCCAGAACGAATTAAGTTCTTAACTCGAGGTACCACTGTATAAAATATGTTTACTTCCATTCAATATACAGCGTCTGTATGGAGTTCTTTGACATTTGTCAGGCTTTAAAAGTAAGAAGCGGAACCCTGGGTAAGTGAACCTCCGCTGAAAAAATTCTGCAAGACTTCTCTGCAATGGGCGTTGATGGAAGAAAGGGATAACATATGTGGAAACACTTTCCATGTTTGATTTGCCCTCTGGCTAGCTTGCTGTGCCAGCTTTTCAGCTAAAGCCATATCTGATCCTATCATGCCACCTTTTTATAGAAAAGTATTACCAGGAACTGTGTACAAGCCTGGGCTGTAAAAGTGATACAAAACATAATAAATACTCAAATACCACAATCAGCAAGGGAGCAACTTATTCTCTCAGTAGTGGCGATTGCAGAAGCTGTGAAAGTTTAATCTTCCTGGAAAACATAATTTGACACATTTAATTATTCAGGCAGCTTCTACTTAGGGATGAGCTAATCTGTCAATTCCGGTTTCCCTCATTTCCTCCAACTCCTAGTCTTAATCTTAATGATTTCTCCAACCATGCACATGCCTGTGTACATGTTGCCTAATAAACACATTTCTGCAATGCAGTTCCCCCTATCAAAGGGCATTTTTGTGTGCTATATTCACAAATAAATGCATGTTATTGTAGTATCGCAGTGCGTCGTTTTTGTACACATTACTTGGCTGGAAAACTGCATTGCAAAATTGAGAAAAGTGCAAATTTTGAAGGGTGGGTTGTTGTTGTTGTTTAGTCTTTTATTGTTTTCGAAATGGAACTAGGAAGGTTCATCTTTAAATGTGAATGGAATCAAACTTCTCCCCCACCCCTACTTTTAGTTACTTAGTGCTTTCTGCAGTTTTTTAATACAGGCAACTCCCCGTTTGCGCGGAATTTGCGTTCCAGGTCGTTGTGTATATTAAATAGTGGGTGGACATAGCAGACGACACAGAGATTTCTCCAAGTAGCTCTTTATATGTAAGCTGGAACTGAACCGAACAGCAAACAGCTCAGCCGGCCTGCTTTTATAGGCAGCCGGCTGTCAACACTGTAACAGCAACAGCTCAGGGTTCCCCGCCTAAATTAACTGACATGGACCTGAGTGAAAACTATATACAGTACACAATACCCCTGGTGGCCAGGGTGAGAGCCGCAATACATAACAGTGCGTATCAGCTGGTTCTGTTCAGCCCTTCCCTGCCCCTTCCAGGGCTGAAAGCGGTGCACTTGTCGGCAGTTGCACATCAACTGGACACACACAAAACTTGTATTCAAAGGGTTTCTCATCCACCCAACCTGCTTTCCCTGATCTATTATTAGGTGGCTCTCTTTGAAGAGCTGGGGTCTTCCCACAATCAACATGGGTTTGTGTTGCATCAATAAATCTAAGCTAAGAGCAAAATGTCTCACAGCACTTTTCAGCCATTTCCATAGCAGATTTGGCAAAGATCATGTAAATTTACCTTGTGTTTTCTAGTCATTCTCTCTCTCTCTCTCTCTCTCTCTCTCTAACACACACACACAAACACCCCTGACTGTCACTGCAGAAAAAATGTTATCATCCTGTCCAGTGCTGGATTTACGTATAAGCTAAACAAGCTATAGTTTAGGGCCCAACTCTCTTGGGGGCCCCCAAAAAATTTAAAGGAAAAAAAAAACCCTTGGTGTACATTTCCAAAATAAAAGATAAAAACAAATAAAATAAAACCTACATAAAGGTAAAGGTAAAGGTACCCCTGCCCGTACGGGCCAGTCTTGACAGACTCTAGGGTTGTGCGCTCATCTCACTCTAGAGGCCGGGAGCCAGCGCTGTCCGCAGACACTTCCGGGTCACGTGGCCAGCGTGACAAGCTGCGTCTGGTGAGCCAGCGCAGCACACGGAACGCTGTTTACCTTCCCACTAGTAAGCGGTCCCTATTTATCTACTTGCACCCGAGTACCGAACGACGGGAGCGCACCCCGCCGCGGGGATTCAAACCGCCGACCATGCGATCGGCAAGTCCTAGGTGCTGAGGTTTTACCCACAGTGCCACCCGCGTCCCGGCAGAAACCTACATACAGCAACAGTATTTTGTGTTCTGTAGGCTTCTATGGTGTACATATTTTGTTATGTGCAAATGGCTTTAGATACCTATTAGGTATCTATTAGCGGCAATTTGTTGTTGACAAAGGACAGCTGGACATATAAAGGGCCCCATAACCTTCAGTAGCTTAGGGCCTCATCAAACCTAAATCTGGCCCTGATTCTGTCCTCAAAATGACCACAAATCACAATGGTACTTCTGGTTTTGGTCTCCCCACACCCTGTCTGACAGCTCAGTCAGTAGTGCATGAGACTCTTAATCTCAAGGTCATGGTTCAAGTCCCACGTTGGGCAAAAGATTCCTGCATTTCAGCGGGTTGGACTAGATGACCCTTGGGTCCCTTACAGCTCTACAGTTCTATGATTCTATATCAGTTATCAGATATTCCAGCTGATCATTCAGATGGGGAAACAGCCAAGTGACCAAAGAATTGGATAGCTCAAACTTTTTTGGAGAGAGAGAGAGAATGAGTTCTTTTCTCCCTGTTAGAAGGGGTTAAAAAAAATATCTGCAGAAACTCCTTCCAGACCTAACAAGGGGATTCAGTAATTACATGCAGGAAAACTGGTGATGGTTTTCATGAAACCCAGATGTGCGTAAGGTTCAGGTTGATTTCCCATGGATGGAACAACCACCAGTTCTGGAATCTGTCAGTACCTCCAAGTGGAGGCCGGCTAAGTCAGTTTTGAAAAGAAAACGAAAAAGAAGGGAAGGAAGGAGACCGAGAGACTGAAAGACAGAAAAAGGGAATCATTAAAAACAGCATCATACTCCAAGGCTGAAATCAGGGAGAACGCAACTCCAGCTGGCAAGATTAGCTGGAACAAAAAACCCAGATTCATGTAATGTTATACACATTTTTAAAATGTGTCCCCCCCAACTCCCTCAGCCTAGCTTTCTCTTCTAACCCTCACCCAACCCGCTGTTCAGAGATGGGTTCATACTCCCATCAGTTTTATCCATTCTCAACAACAACCGGAAGAAAAGAGCATTGAATTTGGCTAGCCTATACTTTTAAAAAAGATGCGAGGGCAATGGGAACAAGGCCAACATTTTATCCCTCTCCCTCCAAATTAATAGAATACCCAGAATTATCCTGTCCCACCTGGAAGCCCATTTAAAAAGCTGAAGTCTTGCCAATCAGCTGTTCACCGGGGGGGGGGGCTGGATTCAGTCCCTCCTACTGTCCCTTCCCTCTCAGGCAGCTGATAGGTGCAATTTTTGTGTTTTTCTTTTTAAATGGACTGGCTGCTGCGCGCGGACACACAAACTGGTTAACCCAAATCTTCCTTTCTTCTGTTTTTCACAAAAGCCAGGGTGGCCCATAGATATCAAGTTTCTCCTCAGAAACTAACAAAAAACTTTAAACTCGCAATGACATTGTGAGGGTAAAATCAAAATGCAGACGCAATAATTTTGAAATGCCACATATGTGGTTATTTGCAATACAGTGGTACCTCAGGTTAAGTACTTAATTCATTCCGGAGGTCCATTCTTAACCTGAAACTGTTCTTAACCTGAAGCACCACTTTAGCCTATGTGGTCTCCTGCTGCTGCCGCGCCGCCGGAGCACAATTTCTGTTCTCATCCTGAAGCAAAGTTCTTAACCTGAAGCACTGTTTCTGGGTTAGTGGAGTGTGTAACCTGAAGCGTATGTAACCTGAAACATGTGTAACCCGAGGTACCACTGTATAAATATTATTTAATTTATCAATTGCTTCCCATAAAACACCCTGAAGCTTTTTGGCAATAGAACAACAGAACATATCCATACACAATTTTTTCATGGGCTAGGATAAATAATCTCCACCTAAAGGGCTTAAAAGTCTTCAATAAGCACCAGAAAGGCAGGAAATATATTGCCTGCCTCATATATAAGGGAGGAAGTGCCAAAATACACAGTGCTACTACAGTTTTCAAACAAAAACAAACACCCTAATTATTATATCTTACAGATGATGACCTCCTCTTTAGAAGACCTCCTCTGGCAGACCTCACTAATCGATTCATTAACATCCCCCTGCACTACCTGTGTGTTAGTATTTCCAGTAAATAACTTCTAGGAAGTGAGAGAATTAAGATGTACCGGCCCCAGGAAAGAGGCATCCTGATTGCTGAGCAAAAAGGAAGGGCAAGCTGACTTCACCCACTGTAAAAACAAACACTGAAACCTAAGAGCAACCTGGCTGGCTCATCTGACAGAAATCACTTAGAAGGGTACCTGCACATTTTGCTTCTTAGCTCGCTTTCAAGGAGAGCTGGAGAATTACAGTGGTGCCTCGCAAGACGAAATTAATCCGTTCCGCGAGAGTCTTCGTCTAGCGGTTTTTTCGTCTTGCGAAGCAACCCTATTAGCGGCTTAACGGATTAGCGCTATTAGCGGTTTAGCGGCTATTAAAGGCTTAAAGGCTTAGCGGATTAGCTGCTAAAAGGCTATTAAAGGCTATTAAAGGCTTAGCAGGTTAGATAAGGGGGCGAAAAGCGAAAAAAAAATCTCAAGACTTGCAAGACATTTTCGTCTTGCGAAGCAAGCCCATAGGGAAATTCGTCCTGCGAAGCAACTCAAAAACGGAAAACCCTTTCGTCTAGCGGGTTTTCCATCTTGCGAGGCATTCGTCTTGCGGGGCACCACTGTACTCTGAAAAATAAAAACGAAAGCTCAGCATCTGTGGCCCTTGTTGAAGGCCCAGTGTCTGTCTGTCTCTTACATACACTGATTACTGGCTGACTTGGGAAGCTTAGGCAAACAGATCAGATATGCATAAAGGTAAAGGTAAAGGGGACCCCTGACCATTAGGTCCAGTCGTGGCTGACTCTGGGGTTGCGGCGCTCATCTTGCTTTATTGGCCGAGGGAGCCGGCGTACAGCTTCTGGGTCATGTGGCCAGCATGACTAAGCCGCTTCTGGCGAACCAGAGCAGCGCACGGAAATGCCGTTTACCTTCCCGCCGGAGGGGTACCTATTTATCTACTTGCAGTTTGATGTGCTTTTGAACTGCTAGGTTGGCAGGAGCAGGGACCGAGCAACGGGAGCTCACCTCATCGCAAGGATTCAAACCGCCAACCTTCTGATCAGCAAGTCCTAGGCTCTGTGGTTTAACCCACAGTGCCACCCGCGTCCCTCAGATATGCATGCCAGTGTGCTTTTGACTGGGGTGAAAATTCAGCCTTTCCACTTGGAAGTGCTTTGAAAGGGATGCAAAACCTGCCGTGCGTTTCTCACCACTAGAGCTAGATTGGGAGGTACATAAATGTGTGAGAGATGCATAAAACGAGGTGTGTGGGGAGGAGAGATGAGGGAAACAGGAAGTCTTACATATAGAAAATAAAAAGGGAATTTTCCTGCATCTGTCTAACACACATCCTAATGAAAAAATGCCGTAGATCGAAAAGCTCTGTTGCTACTCCTTCCACCAGGTGGCACCATCCTTTAAGAAGGGACGGTGATGTGAAAGGCAAGACAAGTTTGGTTGGATCCCATAGAATCCACTGTGGGAAAGATACTCATTCAGAGGTCACTTTCCTGTGTCTTTCTGTGCATGCAGTCACCCCAAAAGCGCTCAAGTGGACAGAAGGTGTTACATGAAAACCTGCTGTTCTTTGTTGCTGAAGAAATATTTATGCAAACTTTTTTTTTATCTTTTACATTAAAAAAAAGGTAAAGGACCTCTGACAGTTAAGTCCAGTCGCAGACGACTCTGGGGTTGTGGTGCTCTTCTCGCTTTACAGGCCAAGGGAGCCGGTGTTTGTCCGCAGACAGTTTTTCCGGGTCATGTGGCCAGCATGACTAAGCCGCTTCTGGCGAACCAGAGCAGCGCAACGGAAATGCCGTTTACCTTCCCGCCGGAGTGGTACCTATTTATCTACTTGCACTTTGAGGTGCTTTCGAACTGCTAGGTTGGCAGGAGCTGAGACCAAACAACGGGAGCTCACCCTGTCGTGGGGATTCGAACCGCTGGCCTTTTGATCGGCAAGCCCAAGAGGCTCAGTGGTTTAGACCACAGCATCACCTGCATCCCTATTTGCATTAACTTGCTTAAATGGCATGCTTCACTCACCCTGCCAGCTTGAACTGTGGATTTACAACACTCCTTAGACCCAGGGCACCAGATGGGCAAAAGCTGTGTCAGTAAATCAGGAATAATGTGGCAAAAGGAGCATTCATCACATGAGGGTTAGCAGGAAGGTGTACATACTATACAGAGATCGGTTTGGAGATCATAGAGTGGGGACAATCTTCAGAGACTTCCCAGACCGCTTTGAGGAATAGACTCCCTCCCTGCTGCAAAAAGTTGCCTACAGTTTTCCCGTTAGAAGAGACTCTGCAGATGTGCTCTCTCTGCCCCCCACTCTCAAGCCAAAGTTTTCAGAAGCCCAAATTCCACAGGGTAACAGACCAGCAGGAAAAGGGGGCGAGGGAGGAACAATTTCAAAACATAGCTGAGTGTCCCCGATGGTCCAGGGCAGAGCGAGACCTTCACAAAGCAAGAATACCAGGGGGAGATGTTTTCTCCAAGCCAGTCAGTTGCTGAAGCTGACTGATTGATGGGGGGGGGTGCAGACAAAAGGTTTCTGTGGGACAAGCTGCTGGGTCTCCCTCCATGCGAGACAGGCTTCCCCAACCTCTCCCCCCCACCCCAATGTTTTGGACTACAACTCTGGTCGGCCCTGGCCAGCAGCCGTCAGGGATGATGGGAGATGTCACTGGAAAAGGCTCTTTCAAAAGGAGAGCGCAATCTCCAGGCCACCCCTGGCATCTCTACTCCTGCAGGGGCATATTAATAATCTTATTATGTTAAGGAATGTACTGGCTGCACCTTCTCCCCAAGGACATGGTTTTGCACTGTTGCAATTGCTTTCTAAACGATGGCCCACGACATCCGTGATGGACAAGGTCTACGTGGATCCACAGCATTCCTACGGCCCTTGGAAAAGGAGCCGCTTGCCAAAATAATTTTTACGAGTGGTTAAGAACAGTATCACCCACAACTACACAGACAGGCACCTTCTGTTACTCCAAACGTGAACACAACTCTATTCAGCAGGTTGCAGCAATATTCTCACTTAGAATCATAGAATCATAGAATTGTAAGGTTGGGACTGCGAGTGTCATCTAATCAACCCCCAGCTATTAATTTGCAGCTGGAAGGTAGTAGGCACACCTTCTAAGGTATCTAGGCTATAATAATCAATATAAAAAAGTGGAGCAGCCTTCCATTTTGCCCAGTTAGTGGGATGAACAAGAATAATGGGCAGGTACAGAATGTTTTGGGACGCGGGTGGCGCTGTGGGTTA